CAATTGCCGCAAAGTGAAGGGGCTATTCCGACATGGTCTCCGCTGCCAAGTACGTGCTCCAGGAGGTTGTGTTCTATGCAAGAAAATGTGGTATCTCTTGCAGATCCACGCTCGGGCCTGCAAGGAATCCAAGTGTGATGTACCTCGATGCGGGTAATCTCTTTAACTTCTGTCCCTGTCTGTCATTTTGATTTCTTAAGTAGTGGTATCACTCACTAGTTGCCCTCTCTTTCAACAAGTAAAAAACTTAAAACTTCAGTGGCAAATGACATTTTCGGATAAACCCTGGCATAACATATGGCAAAGCTTTGTGAAGACGAGTAGGTCCGTTTATATTGATCATTGTGAATTTCTCTATCCAGGGACTTAAAGGAACATCTGAGAAGGCTTCAGCAGCAATCAGATTCACGGCGCAGAGCAGCTGTCATGGAGATGATGAGACAGAGAGCTGCAGAAGTCGCTGGAGCTTCGGGTTGATTAATTTGTATATACTTATTTTATTTAGTATCTAAACAGAAGTGGAGCTCTAATTTTCTTCCGAAGGTTAAGAAGATAGAACAAGGTGGTGTCTCTGAGCTCCACTTGAAGAAGAAGACGACGAAGAAGTGAAAACACGTAAGAAGACTGGAAACAAACTCTGTAGCGGTTTAACTTGGATGGGTTAACAGTCATAAGTCATGGAGTGATGATGATGAAGATTAACTTGGAGAACAGTCTCTTGAGTTACTTAAAGAGTTTTTCAGCTTAAGTGCCACTGAAGCAGAAGAATCTTCATGGATTACTTATGCATTGGTCAGGTGGCAAGGATGAAGAAATCAGGTTTCAGACTCTTTAATTCAGTTCAGTAGCTTGATCTTGTTTTGTGATTCTTTGATTATTACATACACTGTTTCTGCTCACTATCTTCTTCATTTTTGTAGTCTGGTGTATTTGTAAAACGCTTTATATAGTTAATTGACATAATATATAGTTGCAACTCGCTAGGCGTAATATGAAGAGAGTGTCTACGGATGCTTCTCTAACATTTTTGATATAATATTAACATTTTTATATTGTTAATTGAATTCGGTTTTGGCTTATCCATGAAAAGTATAATTTTTTAGTTGGTTCAGTTTTTGTATTATGGGAGTTTTTCTCATTATTTTCAAAAAGAGTGATTTAAACAAAATAAAAGAAAAAGAAGAGGAAAAGCGAGAGTGTACGTGGCTTGTTAATTGGCTCATAAGTCACATCACTGTTCGAACACACACAAACCAGATTCTGTGGTCTTCTTTCTCTCCACTTTCCTCTCTCTCTCTCTCTTCTACTTCTTCTGAAATGTCAAATTCCTCCGATCCAACCATTTCTTATTCTTCTTATTTTTTGAATATTATTTTAAACTTTCTCAAATAACAGGAAAAAAAATCTCACTTTCGTTATCCGTTTCCAACTTCGACCAAGAGTCTTCTCAGTGACAGACTAGCATGCAAAGATTCATATAACAAGTGTACGTATGCATATAATTATCCAAAGTAATTTACACAAATATAAGGAAAATAGATCATTTGAAAAATTACAATTCTTTTGTGAAGCTTGAGCTCTGTTTTGTTGTAGAAGCAGAGAGCTCCAAAAATGGTGGGTGGTATTGTTGGCAGTAACATGGCGGCGACTGATACGAGGTTTCTAAGTTCGAATTTTGGCAACAGTTTCAGCATCAACACCAGAATTCACAGATGGGATTTCCACGATCGTTCCCAGATCGCAATCCCTAGGGCTCAATCCTCTTCTTCTCCACCTCCACCTCCATCCTCCGACAAGAATCGCCGCGAAAAGAAGACCAGAAACCGACCCGGAACCACGACTACGAAGGAAAGCGAGGAGACGGTGGCGAGGAAACTCGATGTAGCTCCTCCGCCGCCGGCTCAATCTCCGTCTCCGCCGCAACTGAAATTGGACGATGTGAACCCTGTGGGTTTGGGACGGCGATCGCGGCAGCTCTTTGACGAGGTGTGGCGGAAATTCTCTGGATTGGGTCAGATTTCGAGGACGACACGACCCGATGATCAGGATACTCTCGACAGTCTTATGATTAGAGAAGGACCCATGTGCGAATTCGCTGTTCCCGGCGCTCAAAACGTCACCGTATTAGTGGTGGGAGCCACTAGCCGAATCGGGCGTATCGTCGTCCGTAAACTCATGCTCCGTGGCTACACCGTCAAGGTTTGACTACATTCAGAAATGCTGATTAAATATAGTGACAAAATCTCTCACAACGAATCAAATGCTATAAAAGTTTTTTTGTAAAACATTGGGAGGTTGACTCTTTTAGGCACTGGTGAGGAAAACAGATGAGGAAGTGATAAGTATGTTGCCAAGATCGGTAGATATTGTGGTAGGAGATGTGGGCGAACCGTCAACGCTCAAATCCGCAGTGGAAAGCTGCAGCAAGATCATCTATTGCGCCACTGCTCGGTCTACTATCACTGCAGACCTTGTCCGTGTTGATCATTTGGGTGTTTACAACCTCACCAAGGCGTTTCAGGTATAGCAAAAAAACTTGTCCATGACTAAAACCATGGTCGATTTGGTTTTTATTGTCTTGTTTAGCGAAGAGTAGTACATTCTCATACCTGCGTGTGTTGTGTGTGTTTTTGCAGGATTATAATAACAGACTGGCGCAATTAAGAGCTGGTAAAAGCAGCAAAAGCAAGCTTCTAATCGCGAAATTCAAGTCCGCTGAGGCACTTGACGGTTGGGAAGTTCGTCAAGGAACTTACTTTCAGGACACAACTGCTTCCAAATACGATGGTGGGATGGATGCAAAGTTCGAGTTCACCGAATCTGAGAGAGCTGAGTTTTCTGGTACACAACTCACTCTTCCTCTGAGAATAAGGCAAATGTGTTCTTTAGAAGTGTGGTGTGTGTAACCGGAGTTTTCAAACGCAGGTTATGTTTTCACCCGAGGAGGATATGTTGAGTTGTCCAAGAAACTTTCACTTCCACTGGGTTCCACTCTTGACAGGTAACACCTCCGGAAATCCAATTAGCCTTTAGCTTCATATGTGTGTGCTTATGGGTTTATATTAATAGGTATGAAGGTTTAGTTCTTTCTGTTGGTGGGAACGGGAGAGCTTATGTTGTAATCCTTGAAGCTGGTCCGTCATCAGATATGTCTCAGAGCAAACTGTATTTCGCAAGGATTACTACCAAAGCAGGATTTTGTCGGGTATGAGAAAACAGCATTAATCCGACCCCTTTTCCGCTACATTTCTAGCTAAAACTTTGGTTCTTTGGGCAGGTAAGGGTGCCATTTTCAGCTTTTCGTCCGGTTAACCCCGAGGATCCACCGCTAGATCCATTTCTCGTTCACACATTGACAATACGTTTTGAGCCTAAAAGACAGGTTTGCTTACTCTTTTCGAAGCTTCAGCAGTTGTTTCTTGGGGGCTTGATTGGTTTGATCATTATCCAAATACTTTCACTGCTTGATGTGTGAGTTTCTTTTCTTTCCTCCTTCAGAGACCTGTTGATGGTGTTGCTGGTGCGCAACAAGATCTTAGAACCTTTAGCCTTGTATTCGAATACATCAAAGCTTTGCCTGTAAGTACTCCCAGCTTAATCCTGCTTGCCTTGAAGGAAATAAAAAACAGGAAAGGTATCAAATTTCTGCTTTTTCTCTGCAGGCGGGTCAAGAAACCGACTTTATTTTGGTATCATGTACTGGTTCGGGTGTAGAGCCCAACAGAAGGGAGCAGGTGTTAAAAGCTAAGAGAGTAAGTCTATTTCGTCTGAAACACACATTTGTAAACTTTTGAATTTTTTGGCAGGGGTTTTGAGCCAGTAGGTTCTGTGTTTTCACATCTCTGACTCTCTCTCTTGCTGTCCACTGAATTTGTCAGGCTGGTGAAGATTCTTTGAGAAGATCAGGCCTTGGATACACCATCATTCGTCCCGGTCCCTTGAAGGTACTCTCCTGTTTGGGTTTTAGCCAAATGTATATATGTATATGGCTTTGATTGTTTTACAAATTTTTCTGATACAGGAGGAGCCAGGCGGGCAACGAGCTTTGATATTTGATCAAGGAAACCGAATTTCTCAGGTTAGTTCCAACCACAACACAATTCACACTACGCTCGCATACCGCAAAAAGACTCTCTGAGTGAACTCACTCAACTCCCAAATGCGCAATTATCTTTCATTTTCAGGGCATCAGTTGCGCGGATGTGGCAGATATTTGTGTCAAGTCACTGCACGATTCAACCGCGAGAAACAAAAGCTTTGATGTGAGTTGCAGTTTATTATGACAAAAGCTGGAATTTTTTTTTTACTGTTGACTCATAATAAGAAATCACAACTAAGAAAAGGATGCAGTCTTTGACATATATATAGAAGAGATTACAACATCGGATCTCTCACATAGTCATGTTTCCGCTTTCTCTTGCAGGTTTGCCATGAATATGTCGCTGAGCAAGGAATAGAGCTCTACGAGCTGGTAGGAGTAAAACCAGAAAAGTAACTTACTGAATGAGTTGCTCCTTCTACACATTAATCTGACAAAGTTACTTTTTTCTCTCTCTATCTATTGCTCTCAGGTGGCTCATTTGCCAGACAAGGCGAACAACTATTTGACTCCTGCTTTATCTGTACTTGAGAAGAACACATGAGACAAAATTATCTTGGAATCCAGAAGTGAAAAGAAGAATCCTCGATCTGATTCCATTTTGCCTGTTGTATTCATATACATATACACATACGTACTTGTATAATTTGTACAGACAAGAATCTATTTTTCTTAAATATCTTCATTAACATTGTTTTCTTATTTTCAACTGTGAGTTTGTGTGCTAATACAGACTATTTAACTATCTAAGGCCTAAGGACATAAAAAGGCGCGAAACTCTGTTTTCTATAACAAAAAAGAAACTCATTGTAATAAGCAAACATGAAATTGCAGATTGTCTCAGCAGCCTCAGATTTCCGTCGTACCTATCTCAGATCATCTCGTACGACACAAAAACCCGTCAAAGCTTTGAGAAAGGTTTAGTGAGAGAGGCGGAAAACGAAGACGCCGGAAACACAGTCGGCGACTTTCCCGCGAATTCTTCACCGGACCTCTCTTTTGACTTTCTCTCATCTTCTTCCTCTCCGTTGATTGCTTCCTTCTCCGCATCGTCCACCATCTGATCAGATGTAAGAATCACAACATAATTCAGGACAAACAATCAAAAATCTCAAATCCGTTGGATGAAAAGGTTTTAAAGACCGAACCTTTTCAGTGACGGCAGGAGAGACAGACGGAAGAACATCAGAGAGATGGGTTTTAATCCGATGCAACGCGTCTTTCGTCATACCCTGCGCCGCTCCAGCGAAATCCTTAATCACACCTTCCAAAAACTGTTTCGAGTTTTCTAGCGACTCCGATGGAACCTTAGCAGCCGTTAGTTTCTCTAATACTTTATCCTTAACCGCCGCAAGATTCTTCAACCCCAACATCATCGTGTTCCTCTGCTTCTCCCCTTCTTCCTCCTCTGACTCTAAAGTAAGCTTAGGCTTCTCTGAGACTTTATTAGGGCTCGTAGTGATTTTGATCGCGTGGTCAGGAGAGTACAGTTCCCCCTGGCCCACGTTTTCGTCGGATTTCGTAGCGACTTTGATCGCGTGGTTCGGAGAGTATAGCTTCCCCTGGCCCACATCGTCCGACGCTGCTACGCCGTCGGATTTGGTGCCCGTGATTCGTTGGTGATGATGATCCATCGGCTCTCCTCCTCCCATTTGTACTAGAAAATCTTGACAGTTGAATTCTTTCTCTTTTAGGTTTTTCTGTGTGATGGGTCGACACGAACAGAGCAAAGCCACTTAAAATCTGTGGAAATTTTTTCCGGGAACATAATTCTGGTTTTTTTGTTTTGTTTGTTTCCCGGGAAAAATGAAGCAGAGATTAGCACGTGTAATGTCTCTTCATGGCGTGGCAACACGTGTCTTCTGTATGGCGATAACGGAGTAAGGTCGAATAGATTTATAATGGGCTTTGTTCAATATGTGGTATTAAACGATGAAGGCCCATCAGATGGAGAACACGTAAATTTGTGGCCGGATTTGTCTGGGATCCGATCCGACCCGACCCGAATTTAGAAGAGAAGGGAAACACATAGAGGCGGCGTTAGAAGAAGAAAGGTGGAGTAACAGTGAGAGCAAGCAACGAAAGGGAAAATAGAGGCGAGGAAGAAGAAAGGAGAAAGATGAACAAGAAGAAGATCTTCAGCCTAGCGAAGGGTTTCAGGGGAAGAGCGAAGAATTGCATAAGAATTGCGAGGGAGAGAGTGGAGAAAGCTCTTCAGTACTCTTACAGAGACAGGCGCAACAAGAAACGTGAGATGAGGGGTCTCTGGATCGAGCGGATCAACGCGGGCTCTCGTCAGCACGGAGTATGTTTTTCCTTTACATCCCCAGAATTTGATTAGGGTTTTTTTCCTGACTGATTCCCGTGACTGCTATAGATGCCTTTGATTCGATTTCGTTCTAGCTACTGCATTTGTAAATCATGATTAGTTTAGAAATGAAACGTCTGAGGTAGTGGTTGGGTTTCATTTGCAATCTAGAATATTAGCTTTTCTCCTAGGGTACATGATCTTAAGTGTTTTGTGATTGTTAAACTGAGTGCTTGATTTCTCCGGAGCCTGTTCTTATAGGCATAAGAGGCTAAATCATAAAGAAGGAAACATTGCGAATTTATAATTGCATTTACTGTCTTGGTCTAGCTCAAAGTTGATAGTTTGATATCTGAACAGAACTTTGATGGATATCAAACAACATTGAACTTTGATGGACATCAAATTGCTTTACGTTGTAGTTTGATTTTTATCTTATCTTTGCGGTATCTTGCTTGATATGTTTCTTATGCAGTGGCACTCTGTGTTTGCATCCACATAGTGTTAGAAATAGAACTTGTCGGGTATAACTAGAAGGTTGAAGTAAGGGCATTTCAGATTGCTTGATTTGTTCAGATTTTCTTCTGCAGTATCTTCGATTGAATTGGTTTCCTAACGCAAGTTGAGAAACATATTTATCTAACTCGATTAATTTGTTTTGTCCTGAAATTTCTCATTTTTTTCTATGACTTCTGTTAACTTGTAGTCTTGGTTCCGGTGTTAAATGATTGTATATCTCTTTTAAATCTATGTTATTATATGCGGATCAACAGCCTGTTTCTGGTGAAGGAAATAAAAAACTCATGTTTTCGTTGGAATCCTAACATTTAAAGAGCTTGAATCAGGTGAACTACGGTAACTTTATCCATGGACTGTCGAAGGAGAACGTCCAGCTAAACCGGAAAGTCCTCTCTGAGTTATCTATGCATGAACCTTACAGCTTCAAAGCACTCGTTGACGTCTCCCGCAAGTCGTTCCCTGGAAACAAGAACGTGGTCCAAGCGCCTCGGAAAGTAGACATTTCATCTATCAATGCCTAATTAGGACTCTCCTTTCTTATTCTCTTTAAAAAAAAAACGCATACCATTTAGTTATTTGTCTGAATCACATGTACGCCGGTGATAACTATTACACTTTCGCATCTTAATTAAATGTATTGCGTCTTCTTATTTCGTTTATTTAGCAGTTCTAAATCCATTAATTTGTTTTATTGGTTTAAGAAGAGAAAATTTAATCACCTAAATAGCCAGCTATAGACCTAAACCCTAGCAACGAAACGATGCGTGCTTTTTTATCACATCATTACGGGAGAAACAAATACCGGAACCGTGAATCAAAAGGAATAACATCGCATTTGCTGCTTGATGAATCGAGAAAACCCCACCGTTGTCTCCGGTGAATGCACTGCTCAACAAATGCGGCATGGCGAGGAGGCAGGTGTCGTGAAATCCACAGAGCAACCTTACAGTCATCGACAAAGTTCCTACCGAAACAGTGAAGCATTTTGGGGACAATCAACTTCCCCCTGGGGCTCACTCCCACTGACGCCTGGATATAATCTTTCTGAGCGTCTTCAAGCTCTTCTCCTACGTTCTCGGCTGAGTATATCCTCACCTGCAGGAGGCTTACTGTGAGAAAATTGCGATCTCCGTTCAAGAATCTGATTCGAAATCCAGATAGATATATGGAAAGGTTACCGCTGGCGATGAGTGCATTCCGCAGCTGAGAGCGAAAGACACTAGAGGTTCATGCGTACTTATCCCCGCCTGTCTCTGTTCTTCTGATACTTTCAGTTTGAGAATGGAGAGAAGCAGAGCCTGAAACTCACGGTTAAGGTTAGAGATTTAGAATAGTTAGTGAAGATATTGCAGAAACTATATAAGTTTAAGCCGGAGTATATTACGATTTGAGGTCGATGCAGAGGAGGTTTCATCTTTAGAGTCATGTACTCGATCGTTGCTGCGTTGTATGAATGCCCGCCAACTGTATAAGCAGCCTGATAGGAACTCCAAGTTAGAGACTTACATTAACCTCTGTCCGAACCGAACCAAACCAACAAGTGTTAAAGTAGTTTTGTGCGTGGAGATCAAACCTTTTGCATCAAGGAAAAGAGCTTTAAGTCGGTTTTTGGTACGCCATATGCCAAGTATGCCTGAATCAGACAATCGGGGAATTGATAATCTGTATATGCAAATCAAAACTGAGGGAAAATTCAAAGACATTTATTATTACATGCATGATCAAGGCATTGTATATGTTGATCCAGAAGGCGAGCTTCTCGTTGTGGCTTAGCTCTGTTGGATTTACTCTGGCAAGTCTTTCGACGAGGTTTCTGTAATGAATATAAGAGTTTTGTCAAGTTTCAAAGAACATAACGGAGTCTCAGAGAAGTTGCTTAAACCGTGTGTTAGTAGTTACCTGAATCTCCATAACTCCTCTGAAGCATATCCGAGCCGTTTCTCCTCAACAGACATGGAAGCCACTTCAGTTGCGGATCTGTAACTTCCTATATCAGCCCAGCCCAGCTTTCCTTGGACTCTATACGGATCAAACGCGTTGCTCTCTGTTGCTAAAACATCTGAATTCTTCTGAATATCGATTCGTGGGCTCTGTACCCACTTGGAGATCCGCGAGTGTTCTGAAGGCGACCACCATGTTGATGATGACGATGGACTCTTGCGAGGTGACAAACCAGTAATCTCTTGTGAGGATTTAGATCCAGCAGATGTCTCTCCAAGAGACACAAATATGTTTCTCATGCATCTTATCATCTCCTTGGATAGCTCATTAGCGTTATCATAACTTCGCAAAGACTTTACCAGTTTGCTTTTAGGCTGTGCTCTGTGATCTTTGCGGCATAAAGTCTCGTTCTCTTCGGAAAAATTAGCCAAATCTGTAGCATTCTGGGAAACACACTTACAGTCAGATCACAATCGTAGCACACAAAGATTAGACAAACATGAGCATCAAATTAACATACAGGTGGAGACAGAGAATGCGTGAGGCTGTACTCGGCGAGTTTTCTCTCGTTTCGTTCTTGAATCAGCAAGAAATGCAGAGACATGATCTCTTCTTCAAGCTTAGAGACCGTAGCTTCCATAGCTACTATATTGGAGAGAAGTTCTTGAACCTGCAAAATGGTTTTCCTTAGGAACATTCAAAAATCACAAGGTTCATGCTTTTACCTCAAAACGTTGCAAGCTCAGAAAGTAAGACAAGCTTGAGGAACATACACTACGTGGAAGTGAAGATATGTGAGACAGCTCAATCTTATGGCTTTGATCAGAAGCTTTCAGCAATAGAGCTCGCAGTGCAGTCTCTTTCTGCAGTTGATCTTTTAATCGCTTCACCTGTTTCGGACCAGAAATGAGTCTGGCCTTCGACAAAATTCTTACGGATTTCTCTATATGGTCACAAGAGATGTGGATGAAAACTCACATCATGCTCGAGTTCGAATTTGTAGAGGTGGTGAAACTTGCTGTTGTTCGGAGAATCAAGACCGTCGATCTCTCTAGTAACATTCTTTGGCTATACTTTTCAGAGAACATAAGAAATTGAGTTTCAAGCAGTAATTAGAGTAGAAAGATTTATTGAGATGGCAGCTTGAGGAACAAGTAAATGGAAGCTGTTTCATCCGGGTTATAAGAAATTTGAACCTGCGTGGAATTCGTGGCTTTGGTCTGAGAGAAACTGGGCAAAGAACTTCCTCTGCACAACACATCAGTGAAGAATTAGGAAGAAGGATCAATATTCAGACAGGAAAAAACTAACTGAAGAAAAGAATGATAATTTACTGTTTAGATGCGAGCAGAGAGTCTCGAGGCATTGTATGATCGGATGAACTCGATGTTGTGTCGGTGTAATAAGTTAGTCTGGATCTCTCCAGACAGTTAATGAGTCAACAAAATGAGATTAAGACAGAGAACCCTGTGATCAGGGGAACAAGAGAGAGAAGAGAGGAAAGAGAGAGAGAGAGCTTGAGACATCTGTGAAGATGAGTTGAATGGGATCGGGTCCAAAGAGAGACTCCTCAATAAATGCACGAGAGATTTTTAGCTATTTGTCACTTTCATCACAGCCCCATTGCACGAGTTGTTCTACCCTAAAAAAACAGAGTACAAATTAAAGCTTGAAACTTTTTCTTCCCGAAAACTTTAAACCATTCAAGTAATTTTAATAGATTGGTTTGGCATTTTTTTTTTTTTCTTGAAAAAAATGATAATGATGTGTGTTTGATTGTTTGTTTTCACGTTATGGAAGTTGGAATATCAAAAGGAGGTGTAGCTTTTTAAAAAGAAAAAATTCAGAGGATATGATTGATCATCCCTTGAAGGCTTTAAAGCCAAATAACATAAATGAGCAACAATAAATGTTGTTGCCGATTAAAGTAAAAAATATTCAAATAATATAAAATAAAATGGTAGCAAAGTTGAGGAATCTCCATTAAAGCACCATCCCACTACATGTAGTCAAGTACGATAGTGTCCATAAGACAAAAATAAAGCTTACATTTTTAATACTCATTCATCACCTCCAATCGATTATTGCTATCATTGGGAAACTGTTAAAAAGTCGAGCCACACAAATATTCTGACACCGAATGATAATATTTTTTTGTAGTTGAAGTTTGCAAGAAACTTCTAAAAGACTTGCCTATAAATTGCTTGGAAATGAATCAAACGAAAATTAGAAACAAAAGCTAAATTTTTCGTTTTTGGCGAATTTACAAATGGATTATCTGTAAAGTGTATCCCTTTTTGGTCGAAATGCGAAAGTATTTTTTGTACCGGAAATAAATGTGGAACGATGAAAAAATCCATGCAGCAAAGTGAAAGGCCCCATTCACGCGCTCTCGACACTCGAAATTTCTCATTTATGCGAAAAAGCCCAATATCTGTGGTCTCACGCGCTTAACGCGCTTTAACTGCGCGTGGAGCTTGTTTTTTGGTCTCCGAATTTTATCTTATTAATGAACCACGATTTTATTAAAATGTTTTTTTTGTACCGTTGTTTTTGAAGGGTAAAAAGAAAAGTTAATAGAGAAATATGTTCTTTTATTATATTTTTAGCTTTGTAGTTTCCAACTTTCACACACATTCAATAAAAAAATCAAATAATATATTTAAAAACTCTTACTGAATGAATTTGTGTGGTTTGTGTTATTAACTCCGGAATTAGATTTTCATCCAAAATTATAACCCTTAAATAACATCCATCAGATAAAAAAAATAGTAAAATTTCTTAACCCCTTACATTATCTATTTTTCTTTAGGTTTTTTTTTTAATTACCTCCAAATATAACATTTACTAGGGGAAAAGTAGGGAAAGTTTCTGCATTTGTGTTATTTTTGTTCTTCAAGGAAAAAAAGGAAGAAGAAGGAGGAAGACAACAATGTGGCTACCGAAAGGAGACGCGTCAAGTAAAGGAACGAAAAGTGGTTCAGTGGCTGTTGCTATAGACAAAGACAAAACTAGCCAAAATGCTCTTAAATGGACAATGGAGAATCTTACTTCTCGTGGCCAAACTCTTGCTCTTATTCATGTCGTTCCCAAATCTCAATCTTCTTTAGGTTCTAACATTTCCATTAAGGGTTTCCTTTCAATCCACCATTTATTCTTTTGCAAAGTTCGAGTTTTTATATATAGGTTTTTTCACTTTCTGTAAAATGCAGACATTGAAGAAGGATCATTAAATAAGCATCAAATGGAGAAGCAAACCAAAGATCTCTTTGTATCCTTCCATTGTTACTGCAGCCGCAAAGAGGTAATTAATACTATTAATAATCAAAATCTAGGGCTTCGATCAAACTTGGAAGCCTTTAATCCTTTTTTTATATATATATTTCTGTGCAGATCAATTGTATGGACGTTGTGCTTGAAGATGTAGACAAAGTCAAAGCAATTGTCGAATATGTTACCGTTTCTGCGATTGAGAATCTAGTCCTTGGTGCTCCATCAAGAAGTAGCTTTATGAGGTTATATAAATGATTTGGATTTTTGAATGATCTATTGCTTGGAGCAGAAGATTAACCAAAATTAGGGCTCCGCTTTTTTCTTCAAATTTTTATCCTCAACAGAAGATTCAAAACGGATTTACCAACGAGTGTATCAAAGGCAGCTCCAGATTTCTGCAATGTTTATGTCATTTCCAAAGGAAAAATCTCTTCTGTACGTCACGCGGCGCGTCCTGCTCCTTTTCAACCATCAGTTCTAAACGAATTTGGCAATCAGGAAACTATTGCCATTGAGAAAAAACATAAATCAGGTGAGAGTTAATCTTGAGTATAAATGTTGCTTGCCTCTCAAGCAACTCAACACACATTCTCTTCAAGCTCTTAACATTTTTCTTGTTTTTAGCAGCTAACACACCGGCATTGCCTAGGGCACGAAGATCAGTTGATTCAGATGGTACAAGGTATTAGATTCTACTAATCGAATTCTATAAGTTTCTTGAGTGTGATTACTTAACAATTTCCCGAAACTTGGTTTTTCGACTTTGTGTAGATTAGGGTTTGCGAAACCACCACAAGGACATATGAAACTAATGGGGGATTTCTCAGATTCAGAGTCCGAATTCTCATTCATAAGTGCTTCACAACACGAATCCGACATGTCCTATATGAGCTCGGGGAGACCGAGTGTAGATCGGTCTTCTTTTTCCTGCGATTTACCAGATTCAGCAAGAACCTCAAGAATGTCAACGAGCTCAGAGCAGAGTATTGGGTCACATAGATTAGGAATCAAGTTTACGGATTTGGGTTATCTCAACAATTCTTCTACGGTTTCTGATGAGAGTGGAAGAACCTCTTGCTCATATTCATCTCAGAGCTTGGTATATATGTTATGCAGCAAATTCAGTTTTTTTTTTTATTATTGGTCTTAGATCCGATTTAGTTTTCTGTTACATTCCACGGAAATGGTTTGATTTGTTTCAGGATGATGTTGAGGCTCAAATGAGGAGACTGCGTATAGAGCTAAAACAAACCATGGATATGTATAGCTCAGCTTGCAGAGAAGCTTTAACCGCAAGGCACGAGGTATTATACATCCTTTATCGGTTTCTCAAGTGATTGATTCATCAAAACCAAACTGAAATCTAAGCTGCTTGAAATTCTGTTTTAGGCGACAGAGCTGCAAAAGCTGAGGTCAGAAGAGGGAAGAAGAATGGAAGAATTAAAGGTGACAGAGGAAACAGCGATGTCAATGGTGGAAACGGAGAGAGCAAAGGCCAAAACAGCCATGGAAGCTGCTGAAGCTGCAAACAGGCTTGCGGAAGCAGAAGCAAAGAGAAGACTAACCGCAGAGATGAAGGCACTGAAGGAGAGCGATTCATTCTCTCGACATAGCATCGTTCGATACAGGAAATATTCTGTTCAAGAAATCGAAGAGGGAACTGGAAATTTCGCAGAGTCAAGAAAAGTAGGAGAAGGAGGGTATGGGCCTGTGTTTAGAGGTCATCTTGATCACACGAGTGTTGCTGTTAAGGTTTTACGTCCTGACGCTGCTCAAGGAAGATCACAGTTTCACAAAGAGGTAAAACTACAATTACTAGTACCCTCAATTAAGTTGGTCTGATTTTGTTATGAAGCAATGATATCAAGGATTCAAATTCCTATGAAGATAAATTTAAATAATTTGGATTACCTATTGTTTGTTTAAGAAAGAGGTTCCTAAAACAGAGGTTTTTGCCGGTTACTTGTGTTACAAGAAAAGGTTGTTGAGTGACAAAGTCTGAAACTTCATTTGTGTTTTTGACACACAGGTTGAAGTACTAAGTTGCATAAGGCATCCAAACATGGTGCTTCTCTTAGGAGCTTGTCCAGAATACGGAATCCTCGTGTACGAATACATGGCCAAAGGAAGCTTAGATGACCGTCTTTTTAGACGCGGAAACACGCCGCCGATTTCGTGGCAACTACGTTTCAGAATCGCTGCTGAGATCGCTACGGGTCTCCTCTTTCTCCACCAGACCAAACCAGAACCAATCGTCCACAGAGACTTGAAACCGGGAAACGTTCTTCTCGATCACAATTACGTCAGCAAGATCAGCGATGTAGGCCTAGCGAGACTCGTCCCGGCGGTAGCTGAGAACGTGACTCAGTACCGAGTCACGTCCGCCGCAGGAACGTTCTGTTACATCGACCCTGAGTATCAACAAACCGGAATGTTGGGTGTGAAATCGGATGTTTATTCACTCGGAATCATGCTTTTGCAGCTTTTGACTGCGAAACAGCCAATGGGTTTGGCTTATTATGTGGAACAAGCGATTGAAGAAGGAACATTGAAGGATATGCTTGATCCTGCAGTACCAGATTGGCCATTAGAGGAAGCTTTGTCTCTCGCGAAGTTATCGCTACAATGTGCTGAGTTGAGAAGAAAAGATAGGCCTGATCTTGGTAAAGAAATAATGCCTGAGCTTAACAGACTTAGAGAGATTGGTGAAGAGAGTCTTGAGAGTGTGTTTTATGCTGGACAAGGACGGTCTTCACATACTAGCCAAGTCTCTTATACATCGGTAAGATTTTGTTTTTGTTTGAAGACATTGCATCAGATTAGATATACATACATCTCTATGATGTTCTGAGTTCTCTTTCTTTTTCTTGGTGGGGAATTGCAGGAAGGTAGGAGTACTCCTTCTATATCAAATGCAGGATCTTCTATATCAAACCCATAGTTTTGAGAACCGAGAAGGGATCTGGTAAGATATGACACTCTTGTTTCATATTAAGTTTATGTCAGAATCTTGTTGAGATAAAAAATCATGATTGAGATTTTGATTTGCAGGAGATAAACTTCAGAAGATGAAAGCCAAAGAGCAGCATATCTATTCAAGAAAGAAAGTTGCTTGTTTGAGCTTTAGAAGAAAGGTGTCTGTGATTTACAAAAAAAAAAAAAGCTAACAAGAAAGTTGTGTGTTTTCGATTAAGAAACGATATGTATATATATAAAGAGAAATGAAATTTATATTTTAAGATTAATCTTTTTGACAGTTACATGTTCGTTCGACACGTAGTACACAGTAAAGACAACGTGGGAGTGTTGTAACGTTGTCAAGTGTTAAACATTGAGACAGAAACTGTTTATTTTTTCTTTGGTGGGGTGGTTAAAAAGAGAAGTGTTTTTCTAATGTGAAGTGATGTGTGTTAAGAAGTCCAACGATGGGACAAGGCAAAGAAGTTAAGACGAGACCAGATCCTGAAGTTGAGATTCAGGTTCTATATTACCTTTCTCTGTTTTTTTGAGGAAGACTTTTTAAAAATTTATCGCTCTGTTTCTTGATAACTGACTATTGTTGATCAGGAAAGAGGAGAAATATTCTTCTTTTATAGGCCAAAGGTTAACAAAGAAGAAGCTCACAGTGTGGACGATGTTCAAAGGTTATACATAGTGATGCGTCCAGAGTCCGGTGAGAATCTCGTCGAGGAGAAACAAGACCCTATCTCCGGCAAAGAAGGTTCTGATAAAGGTTCCGGTGACGGAGACGAGGGAAGTGGCTCCTCCTCCGGCGCCAAGAATGGAGGTGAAGGAGGACATGGGGTCGAGGTAGAAGAAGAAACAATCTACTTCGGATTAATCTCTTATTCAAATGATTATTATGATTTGATCTCGATGTGGGTTTTTTTTTTTGGGTAGAAAGTGAACATCGAGAAAGAGATTCTGTTACGATTCATTGTGATGGGTAAGAAAGCTCTTCCTGATCCGAGCAAGAAATCACAACCTTTTTGGGGATTCGTGGAGATGGTGACTAAGAATGTTGAAGATGTTAAAAATGCTCTTAAAGGAGGTAAAAAAATTCGTGAATCTTTTTTGGTGGGTGTTTATAAACTATTTGGTGAATTTAAAAAATTGGATTTTTTTTTTTTTACGTACAGAGGAGTACGAGACGAAGACCCGAGGACATAGGCACAAGCCGCCGGCAAGAGCTGTCGGAGAAGGAATATACCGAATTCTCCGACATAAACCTGCTCCGACAAGAAAGCACCATACACATCTTGTCTACAAACTCGAATTCCCATCGAGATCGCAGACCAGAGAACACGAGCCGCAAGAGTCGCTGAACATTGAACCGGAAGGCTCCTTCCTGATCCAAATACGAAACCCAGATCAAGGGGGAAGAGCAAGAGGAAGAGGAAGGTCAGGCTTTGGTGGGCTGAAGAGAAAGAGGAGAGCCCAGTTTCCGGCCCATCTTCAGGCCCATTTAGGTCATACCCGGTTTGGAGCAGCCGACCCGCCCGATTTCCTGAATTATGAAGGATGTGAGTTTTTACTGATCTCGGCGTCCGACGACATAGAGGAAGAGTTGGGGGTGGAGCTGGAGCCTGAGGGTGATGGCGATGAGTCCACGTGCGATCTTTTGAAGACTTTCGGGGACGATGTTGAAGCTACTCCTCTACTTCGCGGTACATGGGACTAATGGAGGATAGACGGTTCACTAATGTTAAAAGTTTGATAACTAATGTTTAAAGTATGGACGGCTTTAGGTTTTTAGGTTATAATGAACTTTTTGTTTTTGTAAAATAGTGATGTGTTTTCGTATAAAGAAAATTTTCTAACATACATACACAGGGAAGTGGTTAGTATCATTAATTCTAAGACAAAACTAACATTATTTATTCAGAAGATGGAATGACCCAAAACAAATCATGAAACCTTTGTTGCATAAATTCATAACCTACATCAATCATCCACTCACTCTATATATATGTGCAAGAGAATCAGATCTCTCTTTTATCAGAGAAAGATTGGAGCCATAACGAGCGTGATGGTCGCCAGCATTTTTATGAGCACGTGAATCGACGGTCCTGCTGTGTCCTTGAATGGATCTCCCACACTTTCCCAGTTCAGAAGAAAGTGATTTCCTCGTTAGAATTTTAGTTAATTTGAAAGTAAAAGCAATGACCAATGAGGAAGGAAAAAACGAAAATGAAAACTTTTTACTTACGTATCACCAGTTACTGCTGCTTTGTGGGAATCACTTCCTTTGCCTCCAAGTGCTCCAGTTTCTATGTATTTCTTTGCATTGTCCCAAGCACCTCCTGCTGTGTTAAGGAACAGAGCCATTAAGATACCACACACTGTCGCAAACATCAGCATTGCAGCTACAACTTTAGCTCCGAGCAGAGGTTGTCCCGTGTAGTACCCCAAGATCCGGAACACAAAACCTGAGGAGATCAAATAGAGAGGCTTTGCTCATCATCGTCTGTTTCTTTCTCGTTTCACGGTCTAAGCAACAAAGTTACCGACTCACCAACTACAATGGGTGATACTATAGCCAAAGCTCCTGGTTTTATCATTTCCCTCAAAGCTGAAGACGCGACAATGGCAACACATCGACCGTAATCTGGCTTCTCCTTGTAGTCCTGTTTTACATAAGAGTTAATATCACTAAGCAACTAAAGAAACCATACACACAAAAGGAACGGACACGAGAGGAAGTATGTTTACCATAATGCCAGGTCTCTCAATGAACTGTCTTCTTACTTCATTGACAACCTCCTGTGCAGTTCGGCCAACTGCTGCACAAGCCCAAGCGCTAAAGAGGAATATAAGCATGGCGCCTAATAACCCACCGATGAAGATTTCTGGGATAGCAATATCAACCTGTTTAGAGAGAAGAGGATGAGAATGAGTATGAAGAACAAAAGGAAGCAGAATACATAAAGAGAAATATCCTTTACCTCTTTGAAAGACACATTAGCAAACGCTGAAACCTCGTCCATGTAGGCACTAAAAAGAAGGAATGACGCCAGGGCAGCAGATCCAATAGCAAATCCTTTCGTGGTTGCTTTTGTAGTGTTCCCAACAGCATCAAGAACATCAGTGACCTCACGGACACTTTCCGGCTGCAAGAGACAGTTATACTAATATTAGCTTGAAAATAAATTCAAAGATACAACATACGGACAACTCACAACAGTAACGTAACACCCACCTGCTGGCTCATCTCAACTATCCCACCGGCATTATCAGCTATGGGGCCAAACATGTCCATTGTAAGAACATAAGCTGCAGTGCTAAGCATTCCCATCGTAGCAACAGCTGTTCCGAACAGACCTCCAGTGGGGTTTCCATTTTCATCCACTAGTCCCGAGGTTTTGCCCAGCCAAAAAGCAGATATGATAGCTACGCTTATAACTAAAACAGGAAGAGCTGTGGACTCCAGACCCAAGCTGACCCCAGCTATTATATTGGTTCCATGACCAGTGGAGCTAGCAAGAGCCAACGTCCGAACGGGCTCGTACTTGTAGTCAGTATAATATCTGGATATCCAGACAAAGACATAGGCTGTGATGATGCCAACCAAGCCACACATGAAGAAATTCAACCAAGCAGATGGCGCTTGTTCAGTGTAAAGCAGCCAACGAGTCGACTACAAAACAGAGATAATGCTGTCAGAGAATTTCACTTGCCTAGATTACGCTTATGTGCATATATATATGCGTAAAGTCAAGTAATGAAAATATTGAAAGATTAAATTAAAAAAGCTAAACAGTAGAACAATGAACAACATAATCAATGACATGTCATGTCATTACCGCGCCAAATGTCAAAATGGCTAATATAATAGTCAGAGAATATCCTTTCTGAAGCACCACCATTGGATCCTCTACTGGAGATTTCACACTAGCATTGCGCGTTCCCTTGATCGATAGAATACCAATTGATGAAATTACCAAGTCAAAAGAGTGAACAACTAGAGGAAATAGAATAAAGCCAGATGGATCTGCATGAAAAACCAAAAAGCTAAGTAAGCACACATTTTCTTATTCATTTTTTTCCACTATCTTCCTAATTGCGAATCCTTTACCCTTTGTGCTATTTTTTCTACTGTAGAAGTGGCGATGCGATTTTATACTAGGTACTAACTCTTGAAACTAAAACAGAGATGCACCACAAACCTTCAATTTTGCACTTCTGAGCCATTGTACCCCCAAGTATCATTGCACTGATGATTTCTGCTGCTATACTTTCAAATAAATCAGCACCTCGAGCAGCGCAGTCCCCCACATTGTCTCCAACCTACAAGAAAATGAAATCATTTAAGCTTCAGTGACTAAAAAATAAAAAGTGAACATTTTCAGTGTGATTGATGACCCAAAGGTTCCAAGCCCAAAAACGAAAAGAACTAATACCAAATCAGCAATAACCGCAGGATTTCGAGGATCATCCTCAGGGATACCCTGCTCAACTTTCCCGACCAGATCTGCCCCAACATCAGCACCCTTCGTGTATATTCCACCACCCAGCTGAGCAAATAAGGCAACAAACGATGCACCAAAACCATATCCCACAAGAAGAAGAGGCACTGTATGAAAAAGAGGATACACCAGCAACCAATCAGTTAAGCTAAAAACGTAACTCTACTATAAGAAAACAGTCTAATCTTCTCCACGCAATGCTATTTCGGGTTTGCAAAGTTAAACATTTAAGGACATTATCAAAACAGTTTTGTCTAGGACTCTAGAGATGAAAATTCGACGCATGCTGTTGCTTCTTGAGCAAATAGTCATTTGTCAGTATTTGGTAAAAAAGAATTCTTCTAAGAACCCATATATATAATTGATGTATTTGAGCCTCTGAAAAGAACCACATAATCTTCTGAACTCAACACACTGATGCATAAAATATGGCTACTAAAATAAAGAAAAAAAATATTCAAGAAATCACAGGAGCCTAGGACTTACAATCAGTAACCTTCATTGAGCCTGGTGAATCCACGTCTAACCAAACATAAAATGTAGAATAGAGGATGGCAATACCAATCACAGCCATACCAACAACAACCAGAGCTGAGAATCCACCAGCACGAACAGCTATCTGCATAAAACCACCACTTAGTATTTAGCCATATGTACAGGAAGTCTTATCAAAGCTTAAACTAGAAAAAAACCTGCAATGCTTCTCTTGCGGATCGTCTAGCAGCACTGGAGACCCGCACATTAGCGCGTACTGACACCCACATCCCAACATATCCAGCGATACCTGAACATAACGCCCCCAAAAGAAATGCGGCAACAGTAATATACGCAGACATTGTCCTGAAGCAGAAACTTGTAAAACTGAGTATTATGTATAACAGCACAGAAGATAAAGCAGAAGTTTGTGTACGAAATCGTGCATCACCTTCCTAAACCAGAAGCCTCTTGCTGGGGGGTTAAGTTACGGAACAAGTATATGCAAAGAATCACAAAAGCTAGCAAGAAGGCCATCTTGGATATAGTACCATACTGTGTTCTGAAAAAACCTTCAGCTCCATCACGTATAGCATCTGATATCTAGACGGAAAAGAATAAGGTCACAGTACAGAGCTGATAATGAAAGCGAGTACAAAGAAGGAGCGTAGTCAAAACCCCAGCTTAAAATTGTGTGAACTTACTTGAACCATCTCTGGGGGTCCTTCATCTTTGGCTAATACCCACTTGGTCAGATACACTGACAACATGAAGCTGATGATGCATACTACGAAGACGAACAGAATGATGGGAGAAGTACGTGCTCCCATGTAAAAGATCCCTCCAAAGCTCAAAAGCATAAGTACAGAAAGGGCACGAAGATTTAAATTCCTCAGAATCCGGAATATCTGCACCCATTTGTTTTAATGATTAATATGCTAACATAAATAGAAAAGAGAAAAAAAAAAAGCTAAGTCAACACATGTTTTGGTGGCAATAGCACAAGAAAGACATGCTCAAGAGAGAGAGAGAGAGAGAGTATAAAATCCTAACCAGCGGACTGTAGGTTTTACTACGCATGTCTGGAAATGTCCTTGGCTTGTCACTGTAAGAGATGAGGCTGGCCTGCTCAATATCTTCATCCGTCATCATGTTTTGCAATGAGTTTGACCTCCGAACAATGGGAAGAGGTATAAAGTCAGTGCTATGGGGCAGCTCGGCCCCAGAAGTTGGACCCTGAATCTTGATACGCTACAGGTTGCCCTTCAAAGGATAACACGCTAAGTCTGACTACTATATCTTGATCCCACAGCTTCTTCAACCTTTCTCACTTGGCATTGGCTTCGAGAGCAAGACTTTCCACCATAACAAGAGTTTCTGAAATAAAACCCAAAAGTACATATTAAGCCCCTGGAATCTACTCCTCATCTATCGACAATCATTCCATGAGCACAGATAAATCAAATAAAGAAACAGTGCACGAGACAAGAGGACATGCTTGACTAAGTCATCAGTGTCAAAAAAAAACACAGCCAGAATTGGCTTTCGTTCTTAATCAACCTAACACCAACAATAATCAGATCTACATTATCACTGGTATGATCTAGAAACGAAAATGGAATGCGTTAAGAAACGATAGAGAATTAGCGAAATTGAAGGCAGTAGAAGAGAGAGAAAATAAAAAACACATACGAAAAGTTTGTTTTTTCCGAAATGGAGAAATAAGAACCTCGAATCGGCGAAACAGTGAAAACGAATTACGGCTCCAGAGAACGATCAGAAGGAAACCGCCATTAAAGAAGCTTGCCCTGGCCGAGGAAGCGTTCTCCACTCTCTCTGTCTCTGTTGTCACTTGTTACCAGTAAGACGATTTTTTAACGCTCTTTTTTCGTTAATTCATCTCTCATGTGGGGTTAATATAGTCAGTCGCACGCAAAGAACGTTTTGATTTGAACTCCAAATGACAACCCCATCTAATGAGTCGTTGACACGTAATCACAAGAAGGGCTTTCGCTATCCCTACCCCAAAATACACGATATCATCATTTCTTCCCTAACTTTTGTGTTTAGGCGTAAACCATAGGTAATAAGCAATTAATGGTAGGTTATCATTTATTAAGAAAACGACTCACCATCTTATTGGGCCTGAGCCCAATAGACGGTCCATCAAGAAACTATTTCCCAAATTTAATTTTACAATTAAAATATTTTCATCTCCATCTCCAGATAAGAGAATCAATTTCAATTTGTTTCTCCGGAGAAAGAAGATGAAGCAACCGGCGACACCGAACGCGGCGGAGGAAACCAAAGCAGAGCAAAACCAGACCGGAGCTAAGCAGAAATCGAAGAAATTCCCAACTGCAACGGAGCTAATCTCTCACTACCAGAAACGAGGGCTCGAACCAGCCGAGGCCTCGGTTAGAGTCATCGAAGACCTACAAAACGCGCTCGTCCGAGTCGTTTCGTCCTCGAAGAACGCTTCCAGTAAGGATAAGCTTTTAACCGACGCGAGGAAAATCGACGCCATTAATGGAAGGCTCGCCGTCGTCGACGCCAAGCTGGAGACGAAACCTGGATACGTTGAGACTTTCGTGTTAGGTTTAGCTTCTGGTGCGGCACTTAACGGAATTAACTCCGTCTGGCCTCATGTTACAAGGGGCATTGGCCAGGTTTGGTCCGCCGTTAAGAGCGGGACAGATCCGTCATCGGCCTCTTGAAATGTTAGAAATGATGTTCTCCAGTGACTTGTTTCTTATGAGTTTTTTTGTTTCCACCAGTCTCTTGTAATAGCGAGATTGAGTATCAGTGTCCAACGACTTCAGTTTTTGTATTGGAACAAAAAAATTGATCAAAAACTTATCCCAACTATTTTTTCTCTAAAATCCTTCTAAAAACAAAGAAAAAGTGTAAAATTATATGGCATGTATCAAATAATAAAATCATATACAGAACAAAAGTAAATTCTTAGCAGACAACTGTACAGCCAAAATATTGTAATTGGAGTTACCAAACTTTTTTAAGGCACGGGTCATAGGTTAGCCAAAATTTCTCCGAAGTGCTTGTTTGTACTTGAGAGAACCTATAATTATGCCTGGGGAATGTATAAATCTCACCCAGAAAACCGGCAATCAGAAACTGGTTCACGATTGAGGGAAATGACATTTTAGAAATCAGTTGTTTGTCTGTTATCTTTGTTTAGTGTTGTTCCTGGTGGATTCTGCAAATAAGAAGAATGTATTGAAAAATTTCAGCATTCAGACATAGGAGAATTCGAGACAAAACATCATTTATAAACAGATTAGGTATGTAATGAAATCATACCTTTGATCGCTTTAGCCGGTCTCGTGTGGGTGCTTGCAGTTGAATTTGGAGACAAAGGTCGCTTTGGAGGTTTGGGCTTATGTGACGGAATCAGAGACGTGTTTAGAATGGCAGCAACAGCTTCACGCTGTTGTTTCCGTTTGGATATCATGTCTTCAACACCTCCTTGATTAGAAGCATTGCCTTTGTTTATTTGTTTCCCTCTCTGTTCAGTTTCATCAGTGGGGTTTGCCCTTTTGCTACTGTCAAGCTTTGATGAAGCCTTCTTAGATTTCTTCAAATCATTCGGATCTTCATTCTTGGAACTATTTACACCCATATTCCCTGGATTGCTGCTTTTCTCTGTACCTTTCATTTTGTCTCTCTTTTCTTGGTTCCGCCTAGGATTCACTTCGGATGTTGCTTTCTCGCTGCTTGCAGCTAGTTTTTCCCTTTGAGAAGAAGCTTCTTCTTTGGCTTTTCGTCTGCTCTGCTTGCTCTCTGATCCTTTTGACGAGAGAGGCACAGCATCTCCATCAGATTTCCTCATTTTTCTATCAGAGGATATCTCTGCTCTCTGTTCTCTGCGGCCCAAATGATGTTTCTCAGGCTCAGGACAATTCTTTGGAAGATTCTCAAAATGCTTCTGTTCCGTCTTTTTGTCGCCAAACATGCAGTTGTACGGTCTCTTAACTGGTATAATGGCTTCTCTTTCTTTTGCATCTTTCACAAGAGCACCCCAGTTATGGTCTCTTTGCAAGGTTCGTGTATTACCCAAAACCCAAAGGGAGAGCCTGGCTCTTGTGAGAGCAACATTCATGCGTCTAACATCTGCAACAAAACCAATCCGACTTTGATTGCTCCCATCAGGAGCAGAATGAGTAGCTCTTACAGTGGATAACACTAATATGTCAACCTCCCTGCCTTGAAACCCATCCACAGTATTCAGTTCCATATCTGCTGCTACTTGAGATCCAAATGCACTAGTGAAACGAGAACGCAAAACCGCAAGTTGACGTTTATAGGGGGTAATGATGCCAATCCTTCCACCGACAAATTCAGAGGGATATCTGTAAGCAACGAGACAATAATATTAAATAACTTTTAAAACGTGTGTGAACAGAGTGCTTAAGATGATTCAATACCTCTTTTTGAAAAATCTAAGCAGTTGAACAGCAGCTTCAGCTTCTTGTTCATTGCACACGGAGCTAGAATCCCCACTTCGATGCTCTTGGCCATCAACAATATCATAGAAGACATATGGTCCAAGATAGTGATTCTCGTGAAAAGGGGCTGATTTACTTGACATGTCAACACCATTTAGCAACTTATTGTCGTAGAAGTGCATAGATGGGAATCGGCAAATGTCTGGATGCATCCTATACTGTTTTAACAGAGAAAGAAGATAAATTGTAAGCCCAAGTTCCAGACACTGACACAATTTTCCAGTTTAAAACAGATATCGCATTATTTTAAAACAAACAAAGAAAAAATAATGTGAAAGGATAACTTCTATATCCCCGGAAATCAAATAATAATATACCTGCTGGGTAAGCATGAGGATAGGGTATCCAGCCCTTTGTAAGCGTTCAAACATGCTGCATTCATACAAAAACTTGCTGGCAATGTTGGAGAGAACGGTTGCTGGAAGCTGCTTTGGATCTCCAACCTTCAATAACAGGCAACTCTATTAGATAAAACTACAGATTTCATACAACATTTAGCGACACAAGTGAACTATTTCTCACCATTATGCATTTCGTTCCTCTTGACTTTAACAGCTGTAGAGGAATCAATGTAGCTGGCTCCAGAGCCTATAAAGCCAAAAGAGCAAAGTAGTAATCAGTTGTGGCAAGAACACCAATGCAAAAAAAAAAAAAAAAAAAACAACAATGCAAAACAATCAAGCATATAGAATATTCACCTGAGCTGCCTCGTCGATCACTACGGCATCGAATAAATTATCTTCAGATGGAGTGCTAAATTTATGGGCTGATAAAGATTCAGCACACACACTATACAAATCTCCTCCACAGCCACTTAAGGTTGTAACGACTATTTGAGCTTCTTTGAGAATGGACTTCCTCAATTTATGTTTCAATGCTCTAATTTCATTGTTAGCTTTTCTCTCTTGAGCCTGAACCGCACTAAGATCTTTGTAAATTTTTCTCTTTTGCTCATATAGCCGCCGCAGTCTTATCCCTAGCTCTGCATCAGACATTGGCTTGCCATCATCATCTTTGTGGAGGTTTTTATTCCCCAGCTTCTCTTTGGCGTCTAAACTTTCCTGGTTTAAGTTTGCACGCTTGGCTTCAAATTGGGTGATCTGATCAACGACCTTTTCTAAATTACAGCGCAGCAACGCAGAAGAATCTGCAGCCTTGTTACTCTTAGCTTTGTCTATCCGCATTCTCTCCTCAGCTAAACGCTGTTCAACAAGAGTATCCAGAAAGAAGGGCATTGAATTTGGATGAACAGTTTTCGCATTTCCGACCCTCACAAGATACGGTTTGAACATCTTCTCATCCCTGCCATAAATGCCTAGACTAGATATTCTTGAAACTAATTCATCAACTGCAGCGTTTGACTGAGCGCAAATCAATACCCTTCCTCTGCCAATTTTTTCTGCCATCTTTTTATTTGTTTCCCCATCAGCCTCTAGTTGTTTAGCCAGAGCTGCATCTTGCCATACCCTTGCAAGAGCCACATTCGGATTCATTCTCTGCCTAAAAGTTGCAGAAGAGCTATGATCTTGCTCAGAATTTCCATTGTCACTTGTTCTACGTGAAATAGATGCAAGCAAGCCACTAATAATGGCAACAATAGTGCGAGTCTTTCCAGTTCCTATCAAGCAAACAAAATTTCTTTACTATCACTAAACATCAAAGACTAGCGTAAGATGCTAATCATCCTAACCAGAGCATATTATAGATCATAGTAGGCTACTATTGACAAGGAAAATAAATGACTACCCAGAGCATAGTATAAATAAATAAAAAATTGGTTATTAATGATAAGGAGAAAAAACAACTAACCCGGAGGGCCCTGAATAAGTGAAATGTCAAGAGCCTTCGTCAAAGTGGATGAGCCAATGGCAACACTAATAGCCTGAAGCTGACTCTCATTGAAAGATGATTTGAGTATTTGCTGTAGCGAATGTGGTAGTGAACGCAGATCTGATTTTTTTATTTCAGAATCATAGCTAGAGTCGCTCATAGGACTTAAGATCACAGGAAGGATAGGAATATCCCTAATGGATGACAGAGCTTGAAACTCTCGAACTTGGGATGTAATGTTTAGAATGCGACTTGCATGCCACTGGCTACGTTCCAAGAGATTCCTTCTAGCTTGATTAAGTCGTGAAAACGCATTCTGAAGATACAAGCGTACATTCAAAATACTGGACCGTTTTTTATCATCCCATTCCCGTCCTTCCACCTAAGAAACAGCAAGTTCAGTGAAGATCAGAATGAGATGTGACAAAATAAGTGAAAAAAGAACAAGCTAACAAGGCCCAAATACTTATCCTGATCATTCTATCTCATTACAATGTATAATATCCAGCAACTATGTTCAAGTATTAGAACATCAGGAATAACCCTTTACTCACAGTAAACCTAATCAAATAAAAATTCACTGAAACTTCAAACTAGGTTCCTCCATATATCAAACCAGCTACTATAATACCTTGATGGCTTTCAATCATATGTTTTCCTATTCTACTTTATCACGCACAAGCAAGCAAAACAAATACCACATACCTTTCCAATCATATTAACACCGACATTACTGTTTTCTGGATGCTCTTTTGTGAACAAAACCAAGTCATTCTCAGAGAAACTTTTCGAGTTGGGGTCATCATTTTCGTCTTGCATAAAACGAACAAAGTGAAAATCGTCTACCCTTTCAATCGATAAAACTGACAGAACACCATAATATATCTCCTCCAATGACGATATCTCCTGGAAGGAACTTTGCAACTGTGCTTTAAACTCTTCTAGAACCAAGGGCTGGAAAATCTGTATATATTGTTCAGGTGAGTCGAAGCGCACTGGAACTTCCCTAAACTTTCCGACATTCTTATTCTCATCTTTATTCGTTGACGCCAATCCCACTACTGCATAGTAGTCCATTTGCAAAATCTTTCTAAACCAATCTTCAAGCCTCGGTGGCCTGAATCTTTTAAATCCGGCTTCTTGCCTCTGCCAACGATCGGATTTCTTATTTACAGGTGCACAAAGTTGAATGACTTGTCGTTTGGGAACAATGGGCCCTGGTTTTGCCAGGGGTAGTGACTGTGGTTTCAGAGATTTAAGTGCCAAGTCCAGTGGATCAACCTCCGTCTCAATAACGACCTTTCTCAAATCCACGCCTTTTGTGTTGGAAATCGCAGATTTCTGGGCCCCTTTTGAAGTTACACGAGAGATGACTTCATCAGTAACATTCTTTAAGTTGGCTCTGTTATCAAATGAAAGAGGACCTCCCACATTCTGTCTATTATCTGCTTCCCTATTCATACTACCAACCTTGCTTGGTTCAGCGTTTGTGGTGGGAAGGTCCCTAACAATATTGCTGGAGCTTACTGAAACATCTTTCTCTGAGACAACTGTTGCGGAAAACTTTGAAGTACCAATACTAGGAGTAGTCTTCTTCAGAGAGGTAACCTGTGAGACGCTTTTGATAGGTGGAAGAGTTTTAATAGTATCAAGTTGGTGAGACTTCTGCAGACTAGGTAAATTCTTCAATGATTCCTTCTCAGTCTCATCCTCCGTTATATCCATCATATTATCTGGTTCTTTGCCAACAACATCAACAGGTTTGAGAATCTGGTACTCATTTGCCTTGGGAACAAGGCGTGAGATCTGTTCTGCTAATTGCTCGATGTCAAGATCATCTAATTTAAGAAGAGGCAGAGCATGATGAATTATATTACCATAGAAAAATAATTCTAAATTGCCAATTAGAAACTATTGACTAGCAGGAAAACCACTTACCAGCAGATAGAACACGTCTGATAGCCTGCACTGCCGAGGAACAAGCGTCACTCTTTGATCCTTGTAAGATGTCTAGCAAAGCCAATAATGCTCGCCTCCAATATGCAACAACAACTTTAAGTTGTGACCTTCCCCAATCGATGAGATCAGGAAGCCATTTAAGATCAGATGCATCTTTCAAAGTTCCTCTAGTAGCACAGGACTCTTCACGGCTTAGTCTAAGTTTTCCCAGAACGACAGGAAGAATCTCAAGCAAACGTACACATGTCAACTGCCAAATAAGGTTAATTGGAACCTAAGCAAAATGCCACGCTCGACTTTTTTGAATCATATATAACGCTCAAATATAGACACCCAACAGGACAGTAGAATAAAACACAATCAATATAAGTATAACAAAGGTTCAGTAAAAAATACCTGGTAAAGATTTTGATGGATGAAAGCCTTTCCCTCAGCTAAGCACTTCCTTATCGCGCCCCAGGCAACTTCTGCCAGCGAGTAGAGAAACTTCAGCAACTCCTGGGTAGCACTCAAGGAACTTCTGCCCTCAATCACAGGAGGAGCATTAAAGTCAGGTTGCGTCAAGAATCCCCCTGCGGAACTCTTCACAGTGCCAGTAATCCCGACATCCTCTTCCTTCAGCAACTTGAATAATAAAAAAAAAAAATGGTGCAGGATCTGAAAGCTTTGTAGAACAGAGCTCAAATGTACCTGCCAAAATCAGCAAAAATAAATATAAGCAATATAAGAACAGTCGCAAGTCAGAGATTTATCTTACAGGAGAAAATATACTCATAAATAAAACTGAACCTCACAAACACAAATTGTGACTGCTCAACCTAGAATTTCAGTTGCTATAGTGGCAACGGGTGGACCTTTTGTAGCCTCAGCAAAGATTAAACATTATGAATAGCATTAAGTACAGAGCAGAAAAATGCAGATTATTACTGAACTTGCACTTCGTGAGATAAGCTTCAAAATGGATAGTTAAAAGACACATTGTATGTATATCCTCCTATATGCTGAATGAAATTTAGCTACTGCGTACCTGCTGTAAAACATGTCTAACTCCGGAAAAAACAAATAGGAGATGCGAACTTTGAGAGCAGAGAAACTTCAGCCCACAAGACAGACCTCTGGTATTTGAAACGTGTTCCAGCATAGACTTTCCAAACTGCCTTATATTCTGTCAACAAAAACAACGCTATCAGCATTGCTCAACTTTACACGCAGCTGAACCAGTGTTTTATATAAAAAGTAATCATCTCTTGAGATGGTACCCAGTTATCGTTTCGGGCCATTACGTACATCATCTGGGTCTGAAAGAGAAAGGATGAAGGTTTCGGCCATCCCTGGTACCCAGGTCCACTGTTTTCGACAGTCTTCGCCCATTTGGACCAGAAAACAAGTGGTCAATCTACAAAATCAAAACCCAAAAGCCTCACTATTACAAATCGTAATACAGAGTTACCGGTTTGCCTACCACAACAGTAAAATCAAAAAGTACCTTTTCAGTGTTCGTATCAACGTAAGACACATCTTTGATACTGTCACAGAGTTTTTGGACTCCTTTCCTGGCCCCCCGTCATCAGATCCTGTAGCTACCTTCCATCCAAGCGTGCCTTTGATTTCAACAGCAGAAGATGAAAGCCAAGTTTCGATATCAACCGTCATCTCATCACTCTTTTCAGATTCTACCAAACAAAAACGTGATCGAGACCAAAATACTGCTTGGGATACCGATACTGGAACGTTTAGAAGATTTGTATTTGTAAGAGTAGTAATCCAGAGCATCGGAATGCACATCCACTCTTTGCACTCCCCAAGAGTAATTTTGCTCTGCTGGGTAAAGTAACTCCACGGACGATCACTTACATCTTCCACAGCATGGGAAAAGGGAAGATTACTGTCATCTTCGTCATATTTTACCTCATTGCCCATATATGTACCAGAATTATTACGTAGCAGCGAAGCTAGTAGGGCCGTTGCATCAGATACCAGTATAGCTTGGACAAGATCAATAGCAGGTTGTCGCAATGAAATATGAAGTGAAGAATCTTTAAACGACGACACAAGAGATGGTCCCCTGTCAAATCAGTTCACTTCCATAAATAGTCTATGAGAAAACGTACTGTCCTCAACCAACATACAAAATAGATATGCCATAAACGAACGGGAAGTTGTGGGGAGTAAAAATCACAATTACAATATTTGATATATATGAACAAGAATCGTCATACTTAATATCCTTCATGCTCATGTAATAAGTATTTGATAGAAATTCAAAACCAAGGATGAAAGAGAAGCCAATTCCTCAAGTATCAGATACAACAAACAGCTGCAAGAGAAAAGATAGGCCCAGTTACACTAACCACATGTGTGCGCACTCAAAGGGAGGACAGGGTGGGTTCATCGTGTAACCTCTAAGTACAATAAGAAGAGCAATCTGAAAATAAATTTTAAAAGTTTGGTGAAGAAGAAAAAAAAATTGCAGCAGATGTGTGATAGTGAGAAAGAACAAGAACTACCTTGTGGCCAATTCTTCTAGCTAAAACGCTGAAGTTACTGCTAACTGGGACCTGATGAAGGAGAAAGTAGAGAAAGTGTCTACGTTGCTTTTCATGCTCACCATCTCGCAAAGCCTCAAGGGACTGGACAGGGAGGATATGCATAATATGGCAAGGTAAGTAAAATGAAATCAAAGAGCCCAAAACACATGAAATTATGTCAATCTCATTAGATAAATCATATATGTCAGAGAAACTAATTCAAGCTTGCCTGTAATAATGGCTGGAAAAGATCAAAAATGGCTTTGTGGATCTTCTCGGCTCTCGTATGGAAACACTGACCCAACAACGTGTTACGCATCACACTTGGGGACAAGGTAGACCTAAGCCAAAGCTTACAACCTTTGAGACATCATATAAGAATGTGTCAACTAACATAATATAGAGCTTCAAGATAAACCGAGTACTTTGCAAAATGACAATAGTTACCATACCAAGTGTCTTAAATAGCTCTTTCAGGCAATTAACAGCCAGCGAAAATTCAGGTGAATCACCGCTTATATGATTCAACACTGTATCAACAAAAATGGGATAAGGCTCCAATATCCCCTCTTCAAAAGCAGGGCCTTCTAAGAACTCAAGCCTTTAAGAAGCAGAAAATATTAAGGAATCAGCATATCAAGAAAAATATTGAAAAAACATGATAAGAAAAAGACTGTAAGAGGAGATTTAGACACTAACTCTTACAATGATGTCATCCCAAGCCATATAGATGAGCGGTCTAGATAAATCCGCGGCCTCGGTTCCTGAGATGCAGAAGGCAGTCCCTCCATCTCCAGAATTCCAATGAATTTCTTGAGCAATGGCTGAAGGCGTTCCAACTGGGCTGCTGACCTGCCATGGCAGCAGGTAATATCACATACATTATAGCAATCAAAGTTTCACAAACACCAAGTATCCTGAGAATAGACTTAGCTATGAATTTACTTTGCCTATTTATAAAAGGGAAACATACCTCAACTTCCCCATGGCCCTGGCCAAGCGGTAACCAATTACACGCACCCTTCTATTGAGAAAAAGGAGTGCATACACACCCTATGAAGGTTGAAACACGAAAATATAGCAAGTCAGAGAGATTTAGTTTAGTATAGGAAACACAAGAAGCTCTCCACGGGTTATGACCATACCGGAAATTCTTGATTCTCAGCAAATGCAAGCTCATGAATGTTGTCGATTGACTCAATGAATTTCTCAAACTCAGCGCATAAGGACATATCGTCAAAGAAGAACGGAAACATCAAAACCTGACACCAAAAAACATAGCCTCATAGTTATAAGATGCCAATCCAAGGATGCGAAGAAATGACACATCAAATCATAAGAGTCCGTTGATCACGCAGATAGTTCACCAATGAAAATAACAATCCAGTAATTATTCGAGTCAAAGGAAAAGCGAGAGCTACAATATACTACAGTACCTCGTACATTACACTAACAACTTCTGCATGATGATGATCTGGATCATATGTTCCTTTTTCTACTTTCGAGTTGATCTCTTGCAAGTGAGTAGTCACCCTTTCCTCATCAAGTTTTCGCAACACGGCAAGTAGTGGACCAACAGAAGCGCACTCATACTCCTTTTCATACATCTCCTGCGTCTGATGGTGCTGACAAATGCATTGGGCACAAAGCCGCATCTCTCCAGAGATTCTCTTCCACAAGACCTTAAGAGGTGAATCATCTCTATCATCTTTAAAGAAATTGTAGAATGTCTCAAGAAGAGGCCCCATTACATCGCCATACCCACACCAAATATGAGTATCTCTCGGCAAAGATATCAATAAAGTGAATGCATCTGTAAACCTGGAGAAAATCATCAGCGTGAATTATATAAAAATCCGAGGATGTAATCGCTGCAAAACTTGTATGATTTCGGATTACACTCAAATTAAAAGTGAAGTATCAGAGCCAGCGAGAGATATAGTAGGAACCATTGTTCTTTGCGCTGGTTGAGACGCCGCAGTGTAGAGGGATCAGAACCGTCATTCTCCTCTTCGTCTTCCTCGATTCTCCTCCACCGGCTCAACAGCTCTCCACTAGAGGAGACTTTACTCGTCATATTTTCCCCTCAATTTTAAACGACGGAGAGAGGAAACAAAACAAAAAAATCCAACAGAAGGCGTAGTCAAAAGTTCCGGCGACGAAAATCAGGGTTTCTGATGAACAGAGGCTGGGGAACCAAATTGAACTATCTTACTCCAAATTGAATCAGTTTTTGGATACATGGCTATTCGAAAATCGATTCGAAGCTTTCCGTTTTGGTTTGGTTCAGTTTGGTTTCTGACCATTTGCGGTAGAACCAAATTTGAAAACCCTTATTTTAGTTGCCTTTGCCAAGGAAAACAATGACACGGCATCGTTTTTTATCATTTATATATGGATTGGAAAACAAATCATATTGGGCCTGGGTTTCTTAAGCGGGAAGCCCACAGACTTGATTTGCGCAGGAAATAAATAAATTGGAAAACAATTCCTTCTCTTTTTTTAAACAGAAAAAAAAAAACGAAAAGAACCCGTTTCTCGTTCTCACGTTCTGCAAACTCCTCTTTCGATTTCAGGTGATTGATTTGATTAGGGTTTTGAGTTTTAGCTCATGCTTCTGTTTCGATTTTTGTGACTCTGGATTTTTCTGTTGTTTTTCTCCGTGTGGAAATTATGTAGAGTACGTTTTCGCAGCTATGGATTCTCTGTCGACTGTTAGGGTATACAGTATAGATCTGGGTTATGTAATGGCTCTTTGCTTGTTTGATTGATTAGCTAGGATGGTGTTGGAAGCCTAGGTCTAGGATCTCTGATTGATTCACGGGGTAAGAAAGAAAGATTAGCTGATTAATCTTTGATTTTTGTTGAATTTTAGCATGTTGACGGAGAAATCTTGGAACCTTGTAGATGAATATTGTTTATGTTTACTAATGATTTGTACAATTTCAACCTCTCCGTTTGCTAAGTTGGTAGTTTTTACTTATCAATGTTTCAATAAGTCACTGATTTTTTATTGAGCGGCTTTCATTCTTGCCTTCCAGTTTGTAAAAATCTAGACTTTTGTTTTGTGGTATCTTGTTCTTACTGAATAATGTGCCTCAAAGTCTGTATGATACCCCATGAATGAAAAACTTGAGACTTGAGCTCATTATTTCCAGTTTGCAGTTTCACTTCTAATAAACTTGTGTTTTGTGGTATTGTGTTCTTACTAGCAGCCAAGAGATGTCAGCATATGAAAATGTTATTGGTGGGAAGCTAAAGCTAAAAGGGAAGGCTTTAGACGTGAAAGCAGGTGGAGTAAAGAAGAAGAAGAAGAAGCAGAAGAATCAAGAAGAAGTAGCTCTTAAAATTACTGAACACGAACTCATAGAAGGTAGACATGACCGCTTCATTCCTCAAAGTTGTTTTTTTTTTTGACATTCATGGACAGAAGAAAACTGATATGTTGTTGATTGGCTATATTGGGTTTGGTTATAGGAGAAAACGCAGAAGCATTGGGTAAACTAATTGAAGGAGAAGAAGAGGAACAGGATAGGAGCGAAAAAGCGAGCGAGGATGCGAAATTTCAGCATGATGATGATCACTTAACACCTGCAGAGAGACGGTACATAGAGCAGAAGCAGAGGCTGGATGTGCAGAAGCTAGCCAAGGAAGCGAACAAGTCTCACCGTAACAGGATTGAGGATTTCAATCAGTATCTGGCTAACATGAGTGAGCACTACGATATCCCTAAAGTCGGACCTGGCTAATGTAATTCTTGGCTGGCTTTGGTTTACTCTGCTTATCAATTTGGCACTGTTAAATTAATAACTCTTGGATTCCTGTTATCTTCCCATTGCTGTTCGATTATGTGGTCTCCACTCTCTAATGCCGAAAACACATTTTCTTGTAATGTATTTTCTGCAGTTCTCGGTTTCTTGAAATGATTCTAAATTGTTGTTTAGTGAAGAGTAAACACATGTGTTGCACTACTGCACGGGCTGGCTCATCCCATCAATTTGAGTAAAACAAATGTGATTTATAAATTCCAGCAACTACGATCAAAACATAAACCGTGATCCAATTTTATATTCGATTTGTTCGAGTGTCCAAAAATCCTAAGAAAAACAGATGGATAAAAATTATGATATTACGCTTAACCGAAAACTCACATTAGAATTTGGTAATTTTCTTATCAACCCAAGGCAAAATCGAGCGTGAACCAAGGTCAAACCACCAAATCGGAACTCAAACCGAATCGAAACTCGTCGCTGTTTCATTGTTTTTTATGAAAATGTCGGAAAAAAGAAACATTCCGGGAAAATTCTGTCAGAAGAAGAGATGGGGGAAATGGGGAAGGCGATAGGATTGCTGATAAGCGGGACGCTTGTGTATCACCATTGCGCTAATCGAAACGCGACTCTTCTCTCCCTCTTTTCCGATGTTCTCATCGTTCTCTTATCCTCCCTCGCCATTCTCGGTCTTCTTTTTCGTCAACTCAATGTCTCGTAAGATTCCCACACTTCGCCCTCGTATTTTCGGTTTTGCTGCAAGTTTTGTTGATTCGAGTATTAGGGTTGTTTGTCTTCCGGTCTCTGATTTGTCGATCGAAGCCGACAGTTTAAAAAAAAAAAAATTGCTTTGGCTGCTTGATCTGTTCAAATTGAGTGTGCTTTTGCTGTCTTTAGTTTTCACATAATCATGTGGGTTTTCAAGTTTCTTTGTGTTGGCTGCTTTATTTGATCAAATTGAGTGTGTGGATGTTAAAGTTTCTTTCTTGTTGCAAATTGCCTACTTCTTCATGTTCATCATACGAAAGGGTTCTTTTTTGTTTGATTCATCAAACCGAATTAGAATATGAAGCTCAAGCTTTTGTTTCTGTGAATGTATCTGCTTTTGATCTTCATAAGCACGAGTTCTTTTGGCAACTAGTTGTGTTTGACTGTGTTATTCTCATAATTCCATAAATTTCATCCCTCCTTTGCGATCAATGCAGAAGTCATCAACTCCAAAAGTGTTATTGATTTGATGATCACTGGTGCACTTCTCTTGCATTCACATGATGTACAAAATAACAACCTTTTATGTGTGAAGGGTACCTGTGGATCCATTAGAGTGGCAGATATCACAGGATACAGCCAGTAACATCGTTGCACGCTTAGCTAACACCGTTGGAGCAGCTGAATCCGTTTTGCGAGTTGCAGCAACGGGACATGACAAGAGGCTATTTGTTAAGGCAAGTTGGTCTCCTCGGTTATTACATTAGAAGAGATACTTCTCTTAGTTCACCTGTGTATAATCTAAGTCCCTGAATGGCAAAAGTATATAACTAAACTCGAGCATTTATGGAACTGATGTTTGAGGACATTGACTAACATTCTTCGGAATCCACTGATGCGACGAGTTATATGGTTTTACTTATTGGCAGAGTTCTAAACTGAGTTTGTGTTATCTTTCGGATGTTTCTTTCTTTCAGGTCGTGATCTGTCTTTACTTCTTGGCAGCTCTGGGACGAATTATATCGGGTGTGACCATTGCTTATGCAGGTAGGAATGTACCGGTTCCCAGATGTTTTGATTATGTTGTAGCATTTAATTTTGGAGACTCTTCTTCTTCCTCGTCTCAAATGTATGTAAACGAACCTGCCTAACCTGTTTCTGGCTATTGTTTCTTCTGTGTGAAACAGGACTGTGTTTGTTCTGTCTCTACATGCTCTTTCAGAATTCTCAGTCTACCGGAAACTCTCTACTGAAACGAACAAACCGAGAGATTTTGGGACGAGAAGCAACTTCAGAGCTATGAGCTTCCGACTCACAATCAGTCGAAAATTGTCTCCTTCTTTTTTATATTCTTCCCAAGTCCCAACCTTCACATGTTCATATAGCTTTGGATAGTTTACATTTCTATACGTATCACTCGTAAAATGCGAGGTTACTTGCAGTTTCTAAATGTAGAAATATTTTGTCGTAATTTAATGTTTTTTTCTCTTCATTTCTCTTAATCAAAAATAGCCAAACTTTACTGAATCATGCAGTCTATCGTTGATAAATTCTTTTATATCGATATGATAACTAATTACGACCACGAGAACAGTAAATTCTTCTGTTAATTATCAAAACCGGATTGTACCGATTTCTAAAGAACCAAACCACTGAAACCGGTATAGTCATCATCCCTTGCTGCCTCCGCCACAAGCAGGGTTTAGTTCGAGTCTTCTTCGTCCTAACTTCCTTATACCCACCCAAAACCCTTCGCCGTCTCTTGCTTTTCGCTAACTTTGCTTGCGGTTTTCCTTTTCAAAGCCACAAACTTTCCCTCTTTCTAATTCCTTCCCGGAAAATTCTCAATTTCTTAAGGAAATTTCTTTCATGGTTAGGATTTTGGCGCAGAGGGTAAAATGCTATGGAGATGCAGTTGGGTAAAGCAGAGGAGAAAAATCCTTAACGCGCTCAGTTTCTCTTCGATTGACGGTCAGTTCTCGCCGAAAGCAAGAGAAACCGGTGAATTTTCTCGTCGAGTTGCTCTGAAACCACTCACCCACGACGATGTCTACTCTCGTTTACGAGAATCCCCTTCCGACCTAAAAACTTTGAGTTTCTTCTTCTGGTGCGCGAAGCAAAACAACTACTTCCACGATGACCGAGCATTTGATCACATGGTCGGCGTTGTTGAGAAACTAGCTCGGCGATACAAAAGCGTTGATCGAGTCGTGGAGGAGTTGAGACTATCAGGCTGTGCAATCAAGCCTCGAGTTTTATTGCTATTGCTGGAAATCTTTTGGCGTGGTCATTTATATGACAAGGCTATCGAGGTTTACAAAGGCATGAGTAGTTTCGGATATGTGCCCAATACTCGTGCCATGAACATGATGATGGATGTTCTTTTCAAATACGATCTTGTTGATCGAGCTCTGGAAGTTTTCGAAGGGATCCGTGTTCGGAACTTCTTTAGTTTCGACATTGCGTTGAGTCACTTGTGCAGTAGAAGGGATTCGGTTAAGGTTAAGATAGTTTTGAAGATGATGATTAGGGAAGGTTTTTATCCCAACAGTGAGAGGTTTGGGCAGATCCTTGGAGTGTTCTGTAGAACAGGCTGCGTCGCTCAAGGGTTTCAAGTGGTTGCATTGATGGTTTGTAGTGGAGTCTCCGTGTCTGTTAATGTCTGGAGCATGTTGGTCAGTGGGTTTTTCCGTTCAGGAGAGCCTCAAAAGGCGGTTGATTTGTTCAACAAGATGATTCAGATCGGTTGCTCCCCGAATCTAGTGACGTATACTAGTTTACTCAAAGGGTTTATGGATCTTGGAATGGTGGACGAAGCGTTTAGTGTGCTAAGTAGAGTGCAGTCTAAAGGTTTAGCTCCAGATATTGTTCTTTGCAATGTGATGATACACACCTTCACAAGACTCGGGAGGTTCCAAGAAGCTCGCAACGTGTTCACCAGCTTGAAGAAAAGGAAGCTTGTGGCGGATCGTTATACTTTTGCTTCGGTGGTGTCTAGTGTATGTTTGTCTAGAGAGTTCGATCTGCTTCCTAGTTTCGCCGATGGTATAGGAACGGAGTTAGATCTGGTAACCGGAAACTCGCTCATAAACTGTTTCTCCAAGAGTGGTCACGGCTCGTACGCGTTGAAAGTATTCTGCAACATGTCTAACAAAGATTTAGCTTTGGATTGTTATACGTACACTGGATTTCTCACTGCGCTCTGTCTAGGAGGTGCTCCAGCTCGCGACGCAGTTGGTATTTACGAAAAGATCATCAGAAAGAAGATCCGTCTCGATGCTCATTTTCATACTGCGATGATCGACGGTCTTGTGGAGGTTGGTGAATACAATACTGCGCTTCGTTTGTTTAACCGATGCATCTTGGAGAAGTATCCGTTAGATGTTGTGTCGTATACGGTAGCAATCAAGGGACTTGTGCGTGCTAAAAGGATCGATGAAGCTTGTTCTGTCTTATCCAAGATGAGAGAAGCTGGGGTTATGCCGAATCGACGGACTTATCGGACTATTATCTCCGGTTTGTGCGAGGAGAAAGAGAAGGATAAAGTGAAGAAGATTTTATGGGAATGCATTGAGGAGGGAGTTGAGTTGGATCCTAACACTAAGTTCAAAGTGCTTTGTCTCTTGTCTCGATATCACAGAGATGTTTCTGAGTTTAGATCTGTTTTTGAGAAATGGACGTACAACTTTGATGTTTCTGGTTCATGCGATGAATTATCTGTTTCTTCCGGCTGAGTTTTGTGGCAACTGTATAATGCATAGGTGCTGTAATTCTTTTATGTATTTACAGAAATGAAATACTGTATTTTTTTTTGTCAATACATAAATGAAATATTATAGAAATTAGATAATGTATGAAGATTACCTAGTTTTTTAAAAAAGATGTAACACATGATTCTTAAAGAAAAGTACCACAATAGTATATGAAAACACATTTACAATATTTTGTTTTATATATATAACATCAAATGAGTACTTAACTCTTATTCTAAAACACAAAACAAAATAAAGAAAAATATTTTACTGGATAACATTTCATTTCCATCGTAGTATTAAATCTATGTAAAATTCCATCGTAGTACTAAACCGGGTAGATCCCAATATCTTTTTGTAAACCAAATCCCATCAAATTTGGCAGTCCATGAACGTAGCTGGCCACATCGTTTAAGATTTAAATGATATGCTTCAAAAGAAGCAATAAAACTATGGGTAGGTCCGTACTTAAGAACGCAATTCCATCATGTTGTATGTGGAACAGGATTATCTCTAAAATCAATTATGAAAAAAGGGTCCTTATATTTCATTATGTGAGTTTTTATATCACCACGAAGCTGTTTGCGACAATAAATATAGAGCTCATTGTTAGAATCGAGTTCATTGTGAAATACTATATGATTTCTCTTGCAAGAAGCAGCTTCATTTAACCTAAAGTATAAAACTGTAACTAACACAAAAATTATCAAATTATTCATATTTTGGTTGTAAGATATTTGTTAGAGTAAAAACAACATCAACATATAGTATTTATAAAAACAAATTTGTGAGAAACACATTTTTCTTTATTTGGTAAATAATTTATCTATGAACTTGACTAAATTTAAACATAAAACGAACTAATTTAACAATGGGTGTTCTAGTTTTTATAAATTTGGCTGACCTCTAAAATTAAACCAAACGAATAAATTTTACTAATTATAGCTTACCACAAAAATTAAAAATCGATAATCGGCAGTTTTGTGAAGGTTAGTGAATACAATACCACACTTCATTTGTTTAACAGATGCATTTTGGAAAAATATTTGTTAGATATTATGTGGTATACAAAAGCAATTAAAAAACTTGTACGTATTTACAGAAATGAAATATTTTTTTATCGATCAAAAATAAAATATTACAGAAATTAGATGATATACAATAAAAAAAAAGTTACATAGTTTTTCAAAAAATGTAACACATGACTCTTAAAGAAAGATACTAATATATAAAAAACAGATATTGTCTTACTATTTAAAACAATGATGAAATATACATAGAAATCAAATAAACTCATGTTCTATTACAATATTTTGTTATATATATAACAACATCAAATGATTTTTCATATATGCAATGACTTATATCTCTTTGGGTTCTATTTCTTCTAACTCAGGGGTATTACGAGAACATATGTTTATTAAAGACATAAAGAACATCTTAAATTCCAAAAATAATTTGGTGGACAAAGTAGAAAAGCTTGTCGTGGAAAAGACAAAGTAGCACGAGTATAAGCTAAAATAACTTTGGGTAAAACAAACAAAAAAAACCTTGTGGGCTGCAGTCATTGGAGCTGTATGCATGTGTTATCGTATGTTTTAGGATAATTAGATTTGTGTAATATAAATCCTTTGCTTAACAGTGTTTTCCATTTTAGTTTCAAGACTGAACTTCTCTTTTGCAAAACAAGTTTGCGTTGTGTATTTTGAAATCTTTTGTATTAGAATGTTTGTAATCGAAGTACATGTTTTGAACTAATCAATCAAGAAAGCTGTTAGAAAGAGTTTGTATCGGAGGAGGTATGCAAATGTTTCCGACATTTAACCAAACATAGCAAAACGATCAGAAAAATACAGACTTATTAACAGAAAAATATATACAACAGCATTGTAACGTAATCAGAGGGAAATGCTACAAGTCCTATTCTTATTCGAATTTTACACATTTGGGGATATTACTAAAGAAACCTGGTCGTCTCGTCTATATGGTGGCGTCTTTGCACTTGGTTCGGTCGTCAGAATTGTCCCGACCCGTGTCCTTGACAAAATCTACAGATCCAAAAGGGCCTGCAAACTTCAATCCAAACGCCGGCAGATTCAACGAGCTTCTACCCTTCCTCATCCTCGGAGTGAGACTCAGTATTTGAGGTCGTCTCGGTTTTAGCCTCCATCAATTGTGGTTGTACACCTAAACCCACCGACCAAAACCATATGTTGTTGTTAATGAATAACGAAACAATTCTCAGACCACAATTCTTCTCTAAATGTTATAATATACTACTATATTTCTTCATCTCCCGATTCAGAACCTTGTAACAACATCGAGCAACGGCACTAGATGATTAATTATCTGAAAACGAACTTTTTTTTAACTTATATCAAATTCAGATGCAATTAAGCGGGTAGCTAAGGATGGTCGAAAAAAACTTAGCAGATTAACGATTCGTTAAAAAAATTTCCAATTCGCAAAATTTGGGAATTTTCAACAACCGCATTAACGATCAAACCAAAAATACGAACCTTTAAGGAAATAATCAGAGGAAGGCCATCCGTGAGACGAATTGGTGGAGAGCGATTCTTCGTCTGTTAACGGATTGGCCAGCTTCGCAACGAGCTGTGCGATACCGTGAGACTGCGATCCAGATCCGGGAGGCGGGACCCAATACGACGCACCGGGAACAAACGGGAGCCAATCAGGTGCTGCTCGACGGACGAATATCCGGTGAACGGCGTCCTCGAGCTTCTGGATCAGAGGATCCGAGTGCGATTGAGAGGCCGCGGTGTCGATTTCGTAAAGATCGCCGCCGTGGCTTGCCCGACGATGGGAGGATTGAGATCGGAAGGAAACGAGGTGTGATGAAGGGAGGAGAGAGGCTACAGCTGCGGTGACGCGGCCTTTAGAGAGAGAAAATGAAAGGGATAGAGAACGAGCCATCTAGAGAGAGAGACGAGAGCGGTTTCTGTTCAACGCTGTAATTAGGATAAGACGAGTTTTGATTTTTGGGATTAACCGAATGTGCATTTTCCCTTCTTATCCTAGTTTTTTGGGGTTATTTTATTACATACAAATTACCTTGTTTTTTCCAAAAAAATATTATTTTGATTTGTTTTTTAACTTTCAGAGCCGACTTCTTTATTAAATGCGATACTGCCACGAAATAGCTGTCTGAAAAATTGACATGCCCATGGTTAGAGTTTATCCTAGGGGCGAATGATTAATGATTAATTAAGGATATCAATCGATTTTAAGTTAAACCAAAATTGAGTCAAGTTTACTGATATTTGTTTTTTCCGATTTTTAAAGCTCGTTCAAATTAAATTCGTTTTTTTTAATCTTAGTTTCCGTAAAAACATTAAACAAATACCAAAATTTAGCATTTTTACATTATATATGCTGTGCATGATCAATATTTTCATCTTGTTTTTTTTTTTTTTGAAAATAATATTTTCTATCTTGTTATGACTAGAAAATTCAAGAGGATGGGATTTTAACTTTGATATCGAAAATCAGTTCAAATTTGTCAGGTAAGGTTACATTGTATCACTGTTTTGCATCTCAAGATAAGTAAAATAATATCTATCGTTTTGTCTTTCTCAAAGATATTATTATTTTCATGCTTTTTTGTAGAGATATTTTGGGTCACAAAATAGATATTTTGGGCTAGTTGGCACCAACAAAAGAAAATAGATATTTGGGTCAAAAGTTTAGTAGGTAGATAAACTCTAGAATTATTTGATTATGGGATCTCAAATCCGATGCAAAAAAAGGAAGAATACATTATTGAATCCATTTTTTTCACTAACCTGCTGGAAAAAGGGAGAATCTAAGATATTTTATTTCCGCTAAGAAAAAGGAAGAACAGCAATAAGACATGTGACGTGGTCGTTGTATAAAGAAAAAGCATGTGATGTAGCCGTCGGTCGGCAAAGAAATCCTCTTCCGAAACTGCGTCGTTTAGATATACCAATCGATCAAATATGGGATAAAAACGACGACGAATTCAAAGTTCCTCCGATTGTTGCTGCGTCGCCTCTCTGCCGGAAACGCTACTCTTTACCTTTTCTTTCACCGCTTCCGCCGCATCACACGCCACCTCCGCCGCTGATCTTGCAGCTTCCTCCACCGTACCTTTACTATGCTCGAAGCTCCTTGTGACCGCCTCTTTCATCTTTTCTCCTGCTCCCATCGCCGGATCATCCTTTCCTCTAAAACTACGCAACCAAAAGAGTGACGGAGGGTTAAAAAAATAGAAATATTCCGACCAAGAAGTATTGGGCCGAGCCACTTCTCTCTCTTGGCTGCAGATATTCGAACTTCATAAATGGAATAATTCTATCATTTTTCATGACCTGCTAATTATTACAAAACCAACTGATGAATGAGGATCTACTTACTCTATGTTCGGAGGAAAGAAGCGGGAGTGTCCACGACCCAAAGTCTCTTTGAGTTTTCCCCAGTAATTATTACCAGACTGTTTGATTTTAGATAGCCAAACCGTCGTCGTTTTATCTTCAGCCGGCACCGCTCTCATGTGATCAACGTCGTCGCTGAAAACATTGACTGAGAAAACGAAAAGGAAGAAGACGACGGAACATATGCATAGCAGGTGGAAAACTTGCCCGGGATTTAATTTTCTGGCCATATTATTATATTGTTGTTTTCTTTTCTTCTTTTTTGTTTTCTCTCTCTGCTTTTAAATAATGCATGCGGTAAGAGGATGAAACTTGTGGAAGACAAATATCACAGAGGTTATTGTTTGCCAGTCGAGTCGGCGAGTAAGAGGTGGTGGGGACACCACACGTGTCTAACGCGTGAACCAGATAACGACAAAATTACGGACGTAAAGGTGGTGGCTCATGGAACAACTGAGACGCGGACGCGTGGTGTTTGACACCTTCAGATTATTACGTTTTTTTCTTTCATGTCAGACTCCGACCCACCGGTTTATCAGTTAACCGATTCCGGACCGAACTTATTTCTTTCATAAATTATGTCACGACCAAAGAAAAACCCCGGTAAGCCCCTACTTTGGTTCGGTACTACGACCGTCCTTACCATTAGATCTGTGAAAAATTCATATGATAAACAAGTGCTATTTTTCCAAATTCGAAAATCAAGTGACTCATGTTTTATATTTGTTTAACATCCTGAGACTTTTAATTGTTTAATCTAAAACTTTAAATCCTTAGAAAAAGAAAAAAAAAACATTTGGTCCCTCTTTTCTATTTTGTCACTAACAATGTTTAGTTAACATATCGTTTTGATTTGACTAGATTACATTCTACAGAATCAAGACAAGTAAGCACGTTTTTTTGTGGTTACTCCGAGCTATTATATATATTGTGAGCCAGATCACACACTGCAAAATTGTATTTTATATTTCGTAGGTGTTATTTCGTAATGAAAAATATCTCTATTATGTATATATGTTGTTATCGTCTTGCTTCAATCATTATAAATGAGTTACATTATTAGCTACAGTATTACGTGTCTTTTCGCGCGTCAAGGTTTCGCATAATGCATACTAATGAATGAAATCACATGTTCTGAAAAATGCTCATAAATTTAGGTGATGTAAACCTTAATAAATAAGAGTTAGTTAAAACCAATAGATGACAGAGCTTGATTTACAGGTTAATAGATTGACTAACCAGTCGATGTGATGTGACGAATCATTAATTCGAATTTTACTTTGCTTGAAAGAAAAGCTTCCAATAATTAACGAAGTCGACCAGATAAAAATTAACCAACAAACACGTCGGGCGCGAGGAGAAAAAAAAACAATTCTATTCGTACGTACCAAATATATATATACATTTTTCGCCGACTTACCAACGAAAACGAAACATTGACAAATCCAATCACCAAATTGATAGTATTCACAAATACATATGCTTATTAGAGACCGCACGTGAATGATTGATATTAAGAGAAACAGAACAACCAAATGAAAAACACGGCCGAACACTCAAGCAGAGTTATTTAAAAAAAAGTATAACAATAGAAAGCAAATGTAAACTGCATATACATACTTTACTTTCTATTGTTATACTTTTTTTTTTTTGAACAAAAGTTTTCAAATTTCTATTGGTACACTTTATTTCTGTTGTTAGTAAGAAAAACACAAAATATTGATGACTTGTGCCATGGAGTAGCAAGAACGTTGCTATTAAAGTTTGTTAATATGTAGATTTTTTAGATTAGAAAGGCCAACTAAGTTTACAAGGATTAGGTGGAAAGAAGATTACATGGACATGTTATACATATTTCTATCAAATGATTAATTCCTTAAAATGGTTTATAAAATACAATTTTGTAATGCCGACAATGAAAACATTATTTTCGAATTTAAATCTCACAATTTCCATCGTTTGTTTTTTCTCTTGTAAAAAAAAAGTAAAGAAAAGAACAGAGTGTTTCTTCTTCATTCTTTCAGTTTGGTGGACAATAAAAAAAAATCTTAGCCTTTTAGAGAGAGAGAGAGAGAGAGAGAGAGAGAAAGAGAGTGGAAAGGGGAGGGGAGAGGAGAGGAGAGAGAGACTTCGACAACTCATCATCAGTTGGTGCGGCTCAAAGAGAGATCGAGATCGAGATCCACACGACGGAGAAGAGAGCTCACGGATATGGGATCTCGGCTTCCTCAGTATTGCTTCCGTTTCGTCTTCTACTGTCACTCCCAGAATAGCAACTACTTTTCCCGATAGCTTTCTCGGCGTCAGCTACATTTTCTCGGAAACTCACTCTTAGTCTCAGGTAGTCATTTTCCTAGATTCGATTTTCCTTATGTGATCGTTTCTTTCTCATTTTGGGGTTGCCTATTGGCTATTTTCCATTTTTGCCTTTTCCCAACTTCTTCTGTATTTCTTTTGGCTATTTTGGGGCTTTGTTGGAAAATGACGATCTACAATAGATTCCCGATTGTTCTACTCTTATTGATTTTGGATGTTTTACTCTTCGAGATGATAAAACTATTTAGAAATCTTAGGGAACTACTTGGTTTGATTGTGATATGGCGTTGAGTTTTGAAATGACAAAGTCCACCGATTTTTTTTAGAGTATTTGGAATTGCTTATTAAGTTTTTGTATGATCTGGGTTCCTGAGCAATCCATTTATGTTTTTGATTTTTCTGCTGATCTTCTGTCTTTATGATTTTTCAACTAATCATACCTGGTTACCGGAAAAAATCGCTGGTAGAAACTTAGAGATCTGAGCCTTATAGTCAGTGGTCCACTTTCACTACCCGATGATGGTGTACAAATGGCTATTTCTATTTTCTGATTAACTCAGTTCTGGCGGCTAGCTTGTCCGCATAGGTCTTTGGAGCTGTTTTTCTTTGTCATTTCTGGTTTTGGTATTGCCCACTGTTTCGCCTGTCCCAATCTCGATCTGAAAAATGTCTTCTTCTTCATTATTATAAATGTGGGCTATGTGCATGTGAAGCAGTATGCAATTTGGGTCACATCTCTCACTTGTCCCTGTGTTGTTTCTGTAGGATTTGAAATTCTTACGTTTTCATCACAGTGTCTGTGGTGCTGCTCATTGATCTACTCACTCTGGTTTTTTTCTCCAAGAAACCGAAATGGGTTCGAGATACCCATCTCACCAGCTCGGCAATGGGTTGTTCGTCTCTGGTCGGCCTGAGCAACCAAAAGAAAGGCCTCCAACAATGAGCGCAGTGGCCATGCCTTACACGGGTGGCGATATCAAGAAGTCAGGAGAATTGGGGAAGATGTTTGATATTCCAACAGATGGGACCAAGTCAAGGAAGTCTGGTCCCATACCCGGTGCTCCTTCAAGGTCTGGCTCATTTGCAGGGACTGCACAGTCAGGTCCAGGCGCTCTTAACGCCGCTGGTCGTATGTCTGGGTCTTTAGCTTCTGCTGGGTCAGTTTCGATGAAGAAAACGAATTCTGGACCTTTGTCTAAGCACGGAGAGCCTTTAAAGAAATCGTCCGGCCCGCAATCTGGTGGTGTAACCCGGCAAAACTCCGGTCCTATTCCTGTTCTTCCAGCTACAGGTCTCATAACCTCTGGGCCTATTACGTCAGGCCCTCTGAATTCATCTGGGGCCCCTAGAAAGGTTTCTGGTCCTCTAGACTCTTCTGGTTCGTTGAAGACACATATGCCTTCTGTTGTACACAACCAGGCGGTAACTACCCTTGGTCCTCAAGATGACTTCTCCTGCATGAAGAGCTTCCCAAAGCCTGTTATATGGCTTGTTGTTCTTATATTTGTCATGGGGTTCCTTGCCGGAGGCTTCATTCTTGGTGCAGTTCACAATCCAATTCTACTCATCGTTGTCGCTATCATGTTTACAGTTGTTGCTGCGCTTTTTATCTGGAACATTTGTTGGGGGAGACGTGGTGTCACAGATTTCATTGCTCGTTATCCTGATGCTGACCTTAGAACTGCCAAAAATGGTCAATACGTGAAGGTCACTGGGGTAAGTAGGCATTGGTCCCTCAATTGACTATTCTGTCTATGATCATACGGTTGAGTATATGGTTGCATATGCATAGTGAGAGCAAGCTTTTGCTGTTTTTTATTGCATTGGGTATCTACTAGCTTGGTGCAAGACCGAGTACTAAGCTGAAGTAGTTGTAAAAGAACATGTCTTGGAAGAATGGCATTAGCTATTGAATGCATCTATAGTCATGGTTTTCAGTGTTTATGACATTGTTTCTCTTTTTATTATATGAAGGTGGTTACTTGTGGTAATGTGCCGCTTGAGTCATCCTTTCACAGAGTTCCCAGGTGTGTGTACACATCCACATGCCTATATGAGTATCGTGGATGGGGTTCGAAACCAGCCAATGCTTCACATCGCTGCTTCACATGGGGACTCAGATCATCAGAGGTTAGTAGTTCCCCAATATTAATCACATTCACAGAAGAAATGATTTTATTATCTTCCTCATTGTAATTTTAATGTGACAGAGACATGTGGTGGACTTTTACATATCGGATTTCCAATCTGGGCTCAGAGCCTTAGTCAAAACCGGAAACGGTGCGAAGGTAACACCTCTCGTAGATGATTCAGTTGTCATCGATTACAAGCACGGAAGCGAGCAAATGTCTCCAGATTTTGTTCGGTGGTTAAGGCAGAAGAATCTATCGAGTGATGATCGAATAATGCGGCTCAAAGAAGGGTAACCAACAAACACATTTATAAACCAACTGCTAGAGTAGTACTAATCGGAGCTTAGATCCTGAATCTCTCCGTTGGGTTTCAATATCAGGTATATAAAAGAAGGAAGCACTGTGAGTGTGATCGGAGTGGTGCAGAGAAACGATAATGTGTTGATGATAGTGCCATCGTCTGAACCACTTGCAGCTGGTTGGCAATGGAGGAGATGCACATTCCCAACAAGCCTTGAAGGTGTCGTATTGAGATGTGAAGACTCATCGAACGTTGATGCAATACCGGTTTAAGTCATCGTCATCATCATCATCATCACCCAACATCAGAGTTTGGGTTCATTAAATATTTCTTCATGAATCTGTAAAGATGTGGTTCTTCCTGGTGGGTAACGTTTGGTGGTGGGTGGTTGGTTGGTTGTAGTGTTTCTTATTTTTTTTTTCCTTTTCATTATTCTCTTTTAAATCTATATTTTTTTGTTCTCCGAGCTATTACGGTTAGAATGATGGTGATGGCTGGTGGTGGTACAGTTGATGGTGATGGTGATGGTGATGATGGTGGGTGTGAGTGTGGTTTCATATGCCTAAGATGAGCTAATTGTTTTCTTCTTCTTTGCCATTTGGTTTGTATAGCTCTTTAAGTCAATTCTTTTTTCGATAGAGCTTGTGTCCTTTTCTCAAAGTGTTGTGTTATGTTTAAATCTTTCCGTTTGTGAAAACAAAACTCCACTTTGGTGTACTTTGAAACCAAATTGTTTTCTATTCATATATGTTAATGTTCTATGTTGGGTATAATCCTAATCATTCTCGATTATCTGTACTCTACGGAAGATTTCAGCAGTTTTTTTTTCCGCCAATTAACAGATTTACGAGTTGCTAATTTGTTTATGTTCTGGATTATCATTTTGCTGCTTTTCATGTTGTATATACTTTCCTATAGTTCCATCGCCGCGCCAATTTATTATTTTGCATCTACATTGTGAAATACGTGAAAGGCACTAACTTTATTATAAAGAAACTTGGGTCCAAAGCAGGTCTTTTACAGACAACAAAACCCTAAACTACAGAACTCAAATAACAAAAAATCTTCCTTTTAAATGAGAAGGTTCATTGTAAAACGTTTCTTTCCCAAACTAATGGGATAACTTAGAAACCCAGCAAGGCGACATTCAAGTAATCAACAAAACAATCTATTTTGTTTGTTTCTCAACGCATGAAAGGGACTAACCAACGCATCTCTGCTCCATTTCCATTAGCCAGATAGTATATCTTCTTCCAGTTTTCTTCTGAGAATACTTCACGCCGAACTAGTCTTTGCCTGCAACAAAGGAGCGTTCAAGAAATCAATATCCGCTTTAGGTTCCTTTATTGTACTCAAGCAGATAAACTTAATGATGTGATTTGATAGCTATGATCACTAGAGGACTAGACAGTTGAGCATTATTACTATTAATATCTCGTAAAGACATAAAAGTTGTTTCATGCTACTCACCGGAGGTAGTAATAGCAAACAGCTTCTGCTTCTTGTAAAGTATAACGAGGGAAATCCTCACGAGCACCAGCTGGAACATCTGGCAAGTCTTTACGTAGTTTTCCTACTGCTGTTGAATGTGAGAATGCACCCACCATCATATCATCATGCATCATGCTTCTGAACGCATTCACCTGCCAAATGAATTGTGTGAATTGGGGCTTGTGTTTGTTAGTCTGGATTCAGATAGAATTCCGAAGAGAGACTCACCGTCGTAAGTTCTTTGGCATGTATGGGTCGGCAAGAACGTGGTGTTACAGGCTCTTCAAACTCACTGAATGTGAACCAATTGTTATACTGAAAGACAAGTAAACAACAAGAAACAAGCAGCAGTAACATTAGTGAAACAGAGGCCGCTCTAAAATTATAGACTGACCCGTACCATAAAAGGGAATTTTGGGAACTAACTTGATCAATTGCAATCAACACTGGTACATCTTTCACGAGCGATAGTTCTTTCCTAAGTCGCACCACGACACTAACAGCTGCATGACTGCTCTTAATCCCCATTTGCACAAGATCATACAGAGTTGAGTCCTCGGGAACTGGCATAGCATCTGCTCCTTTCAAGTATCCTACACCCGCACCCTCTCCAAGCACGATGGGATCATAGATGTGGCACCGTAACTCTCTCAAGCGGGATTCATTGAACTTGACAAAATCCTACAGAAGTTTAAGTTTATTAAGAAATGGCATTAACTAAGAGGAATTCCATTCCCAAAGAGAAGGCATATGATATCTTGCCTTGAGAATATTCTCAGCTTGTAGAGGAGTGTCCCAGAAACCTGTATGTTGATTCTTATAAAAGTAGCCTCCATGAGTCCAGTCACGGCCTTTTGGTGCATATAACACTAACCAGCCTTCGTCACGTGCCCAGTGAACAAGCATCGCCAAAGCAATACTCTTTCCACTTTTAACAGGACCATCCAAGACAATCTGTTTCTTAGTCTTGACACCTTTTCAGAACAAAGCAGGCAAATGATTAATAAACCTATGGTGTTCCAAATCCCGGATAAAGCGAAATGACAAGCAAGACTTAACCAACAACATAACTAGTCTCCTTCCGCTTCTAAGGTAAACAAAAAAACAAAACTGCTGACCATATGAAAGATCACTATTCTTATACTTAGGATGAACAAAGAACGCACCTTTACCCTCACTTGGCCACATGGGAGGATCAGCAATGCGTCTGAAATTATCTCTCAGAGCTAAGAAATTTTTTCTCACAAGCAATGCAGGTCTCCATGATTCTTTAAACTCGTCTTCAATCCCTGAAGCCAATCCTTCCGGAAGAACTGCTTTTAACGCTGCCTCACTATCATCCAAACATTATATACACAACATCAATACACAATGATGCATAACGAAATTTCTGAAAATGTAAATAGAGTAAGGGAAGAGAGAATAGAGATACTCGAATTTGAAGTAGGAGCCGATATCCTTGTGAGATAGCTGCGAAAGGGTAGTGTCTCTGGGAGTAAAGAGAGGCCGTCCATTAGGACCTACATCTAGAGACGGAATCTTCTCATCGTCAGCTAGCCTCTTGGCGCGACCCGCCTCGAGGTCGTCTCCACCTGAAGCACCAAACTCTCCGTCCTCGGCTCCGGCTGCACCAGTTTCGCCGCCTTTAGGTTTTGATTTTTTGCCTTCGGATTTCTTCGTCTTGGTAATCGTCGATTTCGTGCTCTTCGAAGATGAGAAGCAGCGATGAACATGATCTAAACCCGGGAGAAGTGTTCCCGCGGCGGCTGAAGTCGGCGCCGGGAAATGACAAACGGTATCGTTTGAAATCAAAGACCTCCGATTGAATTTGAGATTCCCGGCGGCGATCCTTACGGCGGACTTCCACATTTCTACGGTTCGTCTCGCGCACACTCTCACTCAAGGTTTTAGGGAGGGATTTGGGCGCAAATCTGACGAACCACGAAAGGGCTGAAGCACGGCCGAGGAAGTGGCAAATTCGTCATTTTCGACATGAATAAACACATTAGCCTTAGGGCCCATTTATGATTGGGCTTATACATAATAATAACGGGCTGAAAAGCTAAGCCCATTCGACAGCTAATGTTATCCATTTAACTCTATTTCACTGTAATAATAACTCGGGTAAAGACATTTACAGTCTATAAGAGTTTAGACCCAATAGCATGTCACATCCGATAAAATTGGGGCCAATAGGATGAAGAAATTTGTCGAATTGTAAAATTAAAAAAAAAAAACAAAAATATGGTGGAATTTAATAAGATTGCCTAAAGTGGGGAAAAATAAGGAAAGGGAAAGCAAGAGAGATGGCGATCCAACGTTGAAGATAATAAGAAGGAAGAAGACATTTTTTTCATTTCTCCTATCTTTTTTTATTATCCTCTCATGGCGGATAATACGAGTACTGTCCAAAGGCTCATGTCCTTCTTCTTCATCTTCTTCACTTCTCCTCTCTAACGTTTCCTCATTCTTCTTCGTATTCGGATATTGGCATCGGATTTCATTTAATGGCTATGGCCTCTGCTTCTGGTTCTGCTCTTTGCTTCACTGATGCTTCTAGTTCTCGCGCTATTAGACGCGATGTTGGAGCTTTTTGCCTTGCTCCTAAGAAAGTTACGTTTGGATTTGTCGATAAACCTCTTACGAATCTCGATCGACTAAGGTTTTTTCTTCTTCTTCTTCTATACTTTGGCTATTGATTGGAATCGATTTCTTTCTTTGCCTAATACTTAGCTAACTCTTGACGCCTTCTGAAAATTTGAATCGAGCTTATTTTGGCGCTTCGTAGGATTTTCTCCTTTTCGATTGCTTTTTCGTTTGTGATCTTTGCTGATTTTACTTCTTTCGGGTTTATTATATGAAGTTTTTGAATACTGTTTATGAATTAACTTCATTGCAATGTGAATTTTCTCCACAGATCTCGAAATCCTTATTGCTAGTTTAAGCTGATCTTGTTCTCTGTGTTGTAGTGGAATTAATGTGTTCTCTGATCCAACTATATTCAATCGATTCTGTATTTTTTGTTGTTGTGTATCAGATTATCGAGTTTGAAGCCTCGAGCATCAAATGCAACTGCTGTGGAGGTATGAAAGTGAATTACAAAAAAAGAGGAAACTAAGAAATCTAAATACAAAAGACTTAGAGTTACTACTAGTTTATTTTATTTTAATTTTGAAGAACGGAAAGCAAGATGGAAGTGCCGCTGATTCAGACAAAGTCCCAACACCGGTGGTCATAGTCGACCAAGATTCGGACCCTGATGCAACCGTCGTGGAAGTAACATTTGGAGATCGTCTTGGAGCTCTACTTGACACTGTAATGAGATGTTCCTTTTCTCCCACACTTTTATTGGAGTTTTTGATTCTGCGTGTGTTCGCTTCTCATATGATCAAACTTTGCTCCAGATGAATGCGCTCAAAAACTTGGGCCTCAATGTCGTCAAGGCAAATGTCTACCTCGATTCTTCGGGCAAACACAACAAATTTGCCATTACCAAAGCGTATGTCTTTTCATATCTATCTCATCGAAATTACAGTATCCCTGTTTTAGAGAGTTTGACTTTTAGTTTGAATCTTGTGCGACTGTATTGTTCTGACTGAAACAGGGATAGTGGAAGAAAAGTAGAAGACCCTGAATTGCTCGAGGCCATTCGTCTCACAGTCATCAACAATTTGCTTGAGTTTCATCCTGTAAACAGCCACTTGCATCCTAATATCATCTCTTTCTTGAAAAATTCGTATCTTGCATAGTTTCTCAACTCGACCATTTGGATCAGGAATCAAGTTCTCAATTGGCAATGGGAGCAGCTTTTGGTGTTCTTCCACCAACTGAACTGGTAAAAAGAAATCCCCCATAAAGTGTGATGCTGTTCATATAACGTTATCCACTTCTTTCGAGTTAGACAAGAATGTTTTTCATTAATAAGATAGAAGAATGTTGAAAACAGAGGCTCATAATGAACATGCCTCGATTTGGAGTCAATGTTGAATTGAAGTACTATTAAACTTGATTATAGTATTCACTTTGAGGAATAAGCACGCAACTATCGATTCATTTTCTTTTTTCTTCTGTATTTTGGATTCGGTCGTTGACAGGTTGATGTGGACATAGCAACACATATAACCATTGAGGATGATGGAGCAGACCGCAGGTAAATAAAACACATACCTTATCTCAAGTTTTGAAACCATATCTTCATCTTATCTCAACTTATGCTTTTTTTTTTTTTAATATATGATCTGATTGATGATCATTGGGATTGCAGTTTACTCTACATAGAAACAGCGGATAGGCCTGGATTATTAGTTGAGCTGGTGAAGATCATCACAGATATCAGCGTCGCTGTTGAATCTGGAGAGTTCGATACCGAGGTAATTAAATTTCCTTACAATTTTAGACCTGAAAGATATAGGTCGCTATTTTTCTCATGTTGCTTCTTCTTGAAAACAAACAAATAGGGTTTGTTGGCCAAGGTAAAGTTTCACGTAAGCTACAGAAACAAAGCCCTAATCAAGCCTCTCCAGCAGGTAAAAGTTCATAAACCAGACTATTTCTTGTATTTTTATCTTTTCAATTTACTGTTTACTGAGTAAAATCTTAATTTTGTTCGTAGGTTCTTGTCAATAGTCTGAGGTACTTCTTGAGGCGTCCATCAACTGACGAGTCAAGTTTCTGAAATGCCATTTTGATTATTTGAATCTTCACATTCCAACATGATCACTTTTTACCACCCTTTTTTTTTTCTTTTACATTTGACCAAAATAAGCTGCTTCATTTTAGTGGCCGTCTCATACATATGTAATAGTAACATTCTCTACTTCAATCGTTCATAAAATTTACCTTCATACACAAACCTGCGAAATCTGATTATCAACAGTGTTTTAGAGAGCTGAGAAGATGTTTAACACAAACCAAGCTCAAGAACAGTACATTTGAAGAAAAGTTAGTCTGCAAATATGGGTAAACAAGTCTTAAATCCCCCTAGTTATACAGAGATCCCAGAGAGTACAAATCTTTTTTCCTTGTTTTAGAAAAAAAGGATTCAGATAAAACCTTGAGATAGAGTTCCACCATATATAATGTTATTTAAATGACAATGGTCTTTCTCCGTTTCCAATCTTCATCAAGCACCACTTGCATATAGACGAGTCCACTCCTTAGCTGCATATGTTAACATTCATATGAGATTTTACCAAATTAGAGAGAAGGAAAAAATATTTTATTGTAACTTTTTTAGTTTTTAGATCATATTTTATCACCTGTCTCCACAGCTTCGGCTTCATTACTCTTCCAATGTTTAGCTATGTTCTCAGACAGTGGATCATCTGGGTTGGGTGCACTTAGAAGAGCTTGAATACTTTTGTTTTTTACACAGGCATTGTAGAATCAGAAGCGTCAGTAAATAATATAAACTGCTATGATATTTATTTATAAGGGAGAGGGGAATATATGAAATGTTTATACCTCAAGAGCACAGTTCGTATTTGTAGTGCAGGACTCCACTTGTCTTTCAGTATGTCAAGGCAGATCCTTCCAAGCTATACACATAACGCAAACAAACCAAGTTTCAGAAGGATGTATGGACCTGAATTTGATTGAGTTAGTTAGCTTTGTGCCAATGGAAAAAAGGGAAAGATTTCACAACAGACCTTGTCGATGTTAGGATGGTATATCTTGGTGAGAAACCTGACCTGTGTTACAAATGATATCATCAATAAGACCAGCAGACTCGAGATCAACGTAGAAACATAGGTACCTTGTCTAATGTTATATGTGACAATACGTATGGAGTAGTCATAACCAACCAGAATCACTAAGCTCTTTACACCCATTTAGTATAAAATATCAATATTAAGAGTAGAGTCATTCACCTGAATAGCTAATTACAATGGCCTTCGCGTAAAAGTGAGGGGTTACACTAATTCTACTCAAGTTACCGCGGAATACAATGAATGGAGCTAAAACATCAGAAAAGTGGGGTGAAACAAAAACCAAAGCAACTTACCTTGGGAGCTGCCATAGGATATTCTTCAGGCAAAAAGAGCTCCAACTTGAAAACTCCTCCTACAAATTGAGAATGAAGCAAAACGATTGACAAAAATCAAACTGTAATGAAAGATAAAACAGCAGACTTGATTCTGGAAGAAATAAATAAACCAGAACTTCAAATTAGCATTGTATATCTAGAACACAGTCAAACAAATGAATGCGTAGATAATGAAATGAATCAATGCTCGCTTATAGACTCATAGCTTCTCATACCACCACAAACCAAAAAGTTAAAAACCAACAATTATAAGATCAATAGAAATGATTTCGACACTAAACGAAAATACCCGTTTGTAATTAAAGACAAAAGATACTGACATCAGAGTTTTCATTACTCGCAGAAGAAAAAGGTAAACGAAAATGACAAGCAGAATGCATTGAGGAAGTGCATATACACAATCACAGATATGAACTTCCGCAAACTATAATGGTTGCGGTCTTCAAGAAGGAAGAGAAAGAAGTAATCAATTTTAATACCTTCATAAGGGGATTGTGTAGGACCAAGAATCATAACATTGAAATAGCGCATGTTTTCCTCTGATGGAGAGGCACTTATCCCAGGAGCTGCATAGGGTCGATTGATTAACAACCATTAAACTTAAAATCCCAGAAATATGGAATTTCGAATCGAAAACTCATATCAAAATCAACTGTTTTCAGCTAAAATCAGCTGCATAACTCAACAAGGATAGAATGAATTGATGAGTTTACCCGGTTCACTTAGTAGACGTTGAGTTTCCTACCAGATCGGAGAAAACAAAAAAAGTCAGATCATCAGTTGCAGAAAAGTAGAGAGGATAAAGATCAAACAAATTTTCAGAAATTCTCCCAGTTCTGACGAGCTACAAGCAGGAGGTCCTTTATCGGATTTCAGATTAAAAGCCCCAGAAAACGGAACCGAGAGAAATCGAGATCGGAGGATTTTACAAAAGATCGGAGCACGCACCTTGATGATTCTTCGGGGAAGATTACTATTCGCCATTATCGCGCCCTATCAGGTTCGATCGATCTCAGGGAAGTTAGGGTTTTTGAGAGAGTGCAAAGCTAACGAAGAACGCACGGTGATAATCGAGGCGCTTCGTCGTCTGTCGTCTCGTGTGCCTTTATTCTTCTTTTTTTTTTTTGGAAATATGTTTTTTTTATAGTGGTTATAAATATATAATAATTCATTTTGAGAGAATTTCTTAACTTCCATATTCAGATTGATGATGTCTTGAACCATGATTAGTGGGATTAAGAGAGCCAATGTCAATGATATTATTTTCGTTAAACAAACTCATTCCCAAGTGATTATCATTTTTTTCTTTTTGCCTTTTACGACGCGTTGGTCGAACGCCAACTTCAGGAGCCCCCATAGTGTTGTCATTTAATCATTTTTCGTCTTTCTCACAATAGTCTAAAATATAATCGCAAAATCAAAAATGAAAGTATAAGAAAAATATAACTTTGGAGAATCATAATTCAAAAGTGTCAACATCATCATCATAACATGATCCTTCTTTTACGGTTTTTTCTTTCTGATCATTTCGAGATATACAAGTCTCTTTCCTAGTAGGAACCGTGAACATAAAGTTAAAGCCGACACTAAGCAGTTAAAAACTGGTCAATGAACTGAGTCAACAGAGTTTAAGATCATTTTGGGACTCTTCTAAGTATTACGTATTTGCCGAACACATTCTTCTCCTGCCACTTGTAAGGGATGAAGAACGATCTATACTTAGCCGGGGAAAGCTCTCTGTCCAGATAAGGTAACACGGCGATCGCCTGAAAAAAAGGCTCAAAAGAAAAACGAGTGAAGAAGAGAAAGTAAAATTGAAGATAATACTTTTTATTTCAGGAGGCTGGTTTGATTCTTATACCTCCCATGTCGATAAGTCGCTGCCTCGATATGGAAACGGTCTGCTAAGCTGCAACTCAATGAGGAATGTGCAAGTTTCGATATTCTTCAACTGAAAAACAAAAAAAGAAAAGAGTAAGATGGAGAAATCAAGCAATGCCCAAGTTTTATGATTACAGAACTTTTCAAGAGAGCGAGTTTTACGAATTGTTCATCAGATGCTTGGTTCTTGTTGTTGAAGTAGGGAGGTGATGCTGCAGTGCCTCCAAGTGTAGTGTTGAATGGGAATGGAAGAAGACCGCGGAATCCATCATCGATCCACCGTACTTCGCTGATGTAGTCAGGCACGAAAAACGATGACGGGTATCGATGCCATTCGCTTCCCACACACAGCACAGAACCTGGCATGCCAATTAAAACCAACCAATAACTCAGAGAAGTGTTCAGAAAACTTTTGACGAAAAAAAGGCTTTGTTCCTCTTTTTCCAATGGAGGATTACTATTCTACAAGTAAAAGTGACATGTGATCTTTTCACTCGTGTTTATACCTGGTCCTGCATCGTCATGGTGCTCCAGCAGCTTGTAGACCTCTATTGGAGCGGAATAGCCATTAATCAGAGAAAATGTGCGAGAATGTGAAGCACATAAGATAAGGCCAAGAATCACAGGTCGGAGGTATTTGGTTATCTGCATATTAATAAGAAATGTGAGCATCTTTTGGATTTGTGAGAAGGTTTAATTCAGAGACTGAGATATTGTAAGTTAGAACTAACTTACTGTCACCAAAAAACTTTCGCGATTGCTATACTTTTCCCGGAACAGCTCAGGGATGTTCTCAATAACAGCAGAAGCAGAAACACATATAAGAGGGTATATTGGATAAAGGAACCTGCAGCAATTGATTGAAAACATTACTGGTTGAATATCAGGATATGTTAAAAGTATCATAAAATCTAGAAGCCACCTTATAACTGGTCCAAAGACTACAAGATGAAAGATATAGAAGATCACCTTTCTTCTTTGTGGGGCTGAAGTGACATGAACGCCAGCCAAATATACATTGGCGAGATCACAACAAGCAAGCCACGGTCATACTTTCTTCTGATAACAGGATATAGTGCGATGAACAGAATTGCCAACACAAAACACAAGTTGAAGTTGTTAAAGCCATTTCTTATATAAAACAACGGTCCTTCGGTCCCATAGAGATGGCTTTCTCCACCCCCTAAGACATTGTATATCAAGAGATTCAATACCGAAGATGTCCATCTCTTGTAATAATAGTAATCCACAAGTAACGAGAGTCCCTGGAAAAGAGGCAAAAATTATTTAGGAATAGGAAACAGTAACTTTCAAATTACAGGTGCGAATGAAAGTCCGCAAGATGCAATATCCACAAAGACAAAGCACCTAGAGTTGGTGTTGGCTTACAAGGATAAAAATAGAGGTGACAGCGCCAGAGATAAATGCTTGCTTGAATCTCTTAACCAGACAGTAAATAACGACGGGTAAAAAGGCCAGGATAGAAAACGGCCAGCCAAGAATCACCCCGACGACCGAAACTGCAACAGCCATGGCATACTTCTCGAATAGTAATAAACCAGATGCGAGACTCATGGCATACATAGAGAATGAACTCGGGAGGAAACCTAGCCAAATTTAAGGAAAACATAAATGTGTAAAGAAAATCAGAACATAAGTGTCAAATTCAGAGCAAGGGAAAGAAAAATGTCATTGGAATATCTAAACAAAAGCTACACTAAACAGAACACTCACTGGTGCTAGCAAAGAAGCAGCCACTAGTTAAGCAAAGCATTGCAACTGCATACGTGGCGAGACGTTTCCCGTACTTTCTGGAGAGAGCTACAACCAGGACAGTGTCTGAAACTGCAGAAACCAGTCCGAGAAAGAGTCTCACCGCATAGAAAACCCTAACCTGTCCACATTATATACACACAAGTAGATAAGAGATATGCAGTGACATACCAATAAGAATCATACATCAGGAACTCAGCAATGCTTTACCTTGTCATCACCAAACCACCAAGATGCAGGCCGCCCAGCCAATTCGTGGAAAAGAATGTACAAGTAGGATCGAAGAGCAAAGTTGGAACTACAAAACAAACAAAAGTAATTAATCTCAAGATTATGATTTCGCATAAAACCCTCAAGTTAAGATCAACTTTATACATGAAAAGGCACAACGATTAACATTTGATTGGATCGAGGACATGCATCATACCAAGCAGAGGCATAACTAAAGTAGCAACTTAAGTTATCTGAAGTAAAACCATTAGATACCAACAAGCAAGGAGAACCCAGCAAAGCCTAACTTATTCGTCTATTTAAAACACTCTCGAACAAAGCTCAATAGATTAAGAACGACTGCCACGAAATCAAAGTTCCGGTTAACCACATCGCAACTTCACATTACAGATTTTCAAATTTAACCAAAATGTCTAGAAATATTTGCCGCAGCTTTCACTCAGGCACCATCTATGCACACTTCTACTAATTTGAGCTAACCTCGTGTCTGTTACTGACTAATGCGCATTATAGAAATGCAAAATCAAACCTGTATTCCCAGGTCTGAAACCCTGACTTGTAGAGTAGATAATGGAGAGGCTCCCAGTAATTGAAGACTTCATCGCAGTCATGAATGATGTTAGAAGTCGCGCTCATGTAACGAAGATAACACAGCGCCATAAACGGCAAGAACCACCGGAGACCGCGATCCTCCGCATCGCCGCCGTCAGATCGGCCGGGCTTGTCAGTCTTCGAGTATGGCTTGGTCGAAGATGAAGAAGAGCCAGATAGAAGCGGGCGCCTCTGGCGCGTCGTCGTTAGATCCATCGAGCTTTTGAGGAATTTCACTCAGCAATAATAGTGCGAAAACGGTCGTGGCGAGTGTGCAGCAGATTGCAGAACCTCCCTTCTCGGTGAAGCAATGAAAAGTATCTCGTGCACTCAGAGGGTTACCAAAATAGATATAGGCCCACAGAACAATAAAGTCTCTCCCGTTGATGGGCTATTTGTACTTGTAGACCCGGTCCAGTAATCAATAAAGCCCATTTTTAGGGTAAACAGGATTGACCGGTTAACTCTCAAGTTTCCGAGTTATTATTATTCTAGCACAAGATGGAATTGAGGTTCTTCAGCTTCCTCACGATCCAACTCTACACTATGTCACTATCTCTGTGTATTACAACTCCGGCCACTTCAGACATCAATTGACGTTCATGTAAGGTTTTGCTGAATTTACGGTCCTAAATATTTTTATTTTGTTGGAAATTTAAAGCGAAGCATGTTATTGATAAACCCGGTAGACTAATTGAAATTCACTTAGCTTAGCTCAGAGAGCATCAATCTTTTCACCATACAAACACAGGCAGAAAACCACTCTGTCAAGAATTTATAAAATTGCAGAGGATCAAAGGAAAGCAGAAAGGTCCAATCTTCATTACGAGTACGAGTATCAGAGTTTAGGGTTCATCAAAAAGAAATACAGAGGCAATTTCTTTCTTCCATAGTACAGAATAATTTGGGTGGAAAAACAAAAGATCAAAACTTTAGGTCAACGAGACTAGAATTGTAACAACTTTTGCATCTGGATCAAAAAACAATACAGATAAACTTACAGAAAGAAAAGAGAGAGCGAGATCATCATTTCATTGCTTTCTGAACCGAATCTGCAGGCGTTTGACTCAGTAAACCTCCATCTCCTTGTTGGTTCGTCTCCTGCTGTTTCAGGATCGAATTCTTCTCCATCTCACGCCACTTGTTGATCGCGAAAGTACATAAAACTGCGAATTTACTCATGTCAAAAAGCTGGATTTACTCGGCCCATAAAAGTGTTGGAGGCAAAAACCAAAAAAATGAAGCAGAAGGGAACTTACATCCGGCGCCGACGAAGTAGATCATTCGGAGAACCTTCGGCGCCGGTGGACCTTCCTCCATCATTTCTTCTAAATTCTAATCGCTGCTATCTTCTTCTCTGCTTTCTCTAAAAGAGTTCACTCAAAACGTTGTCGTTGCTAAAGTTCTATAGACAACAAAAAATAAACCTAACCCGACAACATAACGCAACCTGACCCGACTTGACCCGGTTTTTGAAGTTTTGGTCTTGAATCTTCTGAAAACAGAGAAATCAGAATGAAATTGGAGAGAAAACGACGATTGAAGATGAGCATCGCTATATTACAACCAGATCATGGAATAGGTACCACTACATTCACCGATAAATCCAGATGCTTTGAAGAAACTCTCTCCGGTGAGCTAAGATTTTTAGTTTAGAAAATTTCAGAGAATATGAAGAAAATCTGCAATTAGTGTTTTAGATTCATGAATCTCGGTTTACCTTGATGACCCTATGGTTGTGCTACACTCATTGTGATTGGCTAAGCTTGATTCGAATTTTTGTTCTACAGTGTAGTGTAGCTAGGGGTTTCTCATTCATGACTTTTCGTTTCTCACTGTGTTGGATTGTCCACCATTGTTGTGTTACACTCATTGTGATTAGCTAGCTAGATTAGCAATTTTGTTCTAGAGTGTAGTAATGTTTCAGATTTGCATGCATTTTCCACAGGGTTCAAGATTCATGATCCATATCTAACGGAATATTCAAATTTTGAGAGGAAGAAGAACATCGATTTAGCTGTTTCAGCCTTTGCAGTGCTATGCAAAGAAAAAGAGAATCTAGATGACATTACCCTCACGGTCGCGGACAAGTTTTACTATTCCTTGCTTTGTAAATTTTCACTCGGTTCGATGCTTAAGAAAGTTCGTGGAGAATGTTGAATACTTGGAGGATCTCAAAAGTTAAGCCAAGAAAGAAGGCGTGTCTGATGGAGTAAAGTTGATCGCATCTTGTTCAACACCAGAAAGAAACAAACCCGTAATTGCATGCCATAGCGGTGGTCCTGTGGAAACAGTGAACAGTGTAGTACTCCTGAAGATTTCATGAAGGCAGTGGTTAAATTCATTGGAAATTCTGAGCAATGAAGCCAGGAAACATGTCGTCGAGCCATTTTAGATACCACAAGACATTTGGACAAATATTGAATCAGTTTCTCGTTGATGTCTCGGGTCCTAAACAAGATTGAGATTACTTTTCTGTAAACACTTAGGCTCAGTTGCTTACGCAGTCTGAAACAACAATACATTTGAAATAAAGTTATAAAACTCATATAAATGTCGATGTTGTTACAAAACAAGAACATAACTGAATAATGGACCATGGGTTTATAATTCTCTCTCAACAGATTAAAACAAAAGGCCTTCAACTTGAGCAGCACCCGAGTTTCTTCAGAGCAGAAACATCGTTTTTTACTTCGATTTTCTCCCCTTTTGGAACAGACCCGTTCCCATCTTCACCGGCTTCGACTTGCTTCTTGCTTGTGATGCGGTAAATCTGTGTTAATACCTCTGCAAAGGCGTCCTCGACGTTGGTGGCTTCAAGGGCAGATGTTTCCATGAAGCAAAGCGATTCTTGCTCAGCGTAGGATTTCCCATCTTCCGTCGGAACAGCTAGCAAGTGGCGGAGATCAGATTTGTTACCAACGAGCATCACCACGATGTTTGGGTCCGTGTGGTTCTTGAGCTCCTTCAACCACCTATCTACGTTCTCAAATGTTGCACGCCGAGTTACATCGTATACTAGGAGAGCGCCCACGGCTCCGCGGTAGTATGCACTGGTGATGGCACGGTACCTGCAAGGAGAAGAATCAAACTCAACCTTAAGATTTGGGCCAAGACTCGTGATAAGTTGTGTTGATAATAAAGTTATAGGCTTGACATAAAAGAAAATTCTTATAAGCTTCAGAATCCGAATCTCAGGCCAGTCCCCAATCTAGACCCAGGACCTTCCATAATTAGTACCATAAATGACCTGATATGTTTTTCTCAAGCTGTCAAGGATGTGCATACGGATCCCATATCCAACAATTTTGCCAAAAATAGGGATAAACTAAAATGCCAGGTCAAAGAAGGCAGCAAGGCAACTCAACTAGTCAAGACTCAAGAGAGCAAGTTCTTTGCTTATACTCTAACAATAGTATATAGAAGTGTTCCTGATTCTAGTGATCATTAACCAGAAAGAATCACATGCTCTTGTTCATCCATTCAATTAAGATTCAACTCGAGCAATTATGGTCGTATTAAGTCAAACACAGAGGGTTATTTTTCAGAACAGAGGCTAATATTTAATCAACATTATTAGCTAACTCCATAATCAATCCTTCAACGGTGGTCAAATGCGGGTCAACCTCAGGAAACGTTTCCATAAGAACAATAATTTGAGTGCAAAAGTCAACGGATAGACTCTCTAGTAAAATGCTGCGGAACAGTCATTCACTACTCCAAAGGCTAAATCCTAAGAATAAGCATAGAAGCCAGTAAATATTGAATAGTCACCATCTCTAGACCTAGAAACGGTTCAATTCCGGAATTACCAAATAGATTATACTGGAAAAACATATAGATTTGGTTAATAGGTTCAACTATAATGTAGTCTCATGAGCTCAAATTATGTCAGACAAACGGATCAAAAGCTTAGCTTACCCAATCCAAGTTACGAAAAATATAGATCTGTGCAAAGGAGCTTTGACTGTTAGAGTGATCTCCGGGACAGTGGCTCCTATTTCGGATGTACTCAAGAACAATTAACCCAGAAAAAATCGAAACACGCCACTAAACATGAAAGTGCAATATGCTCATCGAGCAAGATCTAGCTTGACTATCGATTCACACACACACACACACACAAATCGACAAAATTAAAAAGCGAATAACGAAATGGAGAGACGAGGAAGACGGAAAAGCGAACCTCTCCTGGCCAGCAGTATCCCAAATCTGAGCTTTGATGACCTTATCATCGACTTTTAAGGTCCGAGTGGCGAACTCGACCCCAATGGTGGATTTAGACTCGAGATTAAACTCGTTTTTGGTGAATCTGGAAAGGAGATTCGATTTTCCTACTCCGGAATCGCCGATAAGAACAACTTTGAAGAGGTAATCATAGTCATCCTCCACTCGGTACCCTGCCATCTCCGCCGTCTCAGCTGGTTGCTTCTTCGCACCGATTGATTAATCTGAAGGAGAGAGAGATAGAGAGAGAGAGACGCAGTGTAAAGGTGTAAACTGAGATTTGAAATAAGAGTACGCGAGAAAATGGTGTAAGAGTTAACGTGACAGGCGGTGACAGTCTGTGATTATAAAACTGAGATCTCGTCCGTTGATCTGCCGTGCGCGTAGGTGACTATCCATAAGCTTTTGACAGTTTTACCCTTGACGTGTATTGCCATGTGGGCGATGTAGAAATAATCACTCCATTATTAAAGGTTTGAGTGCGATAAATGCCGCCATACAATTACCGTGTTTTGAAGTTAATAAAAATAAAACTAATAATGTGTTTTGAACATTATGTAAACAAATTAATAATTGGAGGAGTTATTAAACTAATTCATGAGAATTTCTTTGGAATTCTTAAACAAAAAAATAATTATTTTAATATAATTGAATTTTATAATTAAATTTAAATTTAAAATGAAAACCTTTCTTCATTCTTTTTATTTTTATTTTTTTATGATGCTCTTACACTTCTAAAAAATCACAATAAATCTTATTTTCAAAAAAGTCAAAGAGATCTCACAGCAGACTGCTATTTTCGCCGGCAAACTGACAGTTTTTTGTCTTTCTTCCCCACCGGGAAAATCTTTGTGCTATTTCTCCGGAGAACTTACGGTGGTTTCGTCTTATTCTTCCTCACTCGCCGTCATCTCGCGGAAATAAACTCCGAAGGTAATTTCAGTAGCTCGTTTCTCTTTGATTTTTTTTTTTTTTGATCTGGAGATCTTGAGTTGACTTTCTGCTAACTATGCGATCTCCGATTTGGGCAATAGATTTGTAAGAGAAGTTTGATTTAACATGTTAAATCTCAGATTTATTCCTCTGAAATTTCAGGGTTTTAGGCATTTGACATGGATGATGAAACCTCTGTCAAAGAGAACCAAAGAAACTCTGATAGGATAAGCAATTTGCCTGATTCTTTGTTATGTCAGATACTTTCTGAGCTCTCCACTGAGGAATCTGTTTCCACTAGCATTTTATCAACACGATGGAGACATCTGTGGTTACATGTTCCTGCCTTGGACTTAGATTCCAACAAGTTCGCAGAGGATGATGTCTTTGTGAGTTTCGTAGATAGGTTTCTGGGTTCCGACAATGAGCAGCACTTGAAGAGATTCAAGCTTATCTATGAGGTATACGAGCATGATGCATCTCGTTTCAAGTCTTGGGTCGATGCTGTGACTAGGCGTAGAATCTGTAATCTTGATCTCCATAACGAGGTGGATGACGATGAGGTAGTTAAGATGCCTCAGTCTCTCTATTCATGTGAGAGGTTGGTGAACTTAAACCTGTACCGCGTGTTCTTGGACCGTCCCGAATCTGTTTCGCTGCCTTGTGTCAAGATTATTCATCTCGATATGGTCAAGTACGATGCTGACTCGACTCTGGAGACGCTGATATCAAGCTGTCCTGTTCTCGAAGAGTTAGCCATAGTCCGTGATCCCAACGATTCTCTGGAAGCTGTGTCTGTGCGTTCCCAGTCACTAAAGAGATTCAGAATAGAGTGTGAGCGATACGAAAGTGAAGACCATGTTGTTGCAATCGATGCTCCAAGACTTGAGTCTATGACTCTTAGCGATCACCGATCTGACAGCTTCGTAATACACAGTATTGGCCCTTCCGCAAAAGTCGACATTGATGTTATCTTTAATGTGGAGTATTGTGATCCACTGGAACCAGATGATTCTTCCAAGATAGCTATGCTCCGTAAATTTCTCACCGGGTTATCTTCAGTCAGCGACATGATCATCTCTTCTGATACTCTAAAGGTACATATACATATATATATATATATATATATAAATACATGGTTGCTTCAACATCATTAAGCTCATACAAATTTCTGCACAGGTGATTCATGATTACTGGGAAATGGAACAGCTACCTCAGTTCTCAAACTTGTCTCGCTTGCATGCTTCCTTCCAAGAAACTTCGTGGGATATGTTGCCAAGTTTACTTGAGTGCTGCACTAATCTACAATCTGTCGTCCTGGTGAGTTTCATTTCCTCTTGCTCTCATGTAAATCATCAAACTGAGATTTATATAATAACAGAAACTCAAACCTTCCTTCTGTTTTTATAACTATTATCAGGAATTTGAATGCCTTCCAGAGACAGAGGAGGTTGAGCTTTCATTTGTGCCTAAATGTTTCGAATCATCTCTTGAGTTTGTTCACCTAAAGACACTATATGTTGTAAACATACAAATGGAAGGGGCACCACTCACAGGAACATCAAGTAAGATGAAATTAGCAAAATACTTTCTAGAGAATGGTGCAGCTCTCAAGAAACTGACACTAAGTGCGAGTTTCGGTAACATAATCAACCAAATCAAATCGATTCCAAGAAGCTCTACGACGTGTCAAGTTGTCATGGACTAATTGAAGCCAACTTACAAGGCCGTTTCTGTTAAATCCAATGGTCTGTAGAGAATTTAAGGTTTGTTTCCTGCCATAAGTAATCATTTTTTTTTAGCAATTTCAGATCAATTTGTGTTCTCTTTATTATGTGAAACCGTTACAGGAGCTGCTTAGGAATTTGAATAATATAATGTTCAAGGCAGAAAAACTCTCTTCTTCAGACTAAGTTTCTACTTATATCACTCTCTGTTGGTGTAGTAAGGAGGCAAAAGTTTGTAAGATGTTTTCTCTTTCAATTTTCATGAGAGCTGTTGGCAGATACAATTGTGTTATTTTGTCGATTTTGTTTTTGAATTTACTTTATTGAACAGATTAACCAGATTTTTTTTCGTTTTTTTATTTTTTTATTTTGTTCTTTATAAAAAACTGTTAGAACCAAACACCAAAAATAAAATAAAAAAAAACCACTAGAAAATTCCTTTTTCCTCTTAAGATTGATCCTACAAACAGTTTAGGGGTTTGGCCTCTCTATCTAGGGTCTCATTCCATCTCAACTTTTCGATGGCCGATCAGGGCACAATGAATCCGATATTCAAGCAACCGCTGAGGAAGAGCACGAGAATCGGAAGAAGCAGAAGAAGTTTGAAGCAACTATGGAGCCTTCGGGAACATAGTATGAAATCGTTACAGGAGCTGCTTAGTTAGTTTAATTCGTGTTCTGCTCAATCGTTTATGTTGATGGCTCAGTGAACTCTCTTCTTGCAGACCATGTTGCTATTATACCACACTCTGATGTAGCAGTAAGAATGAAAAAAGAAAACCAATTAATGGGAGGGATCTTCGATTCCAAACAAAACTCATGTTTTTGGGTTTGTGTTCTCACTAGAAACTTCAATAATAGAGGTAAGAAAAAGTAACATTTTACGAATATAATTGTGTGCCATGGATAAAGTTTAGCTATAAACAGTAAACACAACATTCCAACGACAAAAAGCAGTCATATAATTGTGATGAACCACACTAAGCTATAATGAGCCATTGAAATAAGTTCAATTATATATGAATGTAAAGAAAATACCCTTCTTCTTTTTTTGTTGCTAAAATGTAAATAAAATTCTTTAGCAAAAAAAAAAAAAAAACGCATATGAAGAAAATAGCACTCCCTTTAGATTTTCTCGTCTCCTACGGAACAAATTTTTTCTTACTCAGGAACTTATATTAATAGTGTATTGGACATCTATTAAAATAAATGACCAAATAAATTTGTTTCGTATATATAGTGGTGAAAGTAATAAAACAGAAATTGAATGTTCTTCTTATATTGTGAAGTGACATTTCTAGATCTGTGTTATAAAACTCAACTGTGCTACGCTTATATTGACCAAATACATGCGAAACTGTCAAACCAATCGGTTTATATAGATCAGAAGCATGTAAGTCGATAGAGTTATTGGTTTTTATAGAAGCACAAAACACACACACACACACACATATGTATACACACTTGAAATGATACAGAAATTAGAATAAACACTGCATAGATACGAACTTACCAATTTATATAGTTCATATGTACCTAACCCAAATTACCATTGACTAGTCCTACCCCTTCTCTCTCTCTATATATAGAGATCCACTCTATTAAAGAGTCATTCACACAAAAACATACTACAAAATCCAAAATAATACCAAATATTTTCTTGCTTTATAAAATAAATAATAATTAGTATTATATATCAATTACACGAAATGGCTCGTCCAAGGATCTCCATTTCGATTATTTGCTTATTGCTTTTTATTGTAGGTCTTGTCTCGCAATCTTGTGCAGCTAGAAAGGTTGTAATGCCTTACGGTGCAAGCAAGGGCTTGTTTCTTAGTGCCCTACCAAAGGGCAATGTGCCACCATCGGGTCCAAGCGACAAGGGTCACAACTCTCCTCCGGAGGATTATTCTGATCAGCATATGGTGCCGGAAAACTCGCCGAAGATTTACCGTCTACTGGGATCGGTCCCTAGCCCCGGCGTGGGTCATTAAGCACATTAATTACCGATTTAATATATTTTGTCAATTTTATTTCATACTTATCATATATCGTACGTCGTCTTATGAAGAATGTTTGTGTCTGTGTGTCTTCATATATGATATGGTACCGACTATATATTGAATAGATGTGTTTTGTGTATGATACTGTGATCCGTAATTGAGTAATAAAGTCACTGTTTTACATATTTTTCGTTTACCTCCAGTTTCCTCGCTTTCCAAGAGATTTTAAAATTTGAGAAAATACGTTTTCTCAATGATATTGTTTACGAATTACTTTTTGAAAAATATTATAGGTATTAAACTTAGGGTTTTCAGACAAAATACTGCATAAACCGTAAACGGCATTGATCTAATCGGTACAATAATTTTTTTAATTAACAGATATATTATAATGATAAATTGCAAAGTTTCAGTAGAATTTATGAAAAACAAAAGATCATCGAGTCATTTACGATTGTGTATTCAGGAGTGCTATATTATATTCTTGTAAGAATAAAGAAAAATTCATTTCGAGTACGTACTAATAGTTAAGTGCACAGTAAATCCCTCACAAATTGAAATAATTAACTCCAAAGACTAGTACACTATAAAGGGACACATTTCTGGATCATATATACTTTGACACACATATATAAACATGAACATTTGACTGGTGCCTACTGTAATCGAGAATTCGAGATAATGTAACTAATAGGTTGCGTACGTAATATAAATTTATCTGGAAGAAAGCTATGGTTAAGTACTAAATAATAATTCAAAAGCTTCGCTTTGGCACTTTTTGTAGCAAAAGTTGATGATTTGACCAAAAAAAAAAAATATTTATAATTATTTGACTATTTACGTAAGAGACGTCTTCCTCTGTCCTGTTGACGTTTTTTCTTTAATGATATACTGAATAGATTCAGAGTTTAAGACAAAAGAGAAGAAAAAAGGGAAATGAAAATAGACATGCAATGATATAAGGAACACTATTATTGCTCATCTCCGGGATTATACTATTTTAAGGACTAACTTTTGATCATGAAACATCTTCTCTCCATTTCCTTTTTTGTACTTTCTTAATAAGTTTAACTAACCAACCAAAAATCAACTAGTAATAGGTTACACATAGAATGCATGTTAGATCTCTTAAGTACTTAAATCTACAGAATATAGTTAAATTCGATATCTTTACATATCTGGTCTTAAAATTAAGCAAATCCTATGAAATTCATAGGTAACATCATGTCAGATTAATGTGCCATCAAAATTGAAAAATCCATAAATTTTGATTTTGACACATAATTTTGTTTAAAAGTTTATATACTTGTCGATTATGTACATTCCAAAACTAGTGCCTAGGTATCAATTTAGATTCACACGCTAATGTTATATCAAAGGTTGAGTTATGTTGTCAGATAAACGTGGTTCCAAATCATGAAAACTGTTGAAAATACATTTTGTGATGTGTTTTACGTCAAAACCCAAAGCCAAGTATATAAAACCGCTATGGGTCATTATCATATACATTAGTCTACGTATAAATCTTGGTAAATTTGCATTATTAAAGATCTGTTTGGAAAATTGTCAACCACGTTAACTTCATTATCACCATGTAAAATCATACCAATATGGCATTGTGGCTTTTATAACATTCGTGTATCTTAGAACAAAAACCCATTATTTTCACTCCATATCCTTTGATATTGACGTCGATGTATCGAAGTTTTTTTTTTTTTTTTGGTATGAAGATGTATCGAAGTTTACTTCTGAAAAATGCATTTTTTAGCTTTATAATCTTAACACAGATTCGAGTGCTTCTTTTGAAGCTAAAAGAGGGCCTAAAAGCTTTTCAATCTTGGCCATTTCTGAGGACAAGTTACTCCGTTGACTAAAATCTTTGAATCACTCTTGCAATTCTAGGCTTGTATGCACAACATCGTCCACACTAGAGTCGTCGCTACTGCTTCTAAGACTAAGGCAGACCACAACCTTAAAAATGTAAACAAATATGTATCCTTCTTATATTATATGTTTTTGTTATATATATATAGAACAATCCAAACTTCTTTAATAATAAGTTAATAACAAAATTAAACACCAAGTCAAATCTAGTTACTGTATATGGTTGTGAGTCTTGTGACAAAATTTCAGAAACAATAATTAAAACGACACGCTGTATATGCATCTTGATTCTCAGTCTCGAGCGCAATGTAGAATACAACAATCAAAGGCTGAAACTCGTTTCTTGGGCCTTAAGCAAATGCAATAATGTCGTACGGACTTTTTTCTCACACTGCTCATAACTTAAAAAAACAACTTTTCTACATGACTACATAATCACTTGCTTATTCTTAATATATATAAACCACTAACTAGTTTATGCTTGGACGGAATGATTAAATGATAACAAACGAAATGATGACTAAATGCGTTATTGGAACCCTTTTTTCCTTGGAGATATACCTCTAAGTTAGGTGAGAACAAGTTCAAGAGAAAGAAGTCACAAAAACGTAAAACTCCTATGCTTCTGATAGAATCTTTAATGAAACACACCCACAAAAGAGCTAGAAACTAATAATGCCTTGATTAACAAAGCATATATTGACTTAGAAAATTTTGAAGACATTGTTACTCAATGAACCTCCATGGGTATCAAAAGAGGATCAACCTGTGGAAACTAAAACAACCGATTATTTGAGAAACTAGTAAGAGTCTAGTTCTGAACATTGCTCTGTACAGAACAAAACATAGTAGTAAAGGGAAAGTAAAAAGATGAGAAAGAGCGACTTTGGACTATTTTGTTGAGTGTTATGGATCATATACGTAGAGGGAAGTAATACGACTCGATCGATGTATTTGCAATGAAACAGAGTCGTCACTTTGAAGTTGAAGCGGATGATTATGCTTCACCGGGAGTAGACTCCTGATCATCCTGAGAAAGATAAAAGCATTTGAAAATTAACTTCCAAATTTATACATCTCTCTTTGCTTGAGATCCTCATCATAATTCTAGGTTTCAGTTTTTACCTCAGTAGTGTTGGTGGTAGGTTCTGGCGATGGCACACGAATCACCATCAAGTCCTGTTTAGGAAACACAAGACAATTTGATATATATATTTACATATTCGAGATATACGATGATAAGCACAACAAAATCAAATCGATGGTTATGATAATACCAACCTCGATGTCTTTCAGGAAAAACTGGAACTGCCCTTCGACTCGAGTATCACCCGTAAGAAGCCTCGTACGCGAAAGTGCACCCGCAAGAAGCTTTGTACGCGAGACTGCGCAATGACAGAGGCAAATCATGTCACCACCAAAATTCACGTTACGCAAAAGAACATACAGTGCTTTTAGGTCTAAGAAAGAAAGCTCTTGGAACAACAATCGCGAAATCAGTGATTCCACTCATCAACAGTCAGAAATCCACCAAGAACACAGTTGATCATCAGCCAAGAAAAGACTCAAAATCACAGAAAGAAGACGATGAACACTTAACACACAGTGCTTATTCTCAGAAAGAAAGCTCGCGGGAAGACACAAATCAGTATTTTCGATCACTAAAAAAGTCAGATATCTGCAAATAAAACAATCCAAATCAGCAGGTTTTAGTTGCGATGGAGCAACAGATATCTGTGGAGAAGACGATCGAAATGAGCATTTGTTGCACATGCATCAGAAAACCCAGTGGATCGATGAAGTTACAGATCAATAACCATCGCAGCAACAACATTCCATAAATCAATACTATCGCTCACCCACAAACAGAAATCCGCCAAAAGAAGAATCGAACAAAAATCATTAGCAAAATCTGTCAAGAAAACGATCGAAATCAGCGCTCGCATCAGAAAACCCAATCTATCGACGAGAGTAAATCATATCCATAAATCTCACTATCCGAGTTTCGATTCCTCGAGCAATCTAACAAGTAAACCACGAAAATCAGCTAAGTTTTCGACCTAAATACAATCATCTCGACTTCGATTGCATCGATAAACCTACAATTTTGTCGAAGAACGCACAATCATATCAAAAGAAGACGATCGAAAACAACGTACCATCGTCGATCCCGAAACTTGCATCCTCTGCGTTGAAAAAGTAGACGGTTCCCTCGTAGAACTCTCTGGCCGACGTGAAGCTCACCAAAGATCCGACGATCAAGTCTGGAGAGTTTGTGGAGTCATGGCTCGCCATGGCTGCTCGCGGAGGATTCTGTAACTGTTTCCTTCTCTAACTTCTACAGGAAGATTCTGATTCTGTTACTTCTTTGAGAGTCAGAGAGCGAGGATCTATATCCACTGTGGATGTTTCCCTTTATATAGGCATTTGGAGGGAAATGCGATTGCAATCTCTTTTCACGTACGCCGATTACAAAATGTTTGACGTTATTTTTTTATATATAAAAATGTATTTCAGGTGTGTTTTTTGTTGTTGTTGATAATAAATAATTGCCTTTAGGTTTTTATGTTTTAAAATTACAATATTTTTTTGTTAAAAGCTATTTATTATCCATAATCCACACAGTATGTGCTATGTAGTTACTTGAGGGGAACTTCAAAATCTCGAATTTTAAGTTTTTGGATTTTAAATGGTTTTTACTTAACTATAGTAAATGAAGAATCGATCCAATATATATATATATATATATACGAAAATGTGCCTATTAAAAATTAAAGTAAGAAAAATAAAAATATTTTTAATCATTAATCTGTTTGAAAATAAACATACATTTATCTCATGTGCAAACAATTAGATTCCAATCCAACACTAACAAATTCAAATAATAAGAAGGTAACCAGCTACGATCGATATTCCGAGATTTGTTTTATTTTGTTCTCTAAACTTATCACTACTTTAACGTGCATGCATATGGGTCGGCTGAACCGGTGTTCTACAAGTTAAACCGGTAGACATCAGATATTGGTTCAAATGTTTTCCTAATGTTTTAAACAGTCATATTCATCATCCCCAGGTTTGAATTGAAGCAATACCAACAAAAAGAGGAAAAAATAATCAAATTCAGAGTAAATATCTTTTGTTTCCTTTAAAGTAAAACAAGAGTTATTTGATGTCAAAAAAAGAGAGAGTAAAACGATTTATGGACTGTAATTAATAATAATGATTAAATTAAAAATTATTTTGGATTCATAATGCATTCTATGAGATTTAGTATAAAGTATTCTATAAAAATATAGGATAGTAAACGTACAATCTTATCGTTTTAACCATAAGTAGGTTAGGTAGATGATGAAATTCCAAACTACCACACCTTTGTGCCTCACGAGTTTCTCACTTTGAACAGACCAAACATTATGGAACCAAAAAACAAAGAAGAAGAAAGAGAGCAATCTATATGATTCACGAGATAACAAACGCAAACCACTGTCTCTCATCTTACAAGATAAGATACCTTTCTCTTCTACGTGTCTACAATTCTGTAAAGCTTAACCACTCTCTCTCTCTCTCTTCTCCATTTCTGTCTCTGCTCTGTATCCTCTCCTCTGCAGATTTGTTATGTTATGCTCGTTGTTCGCTATCTAAGGCATACAAATGGGTTGCTCTAGTTCGAGAACCATGACTGAAGGTACTCTCTCTCTCTCTCTCTCTCTCTCTCTTCCTCTCTCTCTCCCTCTCTAGAGGTTAACAAATATGCGAATTGAATCAAGTGACCTACGTACACACATCTTATCTCTTAAGTGTTCTTAGTTTCTAAGGCGTTCAGTCTTGATAAATCAATTGGCCCAAAGATCCAAAGTTTGAAGATTTTAGAATTTTATAGGATATGGTTTCGTAGATTCACATTGAACAACACTTGATTCTGCTTTAAAGTTTTATGAACACAACAACATATGTAAAAGAAATAGGAGCATCTCTGTGGTGTGTGATGTGAGAGTGTTTTGTAGGGAGAAAGGAAAAGATTCGAAGACCAAAGTCATGGAAACATCCTCAGCCGATATCAAGAGCTGAGCTCACACAGATGCGAGAGGAGTTTTGGGACACAGCTCCTCACTATGGAGGCAAGAAAGGTGAATCATCACATTCATATATATATATATATGGGTCTGTCTATTATCCATTTCATGTAAAAAGCTTTAAATCTTTTTGTATATATATGTAAACAGAGATCTGGGATGCGTTACGAGCTGCAGCAGAAGAAGAGGACATATCCCTTGCGCAAACCATAATTGAGAGTGCAGGTGTGATTGTTCAGAACACTGACCTCACCATTTGTTACGACGAGAAAGGTAAACATAAAACTTATATAAATCTTATTCTCCTGTAAGGTTTCTGGTGTACGTAGTAGTTGTGAATGTGATGTTAATTTCTTTTTTGCAGGCTCTAAGTACGAGTTGCCTAAATACGTTCTAAGGGATCCTTCAAACTTGATCAGAACCAAATAAACGTAATTTTATTAAGGTAATCATGAATCATGGTTGCTTTAACTTAGTTATGTCTAAATCGTTTGGATTTGTCAATGTGTGAGACTCTACGTATGTGAGGAGTAAAATGGATTATATATTACAAAGGTCCATAGGATTCTTTATAGTTTTGTTTCTCCATAAAGAAGAAGCTTTGATCAATAAAAAGTATGAAACTCATACCAAAATACTGTAATCTTAACCATAATTGTAATTTACTTCTACCTTGTTGCTCTAGACTCGTCAGCTCTTTTTGTCTCTTCTGTGTAATTCACAGTATGGAAAAATCATAGAGAATTTCTAATGAACTAAGATTATGCTGCTAGAACATAGTTATGAACGTATGTTAACAAATCATTTTATGATTAACTGATTAGTGGTTACCCCAAAAGAGAAACCATTACACACTTAAATCCAAAAGCTTTGTGGGTGAACCGGAAGTTAACCATGTCTCGATTCTCATCAAAAAAACGACAAGCTTTTTCAAAACCGGAAACTGAAACGTAGTTTCGCTAGCCGGAGTTATCAGTAACGGTTAAGTCTTAGTACCAATGTGAGTCAGAATCCGATTGATCAGAACTTCTTTCTTCCCGCCAACAGGAAGATTGTTGGCAGTCAAATACGTCTTCAGTTCGACCACCGTCAAGTCCTTAAGCTAAAACAAAAGAGAAAACAAAACATGAAAGTAATTTGTTTTAGGTAGAGAGAGAGAGAGAGATATATATATATATATAAAAGGCGATGAAACAAAACGTTCAAATCGTTAAGCAACGTTTAGAATATAGATTTCACCTTTCCCGTATTTGCAAGCTCTATATAGTCATAATTTCCTGCATCTGCAACACCTGCTTTTCGCTTTCTTGATTTATCCTTTGCCCCTGAGTCACTTTCTTCACCAGAGTCATCACCGTAAATCGACTGCTTAAACTCTTCTATTGCTTTTACAACTCCAGGTCTGCAAGAAAAAGGGCTCACCCGATTAGATCCCAACATTTTCTCTTAGTTTCTTTTTGGCTTTTGTATGGAATTATAAAACAAAATGGTTGCAACCTCTTCATTCCTTCTTCGTCAGGAAGCGTCTCGTCTTTTGTTTCACGAAGCTCGTCTTCATCCAGTGCAATGGCTTGCAAGATCGCGTAGTGTCTCTGTAAAGCTGTAACAAAAGGGAGAATTCAATTTCTATATATAAATGGTTTCCAAAAATCAGCAGCTCAGAACAACTAGTAGAATCGAGACATAATACAGTGTTGTGACATACCTGGATTAGCAAATTGGCTAACAGAAAAGTCTTTTAACTCTAGACGTCGCATTAGAGCTGATGCCTTTTTAAGCTGCTCGTCTGATGCTCGAGGAGCAGCTACACCAGGTTTCGAATGCAACTGCCAAATATCCAGTCAAAATTTAACATACACGAATCATGTTGGAACCAAGTAACTTTTCAAAAGCTTTTCATTGTTCTTGCCTCTTCGATATCTCTGATATCATTAGCATATGGAAGATATATCATGTTCATCCCTGGTGGCTCCACTTGACCACCATCACTCTCGATTTCATCCTGTTCGGGTTTAAGAAAAGATATTTGAGTAGGTTCGTTTAACAAGGCATAAATCAAATAGTAAATAAAGCTATGTGGAAGAAAGGTCTTATAGTAGTTTTCTCACCTGAGCAATAAGCGCAACCAATCTTGGAGGTGTAGTGCCACCATAAAATGCAACAGCAAAACTGCAACACAATACAGTGGGGTTGGTATATCACAGAAAGTGAGTTTAAACAAAAATGCAGAAGTTATACTCAACTTTATAGAATTGTATATCTAATGTGCTCACCGTCCAAGCTGTATCATGGATCTATGCAAGGCAATGAATGCACGAGTGCTCCCAATAACTTCCTGCAACAGTTGGATTAAGTTTGGTTGATATCTCAGGCTCCCTACTGATAGGACACCATTATGAGGGGAGAAAAGTGCGTGTAACTAAAAAGAATTGAAACAAACATAATCTTTGAGAAGTGGGTAACCTTATCACTTGGATAGAGAAATGTAGAAGGCTTCATATTGTGATAATCTTTGAGGCAACTAAGTGGCTTGAAACCCAACAGTCTCAAGTGTCCAGTTGATATTTTTTTTACTTGGGATAGCTCTGCGGCTGTGAACATGATATTCTGACTAAAAAGCAGAACGAAAATTTAAAACTTCATGATTGCCACGAAAGAGATTCACAATTATGAGGCTTTAGTTTTCTTATCTCTCATAATCTCTTCCATTGGGATCCACTTTTGTAATATAGACATATTCAAAGAAACGACCATTTCTACTTTGGTTAGAGGAAAACAGAAGAAAATTAAAAACAGGGTGCAATGCAGAGGCTTACTTTATGTAAGGCTGGATCCGTTGTATAGGTTCTTGCATTATTGCTCCAGTGTCCGTACAAATGTATGATCTTTCCACCTGCAGACAAGCCCGCATATGGTGTTTAGGAAAAAACAGATCTGATAGATACCAAACATTAATTTCAAGGAAAATTCTTGATTCATGGGGGAGAAAAAAAGAAAAGTGGACAGGTTTGCTCCAAAAACAAAGGTGTCCACTTGTAATGGAAGTTAAGAAAAACAAAAGACGAGTAAAGGCACAAACTCTCAATTCAATTGGAGCGTGTCTATCAAATTACCTTCACTGGAAGGTTAGTAGTAGAGTCAAGCCAGGTTATGGTGCCAGGATTAGCCGGACGGAGTAAAGCATAACCATTCAATTCAATAGACAGACCATCACATATAACAAACGTAATTCGTTTTGCTATCCTCTTGGCAAGTACTCGCTTCTTCAGTTGGTCCTTCATGTCCTCTAACCTGACAATAGCATACATTTCAGCAACAACAAAAAAATACAACTAATGACGTGAATCCCTGTGAAGCCGAATTCGAAATAAAAAAGATTAAACACAGTGGCGCTTTTGAAGTCTTGAAACTTCCCAAAAAGTCTGCCTCTGTCTGAGTCTAGTACTAAGATCCTATAAGCAATGGATCATATAAGAATGAAAACACATACTTCTGTCCAACTGATGGCATGAACTCCGTAAGTTCATCACTGTTTAATCCAATTAAATCCTGGAAATATGTTGACAACAGTTTAAATTTCAGCTTAAAGTATAGGTTTATGAGGTCAGCTCAAGGATTAGATGCTTGAAGATTAACCTTGTAGAAGAGAGATATATTGAATTGCTTATCATGCTGGCTGAGGGGAAGAAGCTCGATTGAGATGCCAAGGTCTTGTGCATCCTTAAGAAATCAACCAAAAATCAGAAAATGTTAAGCGCATCAGAGTCCTTGTATAATTTGATCACCAAAAAGCTCTTTTGAATATATTCATTGTACAAATCATATCTAAGGGTTGGAACTAAACTACCTTAGCTCTCTGCAAGGTAGTCCTTGTCATATCCTCTTTTACAGAAATCCTCATACTCCCAAAAGGATCATCCTCATTGGTGAATAGAAATATGCGCTTATCTGCTGTCTTTGAAGATCTAAATATGTTTTTTGGTACCATAATAATACCAAACAAAGGGATCAAATTACAGACTTGCAAGTCACAAACTTGGCATCAAATCAATAGACGAAATTAGATCGTTACCCTTTGCGCAGCAGTGCTTGTGCAACCCAGAGAGCACTATAAAGAGAATTCTCCCGAGAATCTGAGACTATACCATTTTGACTGCCAATATCTTTTATAAATGAGTCTGCAACCAAAACATACAATTTAGTTAAATATTACATGGGCACACAAACACATACATATACAGTTTACAACTTCTTTTACCTTCTATGAGATCGAAGTCTTTAATCAGCCTCGCTGTTGGACGGTCAATACACTCTCTTTCTGGAACATTATAGACATAGACACCATTTAGATCCTGAAGATTCTTCTTTTCACGCTGCAAGTGACAACAACATTAGAGAGATTAACTAAGTGAAGAACAAGAGAAAAAATAATACAACACGTTTCATCCACAAACTTACAGTGTTAAAGAAGCATATTGCAATTTCATCATTTGACCGATTGATAATATGAGCCTTGAGTGACTGAGCAATGCAACTAACAGCAATGTGAAAATGACTTTCTTGTTTGTCATCTTCCTGTGTCAACATCATTATAATTCAAAGTAAGTATCAATTACAAAACTTTGCATCGGCACACACAACGGAAGAAACCATCAAACATTGTGGGAAAGTTTGTTCAGCTCTACTCCGAAAAAAGAAATCAAATAATCAAAACATAAAATTTGATTTCATTATTTTCTTCTATATGTAATATACTCACAGAGGGGCAAGTAGAGCTGAACATTTTGGGAGAAGCGTCGATAAGATAGACTACAAATTCTTTAGAAGCTTCTTTTTCCTGCGACATAAAGAGACGAAACATTCAATAGACAATATCGATTAGGTTTTTCACTTTTGCTATGTCTGAAAACTCGCAGAAGAAAACCAGGTCAAACCTGAAAGAATTCGCTTTCCCGGTCTTCGTCTTCATCTCTGAAAACATCTTCCGGGTCCAACTCCATCTCCTGGCAAGAACGAGCAGAGATGCAGTAATTGAGTCAGGAATAATGGCGGTTCCTCCGGAAAAAAACCACAATTTGTGTCTAGAAGAAGCTAGTTCAAAGGTTTTTACGTTTTACCAAGAACAATACCAACTTTTTTGTTTCCCAGTGAAGCATTTTTGGTTGGGCCACAAAGTAAAGTGAAGCCTTTTTAGTTGGGCTATATTGTGAAGTTTCTGGAGTTGGACCAATATAGGTGAAGTTTATAGTTTATAGTTTATTTGGGCTACATTGTAAAGTTTCTGTCGTCATCGTAAACTATAATATTACGATGACAGTTAATTCAAAAGATAAATAATACCCTTGATAAAACTATAATATCAATTATATTAGAGCAAACAAGTCGATAGAATAAGTTTCACCAATATAGGTTAATTCATCTATTAATTGGTTTATAAGATTAATATTTTTTCTTTGTTGGTCAACTTGTTAATATTTTTTATATTTAAAAAGCATTTACCTATTCAGTGATATATTTTTAGAATTACGTTGTTAAGTTAGAAATATTTATGAGCTTTGAGGAAAAACTTGATGAAGAATATTGTTATTTAAATTCTACTACATTTGCTTTTTTTTTTTTTTTAATTTCTTAGTAACCGAGCTAGATCTTAGACTCATCAAACTAATCCTTATATTTTTACCACTTAAAACGTTTAGATTAAAGAGAGATAGATATTTCAACAATTTTGCTTTTTGCATATAGTTATAAAATTTTCATAAACGATGGAACTCGTTCTCTGGTCTAGATGGAAAGTTACGAATCTTGGTTTTCTGTTTTTTTTTTTTAATGTCTTACCCCAGTAATGTCGTATTTAATTCTATATATACTAACAGACACACATAAATTAGTAATACATGTTAGATTGGCAGTTATTGGAAGTTGGAACCATGGATATGAAAAACTATATGAATGGTTGAAATACATACATGCATGCATGTATGATGTATCTACAAGAATGTGCCAATTAAGTAGCATGTTGAGATTAATTAAGACACACGTTTATGAGCTGATTGTTGGAAATATGAGTATTAAACAATATAAGCAAATTGACATAAACAAAAAAACAAATAATTTAAGAGATTCCGATATTAATGTATCAAGTCATAGTAAAAGACACATTATTGTTGGAAATATGTGTATGAGAAAACTGTTTAAATAATTAAAGTGACATATGTATTTACAAAATCAAAGCATATTGAAAGATACACATGTTAATGAGCTGTTGCCTGTTAGTTGAAAATATGATTATGAAATTACAAATAAACTGACGTGTATTTTTGTAAATTAATCCAAATGGTTAAATTAAGAGTAAATCTTAAACAAACTTCACTTTATAGAAGAAGAAAAAAAACATTTTTTGTATTTGGACAAGTGTTGATTTAAATACAGAATCTCTCTACAAAAATAATACTAAATAAAGAATAGTTGAATTCAGAAAGTAATATACAATCCATATAAATCCAAACACGTTTCGAATTTCTGTATTTATACAACTAAGACAAGTGTTGATTAGCACTAACTTATCTAAGATATTAGTGAAAACCAAAACATAAAAACAAGTTGTGTAGATATTACTTTTTGGAAGAAAATCACCACTAAAAAAAATTAAAGGTAATTAATACCTTCTTTTTTTTTTGGTTCAAGGGTAATTAATACCTTCTAATGACATGTATGCTGGACAAGATTAGTCCACATAACAAGGAGATTCCATCCGGAGAAGATTGAATCTTAGACTTCCTATAAATTTGCAGGAAGACAAGAACAATCTCCTCACAGTCTCCATCGTAGTTGACGATTTCTGGTAAACAAAATACATACATTGCAATCTTTGTAAACCAGTTTATCAAATCCGGCCGTATCAGTTTTGTATCAACTAAAAAGGTGTTGTTTAATTATAACGTTGCATGTTTGTTTAGCAATGTTTAATTATTATGAAAATCTCGTACTGTTATATTGATACGTTTAACATTTATTTAATTAGATTGACAAGTGCTTTTACGAATCCTGAAAGAAGAAGATGAAGGTTTCATGTGGTGAAAAGCCAAGACTGCTTGTGGTGGCTAACCGGCTTCCAGTTTCTGCAAAGAGAACCGGAGAAAATTCTTGGTCTCTGGAAATGAGCCCTGGTGGTTTAGTCAGTGGTCTTCTAGGTAAGTGATCTCAAATATAAATTTATAAAAACAGTTTAATAATATCTTTTAATTGTTGTAAATAAAATTCATGATTTTATTCTATTGATGTATCTCTTGAAGGTGTGAGAGCTCAATTTGATACCAAATGGATTGGATGGCCTGGAGTGGATGTGTATGATGACGTTGGAAAGAAATCACTCTGTAGTTCTCTAGCTGAGATGGTGTGTATTTGAAACTGTTTATACCAAAGTATCTATTATAAATTTCACATTTCCAAAAATTTTGTAATTTGTATTTAATTCATTACTAAATTGTTTCTACATAGAAGTGAGATCACTCTCTCACGGTATTTTATATTTTGCTTTATTCTTTCTACATGCAGAAGTGTATCCCTGTGTTCCTTGAAGAGGTTTTTGATCAATACTACAATGGTTATTGCAACGGTATTCTGTGGCCAATTCTTCATCACATGGGACTTCCACAAGAAGATCATAATGACAGAAACAAAACTTACCAAACACAATATGATGCATTCAAGAAAGCAAATCGAATGTTTCTTGATGTCATCAAAGAGAACTATGAAGAAGGAGATATTGTTTGGTGCCATGATTACCATCTCATGTTTCTTCCTCAATATCTCAAAGAATACAACAGTAAAATCAAAGTTGGATGGTTTCTCCACTCACCGTTTCCTTCCTCTGAGGTCTACAAAACATTGCCCTCGCGATCGGAGCTTCTTCGTTCGGTTCTTGCAGCTGATTTGCTTGGGTAACACTAAAACTCTGAACGTCATATTTGGTTAGGAATCATTTGATTTGGATCAAAAGAGTTTAAAGTTTCTAAATGTTTCTTTTCAGTTTCCATACATATGATTTTGCAAGACACTTTGTGAGTACATGCACTCGAATTCTTGGAGCTGAAGGAACACATGAAGGAGTTATGGATCATGGCAAAGTCACTCGAGTAGCTGTTGTATGACTTCATTTTCAAATGTTGAACAACTTTTACATTGTTTCTCTCATCACATCATATAAAATTAATTAATCTTTTTATTTTTCTTCTTGTTTTGGAATTTTCAGTTTCCCATTGGCATAGATCCTGATCGGTTTATAAACACATGTGAGCTCCCTGAAGTCAAACAACAAATGAATGAGCTTAAAGAGAGATTTGCTGGCAAAAAGGTAACACGTTTTTCTTACAACATTTAAATATGATTCTTAATTTAAAAGAAAATTATTTTTACATAACATTTTTGTTTCTTTTGTCTTGACAGGTGATATTAGGTGTTGATCGTCTTGACATGATCAAAGGGATTCCACAAAAGTTTCTTGGTTTTGAGAAATTTCTAGAAGAAAATCCAAACTGGCGTGACAAAGTTGTGCTAGTGCAAATTGCAGTGCCAACAAGAAATGATGTCCCTGAATGTAAATGCGTTTATACTCGATTATCCTTCTAAATTTGATAATATTTGTTCATCAGTTTTCTGAGATTGTGATTTGTGTTTTATTGTACAGATCGAAAGGTCAAAGCTCAAGTTCATGGACTTGTTGGACGCATTAACGGTCGTTTTGGTTGTGTCTCTTCTCTTCCAATTCATCACCTGGTTTGATTGTTTTCTCTATCTATTCATCTTGTCATGAAACTGTATACTTTCTTCATCTTTTCTTGATAAACTTTTCCTTTAATTTCTCTGTTAGGATTGTTCTGTTAACTTCAGTTACTTATGTGCACTCTACGCGATTGCTGGTAATTAATTTCCTTTACTACACGTGATGATCATTGATTTGGTTAATGCTTCATATAACTTGTTTGATGAGTTTTTCTTCTCATTTATCTTTAGATGTAATGCTTGTAACATCTTTGAGAGATGGAATGAATCTTGTGAGTTATGAGTTTGTTGCTTGCCAAGAGGCCAAAAAAGGAGTTCTTGTTCTCAGTGAGGTAATTGCATTTTTTTTAATAGTTAACACTGAATCAAAAAAAATCTTAATAATGTCTAATGTTACTGACTTTACATGAAATTTTTATACAGTTCGCAGGTGCTGGACAGTCTCTCGGTGCTGGTGCTCTTCTTGTGAATCCTTGGGATGTTATAGAAGTTTCTTCTGCCATTAGAGAAGCTCTAAATATGCCAGCTGAAGAAAGGGAAAAGAGACATAAGGTTAATATTCAGTATGTGAAAACTTATTCTGCTAAAAAATGGGGAGATGATTTCATGAGGTATATCAAAAGAAGAAGAAACCTTTAATTTTGTGCAAAATATTTAACTCTTTAATGTTAGAGCTTATTCATGCCAAAATTTTTCCTAAACTCTATGCAGTGAACTCAATGAGACTTTTTCTGAGTCGGAGATGCGAATTAGGAAAATCCCACATGAACTTCCACAACATGATGTGATTCAACGATATTCTCAGTCTAACAATAGACTTATAGTCTTGGTAATTAAGCTAGCTTGGGAGATTATATGTTATCTAGAATCTTATATATCTTTGTGCATGGTTACTTAATTATTTTTATTGATTTCAGGGTTTCTTTGGAACACTCACTGAACCAATGAGTAATCAAACTGAGGAACTGGATCTTAAACTAAACCCAGAGCTAAAAGGAACACTAAAAGCATTGTGCAATGATCCAAAAACAACAGTAGTTGTGCTGAGTAGAAGCGGCAGAGACATATTAGATAAAGTATTATTAATTAATGACTCTCTTTTCATGCATTTACTGTATATATTTATTTCCTCACTGGTTTGGTACTTAAAAATTCAGAACTTTGGAGAGTATAAGATATGGTTGGCTGCGGAAAATGGAATGTTCTTAAGGCACACCACTGGAGAATGGAATGTTACAAATATCCCTGAAAACATGAACCTCGACTGGGTCGATGGTGCAAAGGTTAGTAATTTACTTCTTTAAAAACAAAAAACAAAATTCAAGCTTTACGATTTTTTTTACTTTAGATCTTTCTGGTTTAACTACTTTGTATAATGCAGAATGTTTTCAACTACTTCACTGATCGAACTCCAAGATCGTTCTTCGAAGCAAGCGAGACTTCGCTTGTGTGGAATTACGAATATGCAGGTGATTTAGAGCTTGTTTGCCTCTTTTTGCGTCCAAACATTTATCTGATCATTTGTTAAAATCTCCTCTCTATGTGTTGTTGTTGCTTTTGGTAGATGCTGAATTTGGGAGAGCACAAGCAAGAGACATGTTGCAATACTTATGTGCAGGACCAATCTCTAATGCATCAGTTGATGTTGTTCGGGGAAACCATTCTGTTGAAGTCCATGCCATGGGTGAGACTAAGGTAAAATAAATACTTCTCATTTTGAGATTAAGTACTTCTAATGCAAATTGGTTTTGAAGTCTTGTATGTTCTTTTTTTTGTTTCTTAGGGGGCAGCAATTGGTCGTATATTGGGAGAATTAGTGCATAGAAAATCTATGATTACACCGATTGATTTTGTCTTTTGCAGTGGTTACTTCTTGGAGAAGGTAAAGCTTGTATTATTATGTAATATACTAATCAAAATTTAGCTTTAACATCCATCTGGCTTTTTGATGCAAATGAGTCAATGATGATGTTTTACAGGACCAAGACATTTACACATTCTTCGAATCAGAAACCTTGCCGTCCAAGTTATCACATGGAACTAGGTCGAGGTCTTCTTCAAGTAATCACTCCCTAAAGAAGAAGGTTTCACAGAACGTTCTTGACCTAAAGAAAGAGAATTACTTCTCTGCAGCCATTGGACAAGCTTGCACAAAAGCTCGCTATGTCATTGACTCATCTCACGATGTTGTGGATTTGCTCCACATGCTCGCAGTTGCAGATACAACCGCATATCTGAAACGCTGGATTGATTATGTCAGAAGAAAGAAATTGGCAATTGGAGACACCGAGCTAGTCGACATGTAAGAAAAAAAAAATTATATATATAGGTCTTGGATTTAATGGTTTGTAAACCTCATTAAGTCTTTAATATGTAACATTAAAACCAAAAAAACAAAGTCTTTAATATGTAATATTATTATCAGCAAATAATACATAATTATAGTATGATACAAAGTTAAATAATAATTACAAAAATTTGCATCAGCACAGCTACCTGACAAATTTTCAAATAATCAAAACATAAAAATTTGATTTCATAATTTTCTTCTTAAGTCACAGAGGAGAAAGTAGGGCTGAACATTTTAGGAGAAGCGCCGATAAGATAGACTACACAACGTGAAGCATTTTCTCTTTCCAGCGTGAAGCTCTCTTTTTGGTGAGACCACAAAGTGAAAGCTCTTTTCATTGGGCTACAACGTTTTTTTTTTGCGTTAAGCCCAAACAAACATGGAGAATTACATTTTAAAAATGATAAGTACCCTAATATAAATATTATGATGATTTAGAGAAATTGATTTAAATAGTTAACTAAAAAGACAAATAAGCTTCATAAAAAACTAAAATATCAATCATTATATTTCACATATGTTAATAGACTAAATTTCACAAAAATTAAATGGTTTAACAGATTCGGATATTTATTGAATAACGCCATAGTAAAAGACACATGCTTTTTTTGACCAAATTTGATAAAAGACATGTGTCTTTTTTTTTTTTTTAATATTCTCAAAATGTCATGAAATCTAATTAATATCTACACATGGTTATATTTTTATGTTTTGGTTTTTTCTTTTTACTAATATATCTGAGACATAAGAAATCCAACTAATATATCTGAAACATATAAGAAATCCAACTATATAGTAGTAAGAAGTATATATAATTACCACTATATAGTTGGATTTCTTATATGTCTCAGATATATTAGTAAAAAGTAAAAACCAAAACATAAAAATATAAACATGTGTACATATTAATTAGATTTCATGACATTTTGAGAAGAGAATTAATACATTAGATTGGAAGGTAATTAGATTTCATGACATTTTTTAGAAGAGAATTAATTTATTCTAGATTAGACCACATAGCTAGAAGAGATACTCCACCCCCAAAAGTTGATCCTATAAATTTTCAGGAGAATCTTTTCACTCTCTCTATCTCACTGTTCAAATTTTTCTGGTGAACAAAATACTTACATTGCAATTTTTTGTTAACCGATTTTACAAATCCGACCATACCAGTTTTTATCAAATTAAAAAAAGTGTATAAATTTATTATCAAGTTTGTGACTTGCTCTGTTACACGATATGTACTCATCAGCTGCCTTCTTTACATATATGTAGTCTAATTTGCTTTGGAAAAAAAATCATGCAGGTCATTTATTGTGACAAGTGCTTTACGAATCTTGAACGAAGATGATGGCTTATGATGATGCATGTGGTGAAAGGCCAAGACTATTTGTGGTGGCTAACCGGCTTCCAGTTTCTGCAAAGAGAACCGGGGAAAGTTCTTGGTCTCTGGAAATGAGTCCTGGTGGCAAATTTAATCTTCTAGGTAAGTCATGAGACATTATAAATATACAATTTTATACAGTTTGACAATAATGTTCAATATCTGCTGTGATCTCTTGAAGGCGGTGTGACAGCTCAATTTGACACCAAATGGGTTGGATGGCCTGGATTTGATGTGTACAATGAAGTTGAAAAAAATGCACTCTCTAAATCTCTAGCTGAAATGGTACCAACTTTGATCCAAGCATGTCCATTTGTATTTTCAAATATTAGCGTTTAGGAATCTGATATTAAATTAATCTCGTATATAAGAGTAAATTGATCATTCTTTTCCTTGTCGTTTAATTTTGAAATGACAACAAATAAGTATTCACATGTTATAAGAAAATAAAACTCATGAACTTTTCACATATCTGATGATTAGTACTCTTTCTCTCGGTTTTTTATTGTTTTGTTTTTTTTCTACTTGCAGAACTGTATCCCTGTGTTCCTCAATGAGGTTTTTGACAATATTACCATGGTTATAGCAATGGTATTCTGTGGCCAATTCTTCATCACATGGGACTTCCACAAGATGAAGATCATAATGACACAAACAAAACTTTCCAAACACAATATGATGCATTCAAGAAAGCAAATCAAATGTTTCTTGATGTCGTAATAGAGAACTATGAAGAAGGAGATATGATTTGGTGCCAAGATTATCATCTCATGTTTCTTCCTCAATATCTTAAAGATTACAACAGTAAAATCAAAGTTGGATGGTTTCTCCATTCACCGTTTCCTTCCGCAGAGGTCTACAAAACACTGCCCTCGCGATCAGAGCTTCTTCGATCTCTTCTTACAGCCGATTTACTAGGGTAAATTCAAAATCATACAATCATTTGCTTTGGATCAAAAGAGTTTAATTTTTTTTTGTTTTTTTTTTTTTCAGTTTCCACACATATGATTTTGCAAGACATTTTGTGAGTACATGCACTCGAATTCTTGGAGTTGAAGGAACACAAGAAGGAGTTGTGGTTCAAGGCAGAGTCACTCGAGTAGTTGTTGTATGACTTCATATTCCAATCTTCAACATCGTTTCTCTATGACTTATATCATCACATCATAACAATAACTAATCTCTCTGTATTTTTCTTTTCAGTTACCCATGGGAATAGATCCTGATCGGTTTATAAGAGCATGTAAAGCTCCCTGAAGTCACACAACAAATGAATGAGCTTAAAGAGAGATTTGCTGGCAAAAAGGTAACACATTTATTCTTCTTACAACCTTTTAACTTAATACTAACAAAAGATTATTACATAATACTTTTTGGTATTGACAGGTGATATTAGGTGTTGATCGTCTTGATATGATCAAAGGGATTCCACAAAAGTATCTTGGATTTGAGAAATTTTTGGAAGAAAATCCAGATTGGCGCGATAAAGTTGTGCTTGTGCAAATTGCAGTGCCAACAAGAAATGGTGTCCTTGAATGTAAAAAAAGCTTTTGTATTCTATTATGCTTGTAAGTTTATATAACAAATGATCATCCGTTTTCTGAGATTGTGTCTTTATTTACAGATCGAAAAGTCAAAAACCAAGTTCATGGACTCGTTGGACGCATCAACGGTCGTTTTGGTTCTGTTTCTTCTCTTCCAATACATCACATGGTTTGTTTGTTTGTTTGTTTGCTTTCTCTGTCTATTCAAGTTTTTGTGATTTAATATTTTCTACATTGTTTCTTGATAGACTTTTCTCTCATCTTCTCTGTCAGGATTGTTCTGTTCACCCCAATTACTTATGTGCACTTTATGCCATTGCAGGTAATTAATTCCCGTGATGATCATTGATTTGGTTTTTAGTTCTTAATTTGTTTGATGAGTACTTTTTTTTTGTTTTCTGTAAAGAAAACACCGATAGTGCCAAGCACTAGCCCAAGATCGTAATACCCGAGAGATCCGAAAGAAACAAAGACCCTCTAAGTATGAATAATAAGATGAAAGAATACTTAGAGAAAACTTGAAGGAACTTTAGAGAGAATAAGAGAACTTATGAAGAACACTCTTTCTTTATTTGTTCAACTTCTCTTGTTTACAAATGATGGAGTAGTGGGCTATTTATAGGCTCCACTTATTACAAAATATCTTACAAACATTCTCCTAATCTCTAGAATTTTCTACAATAATATCTAGAATTTTAACTACAACATCTAGAATTATCTATAGAATTATCTAGATATTTAACTAATAGAATTCTCTAGAACATTTAAGAAAGATGATGATTTTTAGTGATGTTTCTAGAGATTCTAGAACTTGAGCTTAATTTTGGGCCTAATCTAATAACTAATAATTATTTTATAAACCCAAAATTAAGCTTAACCCAAAATCAAGTTTAACTTCAATACTCCCCTTTAAACTTGATTTTGTCAGTCATCCCGAGCTTCGAGCGAAGTAACTCGAACTGACCTTTTGGTAATGACTTGGTGAAGATATCCGCAACGTTGTCCTCGCTTCGAACTTCCAAAGCTTCAATTGTCCCATCAAGCACCTTCTCTTTTATGAAGTGATGCTCTAACTCAATGTGTTTAGTCCTCCCATGGAACACCGGATTATTGGCCAACTTGATCGCACTTTGATTATCTCCATAAATTGCAATTGGCTTATTGATTGGCTCGAACAGATCTTCAAGGAGTCTCTGAAGCCAAATACACTCTTGAGCTGCTAGAGTTGACGCTTTATACTCTGCTTCAGTTGTAGATAACGACACCGTTGCTTGCTTCTTACTGCACCATGAGACACTTGTGTTCCCACATAGGAAAACATAGCCTGAAGTTGATTTCCGATCATCAAGATCTCCACCAAAGTCAGCATCCGTGAAGCCATAAAGAGAGACCTTGGCATTATACTTGTACACCAGACCCATGCCAAGAGTTGTCTTCACATACTTCAATATCTTCTTTGCCGCTTCTAGATGTGGCTTCCTTGGTGCCTGCATAAACCGACTTACAAGACCTACCGCGAAGGCAATGTCAGGTCTTGTAATGGTTAAGTATAAAAGACTTCCTACAAGAGAGCGATAAGGCCGAGGATCAGGTAGTAAGGACCCTTCATCGCGTTTAAGCTTTATGTTGACATCCATTGGAGTAGAGCGTGTCTTTCCTTCGTGTACTCCAAACTTCTCAACGATTCTTCTTGCATAGCTTTGTTGGCCGATGAATATTCCACCCTTTATCCTTTCCACCTCCAAACCGAGAAAGTTGTTGAGCTCTCCCAACTTCTTCATCTCAAACCTTATCGACATATCCTCTTGTAAACGAGTAATTTCTGCATCATCATTCCCGGTAATTATCATATCATCCACGTAAAGGAGAACTACCACGTGGACTCCTCCATTCTTCTTGAAGAATAGACTCGGATCAGAGTTTGATGCCACATAACCGCAGAACTGAAGAAACTGAGCAAGCTTTCCATACCAGGCTCGTGGAGCTTGTTTTAACCCATACAAGGCCTTCTTCAGCTTACACACATAATCAGGATGCTCTCGTGATATAAAACCAAGTGGCTGCTCCATCAGGATTTCCTTGTCAAGCTCTCCATATAGAAAAGCATTCTTCACGTCTAATTGCCATAACTTCCAACCAAAACTTGCAGCCAAAGATAAGAGAGAACGTACCGTAGTCATCTTGGCTACAGGGCTGAAGGTCTCATCATAGTCTTCTCCATACTTTTGAGAGAATCCCCGAGCAACCAACCTTGCTTTGAATCTATCAACGCTTCCATCTGTTTTGCGCTTGATCCGGTACACCCATTTACAAGAAACAGGTTGGGCATTCTTGGGTTTTGGAACCAAATCCCAAGTTTCGTTCTTCATGAGAGCATTCATCTCCTCCTTCATTGCGTTTTCCCACTCGTCAACACCTTTTGCTTCATCATAAGATGTTGGCTCATCTTCATCTAATGGAGCTGCAAAGTAGCACGAGAAGGTAGTAACAAACTTTGGATCTCTGAACCGAGCAGGTTTAATGATGTCCCTTTTAGGCCTTTGACTAGCCGTGGAACCATGATGTTCCTTCTCATCCTCCTCTTGATCAGTGCTCCCCCTTTCACCTTGCATCTCTTCTTCAGGACCTTTTTCCTTACTCAGAGCTGGTTTATCACTCTTGGAGGAACTCCCACCTTCTTGCTCAACTAAAACTTGAGGTGGCCCATAGAATGAGGAAACTTCATCAAAAACAACATCTCGAGACACTACGTACCTGTGTGTCTCTGGATCCATACACCTCCACCCTTTTCTTTGTTCGTCATAGCCAACGAAGATGCACTTCTTCGCCTTTGCCTCCAACTTGGTTCTTTGAGAATCAAACACATGGACGTAGCAGACTGATCCAAATATCCTGAGATGTTTCACTGACGGCTTCTTCCCATGAATCATCTCATACGGAGACTTCATGTTATTTGGGCTGAGTGGCATCCGATTTATGACGTACACTGCGCATCTCATGCCTTCTGCCCACAAGGCTTTAGGCAGATCCTTCCCATATAGCCAGCTTCTGCACGTCTCAGTTAGATGTCGAATCTTCCTTTCCGCTACTCCATTTTGTTGAGGTGTATACGGACAAGTAAACTCTCTCTTTATTCTATGCTTTTGACAAAAAAAGAGAAACTCCTTGGACATAAACTCCCCTCCATTATCTGTCCTTAAGGTCTTGATTCTCCGACCCAGTTCCCCTTCCACGGTAACCTTGAATTCTTGAAATTTGGAGAATACTTCTGATTTTTCCTTCACAAAGTATACCCAAGTGTGCCGTGAGAAGTCATCAATGAACAGCAACATGTACCGAAACCCGGAATATGAGGGTGTTCTTGTAGGACCCATCAAATCACTATGGATCCTCTCCAACAGAGCACTGCACCGTGAAGTAGAATTGTCAAATGGAAGTCTATGTGATTTTCCATATTGACAACCTTCACAAAGCTTTCCTTCATCTTGGATCTTCAGCTTCGGAAGCCCATTTACCAACTCCTTATTCACCATAACCTTTAGCTTAGTCATGTTTATATGACCAAGCCGAGCATGCCATATAGAGGCATTGTCGTTTGTACTCATCTTCTCCACGTATGAGTTGGACGCAGATAAGACATATAGATCCTTAACCCGCGATCCGGTGTGAACCACATCCGCCTTTAACTCTTTAATATTCTTCAAGAATTTGACGTCTCTTGGGCCAAATAAAACGTAGTTACCTGAGTCTACTGCATTCACCACAGAGAGAAGATTCTTCCTTACTCCATGGACATGGTATACATTCTTGAGGGTGATAGGGCTTCCATCTTCTCCTTCAATGACAACAGTCCCTTCCTTCTCGACCCCGGTGAACTGAATTATCCGCGGTAATTATGGCTTCTTTTCCATCATGGCGCTGAAGACTAGAAAATAGCTTCTCGTCTCCGGTAATATGGTGGCTACAACCCAAATCCACAATCCAATCATTTTCAAGATTTTTAGTTGTGGATATACCTGAAGATGCAGCCTCCACCGTGAAGCATTTCCCCCATTCTTCGTCTTCAATATGACCTTTTGATTCTGCCATATTTGTCTCCTTCAGCTTGACTCGACAATCCTTTTTGAAGTGCCCAAGCTTTCCACACCGGTAGCACTTGAATCGCTTCTTATCTCCAGTAGAAGATCCTTCCGGTTCATCGATGTTCTTTGCACCATCGTATTTGGATTTGGCTTTGAAGTTGTGTTGCTTCCGAGCTACAAAGGCGCTCCCCGAGTCATCATGGATTTTGACTCCTGCCATTTGCGTAGCTAATGACTCTTGCGAAGCTAGCAGGTTCTCGAACTCCTCCAAGGAAGGTTGTGTAGCCCATCCTTGAACCGAGTCACAAACGGTGTATACTCAGGTCGTAGACCTCGAATAATATACCGTTTTAAACGTGCTTCGGAAATTGACTCCTCCGAATTTAGAGTATTAATCTCTGAGCGAAGATTCTTTACCTTGATGAAAAACTCTGAGATTAAAGACTCCCCCTGCTTTGCATTCGCCAACTCGTTCTCTAACAGTTGTAGCCGAGCTTCATTCTTCTTGTTGAACAACTGATCTAACGCCTGCCAAATGAAACTAGCGGATGTGCAACTTGAGACATGCTCAAAGACTCCCGAGGATATTGACCTCTTCAATGCAAACTCCGCCTTGGCATTCTTCCGTGTCCACTCCTTTGTCGCTTCCGCTGTCGCAGCAGCTCCCCTTGGTGGTGTTGTGCTACTGCCGCCGACGACATCCCATAAGTCCTCATTCACCAAGTATGACTCCATGCATGACTTCCATAACCGGTAATTGGATTGGTTTAGAATCTCCATTCCCAACCCAACAACGCGACCCATTGACTCCATACTTAGAGTAAATCGGAGATCTCAATTAATCCGATCTTGAAAAAGAACCAGATCAGAATGGCTCTGATACCATGTAAAGAAAACACCGATAGTGCCAAGCACTAGCCCAAGACCGTAATACCCGAGAGATCTGAAAGAAACAAAGACCCTCTAAGTATGAATAATAAGATGAAAGAATACTTAGAGAAAACTTGAAGGAACTTTAGAGAGAATAAGAGAACTTATGAAGAACACTCTTTCTTTATTTGTTCAACTTCTCTTGTTTACAAATGATGGAGTAATGGGCTATTTATAGGCTCCACTTATTACAAAATATCTTACAAACATTCTCCTAATCTCTAGAATTTTCTACAATAATATCTAGAATTTTAACTACAACATCTAGAATTATCTATAGAATTATCTAGATATTTAACTAATAGAATTCTCTAGAACATTTAAGAAAGATGATGATTTTTAGTGATGTTTCTAGAGATTCTAGAACTTGAGCTTAATTTTGGGCCTAATCTAATAACTAATAATTATTTTATAAACCCAAAATTAAGCTTAACCCAAAATCAAGTTTAACTTCAATATTTTCTTCTATAGATGTGATGCTTGTAACATCTTTGAGAGATGGACTGAATCTTGTTAGTCATGAATTTGTTGCTTGCCAAGAGGCCAAAAGAGGGGTTCTTATCCTCAGTGAGGTACGTATATATAATTGCGCTTTCAATGTTAATATTGACTCTAAAAAATGCTTTAGATTAATGTTCCAAGTTACTGATTTTTGCTTGGACTTTATACAGTTTGCAGGTGCTGGACAGTCTCTCGGTGCTGGTGCTCTTCTCGTGAATCCTTGGGATGTCACACAAGTTTCTTCTGCCATTAAAGAAGCTCTAAATATGCCCGCTGAAGAAAGGGAAGAGAGACATAGGGTTAATTTTGAGTATGTGAAAACTCATTCTGCTACAAAATGGGGATTTGATTTCTTAAGGCAATCCAAAGAAGAAGGAACATTTAATCAAACATTAGCTCTCTTAGTTAAGAGCTTATTTATGCCAAGATTTTCTGTTTATCTTCATGCAGTGAACTCAATGACGCTTTCGATGAATCGGAGAAGCAAATTAGGAAAATCCCACATGAACTTCCACAACAAGATGTGATACAACGATATTCGCAGTCTAACAGTAGACTGATAATCTTGGTAAATTATAAGCTAAGCTTTTTTGGGAGATTTTGATCTTATATGTATTAACTATATTAAAAAAAACAGTGAAATGTGTTTTCAGGGTTTCTGTGGAACACTCACTGAGCCACTGAATAAAGAAACTAAGGAAACGGATCTTAAACTACTAAACCCAGAGCTAAAAGGAACACTGAAAGCATTGTGCAATGATCCAAAAACAACAGTAGTTGTATTGAGTACAAGTGGCAAAAACATATTAGATAAAGTATTACTAATGCCTCTCTGATTATCATCACACATTTATATATCTATTTTCTCACTGATTTGGTACTTAAAAAATCAGAATTTTGGAGACTATAAGATATGGCTGGCTGCGGAAACTGGAATGTTCTTAAGGCATACCACTGGAGAATGGAATGTTACAAATATCCCTGAAAACATGAACCTCGACTGGATCGATGCTGCAAAGGTTAGTATTTAGTAATCTACTTCTTTAAAAACAAAACAAAATTTCAAGCTCTATGATTTTTTTACTTTAGATCTTTCTGGTTTAATTACTTTGTTATAATGTAGAATGTTTTCAAGTACTTCACTGACCGAACTCCAAGATCGTTCTTCGAAACACGCGAGACTTGGCTTGTGTGGAATTACGAATATGCAGGTGATTTAGATATTTACATAGCTTATTTGTCTCTTTTTGCGTCTCCAAACATTTATCTGATCATTTGTTAAAATCTCCTCTCTTTTTGTGTTGTTGTTGCTTTTGGTAGATGCTGAATTTGGGAGAGCACAAGCAAGAGACATGTTGCAACACTTATGTGCAGGACCAGTCTCTAATGCATCAGTTGATGTTGTTCGGGGAGACCATTCTGTTGAAGTCCATGCCATGGGTGAGACTAAGGTAAAATAAATACTTCTCATTTTGAGGTTCAAGATTCGATAGAAGATTATATTGATGCAAATTGGTTTTTAAGTCTTGTATGTTCTACTTTTTTTTTTTTTTTAGGGGGCAGCAATTGGTCGTATTTTGGGAGAATTAGTGCATAGAAAATCTATGATTACACCGATTGATTTTGTCTTTTGTAGTGGTTACTTCTTGGAGAAGGTAAAGCTTATATATTATTATGTAATATACTAATCAGAAATTAGATTTTATACCCATCTGGCTTTTTGATGCAAATGGGTCAATAATGTGTTACAGGACGAAGACATTTACACATTCTTCGAATCAAAGATCTCGCCTTCCAGGTTATCTCATGGAACTAGGTCGAGGTCTTGTTCAAGTAATCACTCCCTAAAGAAGAAGAAGAAGAAGAAGAAGGTTTCACAGAACGTTCTTGACCTCAAGAAAGAGAATTACTTCTCTGCAGCCATTGGACAAGCTCGCACAAAAGCTCGCTACGTCATTGACTCATCTCACCATGTTGTGGATTTGCTCCACATGCTCGCAGTTGCAGATACAAAGACAACAACAACGGCTGGCTCATTTTCGCAACGCAAACGCAAATTGGAAACACTCCAATGACCAACGAGAGTCAAGAAGCCAAACTCTCAAGTATGTTGACTGAATCGTTTTGACAGTCTTTTGTTTAATCATTTGTGCCTAATAAGAGACCACTGCTCTGAAATGTAGGAGCATGACACTTAGTGGCATTCCCATTTTCTTAGTTGTTTCAGCAATTGTATGGTTCCCAGTCTTTTCTTTATAGAGACCAAAACCAAACGAAATAAAGATTGAGAGTTTTCTATCATCAAACAGTTTATAAACCTTATTAGGTCTTGAATTTGTAATATTATCAGCAAATAATATGGAAAACTAGTTTTAATCTATCCAATGTGGAACAGTAACACAATACCAACAAAACAAAAACATATAACTAGATATACCCCTTAATGGAAAAAACCTAAAGGCAAAGCTAGTTTGCTTTTGGTTTAAGACTCGGGGGAGAAACTAATCACAAACCAGTTTAAACAAAACTGAGATAAGTTCTGCTACCTCAAGTTCTCTTGTTGGGCGCGAAGGCGTATTTGATAAGAGACTCTTTGATTGAGAGTAATTCAGGGAACTCCTTCTTGAGCTTAGATGCGTCCATCTCATTGTTGCTTCTAGGAGCCACGATGACCTTAGCTTGTTCCTCTAGTGTGAAGTTTGCCCATTTGAAGTCTGAGTCGATGTAGTCTCTGTACATCTCCAGGACCTCATTGTGACTCACAACACCAGGGTTGGTGAAGTTCCAAATCCCTTTCAGGTTTCTTTTCGCCATCTCTATCGAGATTGGAAGAAGCTCGTCCAGCACCGTCATGCTGTTTGGGATGTTCACGACTTTGCTGTACCGGGATATCTTGGTGATGAAGTTTCTCGGGTTGCTTAGATCAGAGGAAATCGGCATCCTAACCCTTAGAGTGCATACGTTATCAAACTCCTTAAGCAGCTCCTCGACCTATGATATGATGGGTCACGACAAACATTAATTTTAGCAAGATAAGCATAATCAAGTAAAAAAATGAAACCTTATAGTGTAGAAGAAATCACAAAACACTTACCATGGCTTTGGTTTTCGAGTAGAACGAACCAGTGAAGTTTGGTGTGTCCTCTTCTTTGAAGCCAATGCCTGAACCTAGCGGATGGTTCTCGTCGTATTCGAATATACAACCAGTGGCAAAGTTCATCAGCAGGAGGCTGTTCTCTCTGCAGACATCAGCCAGAGTCAGAGTGCCTGCTACATTGGCACGGATTGTCTCTGTTTTGTGAGACTCGCACCAGTCGACATTGGGTCTCCCTGTCACACCAGCAGCATTGAAGACATGGGTAGGCTTAACACTCAGAATATCTTGCAAGAGGGATGATCGATCCTCAAGCCTCCCTCTCCCATACTCATAAGCGATTCCCTGCTTCTCACAAATCTGTCCAAGCAAACCCCCAATCCATCCCGTCTTGCCGTATATCAAGAATTTCAGTGAAGGGCTTTGAGTGGAGGCACTGCTTCTGGGCGTCGGAACCACCATCTGGCTCTGTCTTGAGTTTCCAGATAAAGAGACTGCTCCAGAGTTCTCTTCAGACCCATCAAAGTGTCTCCCACCAGGCATGACCAGCATCCTCGGGTGGGGAAGTAATGCTCCAGAAACATCGCCCCACCAATCCGGGTTCTGCGTGTACCATTCCATGGTCTTCTTCAACCCTTCTTCCCAGGTGGTCCTCTCAGACCATCCCAAGATCTTCAGCTTCTCATCGTCGAGGAAGTACCTCTGGTCGTTAAAAGGTCTGTTCTCCACAAACTTGATGTTCGCCTCAGGGTCCTTGTCGAAGAGTTTGCAGATGTCTTGCGCAACATCGTTCACTCTCCTCTCCTTCTTGGTACCAATATTGTAAACATGGCCTACTTCCCCCTTGTGAAGAATAACCTCAAACGCCTCAGCAACATCTTCGCAGTAAAGGTAACTACGAACATTTGAGCCATCTCCATGAATGGGAAGAACTTTCCCTCTCATTGCCAGCAAAATGAACTTAGGAATCAGCTTCTCCGGAAACTGGTTGGGTCCATAGACATTGTTCCCACGTGTTGTTATAACGGGAAGCCCATACGACCTACCATACGCCATAACAAGCATCTCAGCTCCAGCTTTCGTTGCAGAGTAAGGATTCGTTGGGAGAAGCTGTGAAGCCTCATGGTTACCAACAACTGCATCCTCGTCGGTCTCGCCATAGACCTCATCCGTGCTAACGTGAATGAATCTCCTGATCTGCCCAGTCACTTTGCAGGCCTCGAGGAGGACGTGGGTTCCATAGATGTTGTTCTTGGTGAACTCGAAGCTGTTACCAAACGAGTTGTCAACGTGGGTCTGAGCTGCGAAATGCATGATGGTGTCGATGCCTTCTGTGATGAGCAGGTAGTTAACGAGATCCGCGCTGGCGATATCACCCTTGACGAACTTGAAATTAGGGGATTGTTTCGACGGGTTGAGATTCTTCAGATTCGAGCAGTAGTCGAGCTTGTCAAGGACGACGATTTTGTAATCCGGATAGCTCCTAATGAGTCTGTTGGCGACATGTGAAGCAATGAAACCGGCCGCTCCAGTGATTAGAATGTTCTTGGGAGTGTATGACGCCATGAGAGGACGAAGCTTCCTGGATTTGAAAAATCCGATCTGCAGGTAGAATCACCAGATCTAAGTAAACCCAAACCTTAATAATGTATCATCAATCACCAACAACACTAAGTAGTCAACTAATCAAAATTCAACGACTGTATCTGTATGATGCTCAAACCGCAGATCCAGACCAGAGAATAAAAGCGCCCAGAGCAAACTTCGAAAGAACAAACGAGAGATCTCGAATCTGGGAATTGATCAAGCATCTGGAAGTTCGGGAAATATCTACTAAAATCAACTACACAGCGAGCTCGAAGGTTACAATTGAAAGTAAACAGTGAAGCAAAATGATGATTGCAACAATCTCGGAAAAATTAAAATACGCAAAGAAGGGAAGAGCGCAATTCTCGGAAATGCAAAGCCTTACCTCTGAGTTTTTTGAGGATTGCGATGACCAAAAGCCCTAGAAACTTGGAACAATGTGAGACCAAGAGAAGGAATAAATTCAAAGGGGTCTTCGAAAGGAAAGAAAAGTCTCGAGGCTCTTGGAGAAGAAGGAGGGATCACGGAATTATATATAATTAATTGATTGACGAATACACCCTCGATGTTCTTACTCATTTACGGATCCCAGAACGTTAGCTGGTTGGTGCACAGCTTGAGGTGCGTGTTGGCCGCGCGTTTCGTCAATTTTGGTGTGAAAACGCTTTGGACTTTTAACCGCGATGGCAAACTCGACGCAATTTCTCAGCTGACCATGGTAAAAAAAGGGATAATGATTTGTAGAAAAATGTTCCAACTTAACAAAAAAACAAAAAAAACTCTGTTATTTTTAGAGTGTCACTTTAGAGTAATAATTTGTTTTTGTAGAGTTACAAAATTACGTAAAACTGTTTAAAATGATAATTCTATTGAAAGGAGGGAAAATGATGATTTGATGTATAAGAAAAAAAATGAACCGATTTATACACGTTGGCAAGAGATATATATATATATATAATAAGTAAGAATGAATACATAAAAATACAACCCAAAACTGAATATTTGCACATGACGACATCATGGAATGATGAGTGGGGCTTAACGTGGTGACAGACTTTCTTACCGCGTTGAGGTGTCTGCGACATTGGCTATGTGGCTCAACTTCAAGCACCGCCTATGGGCTTTTCCGTCATTTACAGTAATCAATTGACTTTGCTAATATCTAATAACTCCAAATGGTAATCACAACAACAAAAATATTAAATACAAAAATGATAAATGAGATCAATGAGGCCTATTTTAGAACTTTGAGAGGAAAATCGTAGTTAAAAATGGATTCAACGGCTATAACCGGAATGAAAAATATTGGTAATTTTTTAAAGAAAATACGATAAAGACACTAAAAGAAAGTCAATCAGTTTCTGTCTTAATAAAATTTAAATTTATAGGAAAAAAAATCCTTGATTGGCGTGAACCGCTTAGTACTTCCATAAACGTAACTTTTTACGGGTGAGTACGATCATTTGTTCTAGTTTTTAACACTATGCTCATATAAAACCAAAAGTAGTTCTCCATAAATCAGATGGATTTGGCTTTCTAGCTTTATCTACATCAAATTGTTTCTGTTATATCCAAAAAGAAGGCCGCCATGGAAGCCAAAGGAGAAACCCAGTGGAGCTCAATTATAGTTCCTTCTGTTCAAGAGATGGTGAAAGAGAAAATGATCACGACCGTTCCTCCCAGGTATGTCCGGTCGAACCTAGACGACAACTCTGAAGTCGCCGATGATTCTGGTCTTATAACCAAGATCCCAGTCATCGACATGAAGCGGTTGTGTTCTTCCACCGCCATGGACTCTGACTCTGAGGTTGAGAAACTCGACTTGGCTTGCAAAGAATATGGATTTTTTCAGGCAAAATCTCCAACTTTTCTGTTTTACAAAAAAAAAAACTAATGTTAGACCTCACGTGGAGCTTATTAGACTTGACACGTCTCTGAATTTACTATCTTCGTTTAGCGGAATATTGTCATGAGAAAACTTCTTTCTTAGAGAACAACCCCTATTCTTTCTTTATTAAGATTGAAGCCAAAACGAGCATTAACACTTTGTGTTTCAGTATTTTTATAATTGTGGACTTATCTCTTTATGGTCATAAACAGCTTGTAAACCATGAGATAGACCCAAGTTTCTTGGACAAAGTAAAGTTGGAGATTCAGGATTTCTTCAACCTTCCCATGGAAGAAAAGAAATTTTTCTGGCAGCAACCAAATGATATGGAAGGATTTGGACAAGCTTTTGTGGTTTCAGAAGATCAGAAACTCGACTGGGCAGATTTGTTCTTCTTTATAGTGCAACCTATCCAATTACGCAAGCCTCACTTGTTCCCCAAGCTACCTCTTCCTTTTAGGTTTTGCATGCATTAAAATGTGTTAACATTCTCAACTAACTTCACAAAGTCTCTATGTTTACATTTTTGTTTATCTTCTTCAGGGATACATTAGAGATGTATTCCGCTCAAGTGAAGAGAATAGCTAAGATTTTAATAGCCAAAATGGCGAAAGCCCTGCAGATGGAACCAGCGGAGGTTGAAGAAACATTTGGTGATGATATGTTCCAGAGTATGAGGATGAATTACTACCCTCCGTGTCCAGAGCCTAATCAGGTTATCGGTCTGACTCCGCATTCCGATGCGGTCGGACTCACCATACTGTTGCAGGTGAATGACGTTGAAGGTCTCCAAATCAAGAAAGATGGGAAATGGGTTTTTGTCAAACCTCTCTCAAATGCCTTCATTGTCAACGTTGGAGACGTCTTAGAGGTAAGCCATATTATATTAAGAGAGAGAGAGAGCGAGAGACCATGTGGTGCTAATTAGTTTTGAGTTGGAACTATGTCATTTTTGACAAACGGTGACAAAATTAAGACCATCGCTTTTGTTCCACCAAAACATTTGTAAATGTATATATTTTGATGATGTTCGTTGGTAATGTAGATCATAACGAACGGGACATACAAAAGCATTGAGCATCGCGCAGTGGTGAACTCGGAGAAAGAGAGGTTGTCTATTGCAACATTTCATAATCCGGGACTGAACAAAGAAATTTCTCCGGCGAAAAGCCTCCTTGAAAAGCAAAAAAAGGCTGCAAATTTCAGAAGCCTGATAACTAAAGACTACTTGAAAGGTTTGTTCTCCCGCGAAATCTACAGAAAAGGTTACCTCGATGCTATGAGAATCTAAGGAAAATGATATCTTGTTTCCCAAGAAACTCACTGCCTTCTCCAAACTGGTCTCTGTCTCTGTTTTTACTTCTCTCTTTTTGTCTTTTGTTTAATTCTGTTAAATACAAAATAGCCTGCGAAGACTGCTTCTACGTTTGATATTACAAGTGGTTGTAAAGGGTCCCTTATCTACAGATCCATCTTCGTCTCTTAGCACTATGAATCTGTTTATGAGTTAAGAAAATGATAAATTAAAGTAACTTTCGCTGGTGATTCTAAAATCGTATACAGCATTCTCCAACAAAGAAATAACTTTGCTAATGCATTGGTATACTGTTAGCTATTTATCTTACAAAAATATATGTAGAAGTTAAAAATGAACGATAACATGCATAAGGGGTTAGTAAAAAATAAAATAAAAAATCAGTTGACTAAGTCAGTCACATGTCTTTATCGACCTAATCAAATTTAGGAACAGTCACCGCAATTGGGTCATTTTTTCTCCCAACGGGAAATCCAATCAATCAATATTTTTTGACTATTGATGAGGACAAGGGTCAATTTAATCAATCATTATATCGAAGAAAACCGAGATACGTGGACGCTTTAGATCACCTACAAAAGAAGACTTCTCTCAGCATCTAATTGCAATATCTACAACACCTTTTTTTTTGGTCCAAGAAAGAAACCGCCATGGAATGCAAAGGAGCAGCTCAGTGGAGCTCAATTATAGTTTCTTCTGTTCAAGAGATGGTTCAGGAAAAGATTATCACGACCGTTCCTCCCAGGTATGTTCGGTCTGATCAAGACAAAACTGAAGTCACCGATGGTTCTGGTCTTAATGCCGAGATCCCAATCATCGACATGGAGCGGTTATGTTCTTCAACCGCCATGGACTCTGAGATTGAGAAACTCGACTTTGCTTGCAAAGAATGGGGATTTTTCCTGGTAAATAGTCTTCAACTTCAATATTCTTTCTTCACACTTGTTTATCCAGGCAAGTCTTAGACGCTACTAGTTTTGTTTTACAAAATAACGTTAAGTTCTTTTAATTTCCACGCAAGTCTCAGAAATTACATTAAAGGTAAGATATGGTGGCCTAGCTAGTGGTTAGTTAGTGGAAAGAGCTTGTTTTGTTGTGCCGTGGGTTCAACCGTTCAACCGCTTTTAGAAAGGATGATACTGCTTTACTATTTTTGTTTGAATAAATTGCGATAAAGCTCGTTTCTTACAAAAACAATCCCCGTTCTTCTTTTTTTTATAAGCATTTTAACCCACTTTATTTTTCAAAATTTATTATCACTGTACTTTATGTCTTTATTGGTCATCCACAGCTTGTAAACCATGGAATCGACCCAAGTTTCTTGGACAAAACAAAGTCGGAGATTCAAGGTTTCTTCAACCTTCCGATGGAAGAAAAGAAAAAGTTTTGGCAGAAACCAAATGAGATGGAAGGTTTTGGACAAGCTTTTGTGGTATCAGAAGATCAGAAACTCGACTGGGCAGACATCTTCTACCACACAGTGCAACCTGTTGGATCACGCAGACCTCACTTGTTCCCCAAGCTACCTCTTCCATTTAGGTTAAATTTGTTTTTACTCAAAAAAATGTTTTTAACTCAACATTTACTAACTAACTCCATAAGGTATATTTCTCTATGTAAATATATTGGTCTTCTGTTTCTTCAGAGATACATTGGAGACGTATTCTGCTAAAGTGCAGAGCGTAGCTAAGATCTTAATTGCCAAAATGGCTAGAGCCCTAGAGATCAAACCAGAGGAAATGTTGAAGTTTTTTGATGATGTTGATTCAATGCAAAGTATGAGGATGAATTACTACCCGCCGTGTCCACAACCCGATAAGGTTATCGGTCTAACTCCGCATTCCGATTCTGTCGGACTCACCATACTCTTGCAGGTGAATGAAGTGGAAGGTCTCCAAATCAAGAAAGATGGGAAATGGGTTCCTGTTTTACCTCTCCCACATGCATTCATTGTCAATATTGGAGACGTCTTGGAGGTAGAATTTATATCAAACGCATATGGTAATAGATTATCGTTAATGGCTTTGATGATTCGTTTTTGGTTTCATGTTAGATTATAACGAATGGGACGTACCGAAGCATCGAGCATCGAGGAGTTGTGAATTCAGAGAAAGAGAGGCTCTCTATTGCAACGTTTCACAACCCGGGAATGTATAAAGAAGTTGGTCCCGCGAAAAGCCTCGTGCAAAGACAAAAAGTTGCAAAATTCAAAAGGCTGACCATGAAAGAGTACATGGATGGCTTGTTCTCTCGTGAGCTTGACGGAAAAGCTTATCTCGATGCTTTGAGAAACTAAAAGAATTATTGCCTTGTGGCCCAAGAAACTACGTCATATATCTATTTACTCTGTTTTCTTGATTTCTTTGGTAAACAATCTCTATGATCCTATCTTCCTTCTCTCTCTATTTACTACTTATTTGGTAACGACAAAAGTTCTCCAGCTGAAAATGCTTATACGTATTGCTATAATAATACAATAAGCTTGTACGTTTTCGTTTCTTAAAGTTCCTTGTTGTTGCTCAAAGCTTTTATCTAATAATAGTGATCACATGATTCACACACTTATCTTATAAGTGGAGGGTTTATGGAAAAAAAATCTCCAATTTCAATCTTCCTCCTTAATTTAGTAACTTTTATGTTAACGTGCGCTGTGAGAAAAAGACTAATTCACAAGTTTCTTTTGGTAACTTAAGAAACCTCAACGTATGCCATACATTCCACTTAACGTATTACCAATCTCTTGTTCAATCTTGTGGATAACATCAACAGATCTTTCAAGCGTAAAGAGTGACGGATGTAACTGTTGTCACAACATATATTTCCCTTAAGTTGAATGTATGGATAAACAAACAAAAAACTAAAAATTAGGATTAAACTTTATTTTTAGTTAATGGAAAAGTAAACTGTAAACAGACTGTCAAAATTATTTTTTAAGAGACAAATCAATTTGTTGACAGAAACAAATAAATTTATAAGGCAGTCATTGGTTTCAAAAGGATTGTGCTGAATAAAATGAATAATTTTGAATGAAATAGAAAAAAACTTATTGAGAATTTAACGAAATTCCATAAAATTGTTACCAGTTATAACGAAAGAAACTGAAAAAGTATTTGGGGTCATTGGCTATCACTTAACGCATGTGGGTTCCTCGACTTATATATTCAACACCATATGATGCTAACTAACACCTAATAAGAAATTTTTCAGAAATTTAGCTCTGCAATGGAGAAGAGTGTTCATGAATCATTCAGACTCATCAAGAGACTTGTGATTATACTTTCATGTCTTTCATATTCCTTTGTTCGATCAGATTGTACAATAACAACAAATATCGATTATGTATCGGCTTTGGGAGATCCAGAGATGAAAAATGATGGCTTAAGGGTAGCTATAGAAGCTTGGAACCAATGCAACGAGGTAGGTGAAGAAGCTAAGAACATGGGAAGCCCTCGAATGGCAGATTGCTTTGATCTCGATTACTCTAGCTTGCCCGGTAAATCCATATTTTTGTTATGTTATATCAGTTTTATATGCATGTATTTGTTTCAAATACAATTTCTGCGTTTGCGTTTACATGAATTTTTTTTTATTAAAAGTCCAACAAAAAAATCACATTTTTGAAGTATAAAACATGCATGTTTCACATTTTCGTAAATGATTTTTGCAAATTTCCACCGTAAATGTCAACAAATAAGTTTTGCTTAAGATGTTTAACGTTGTAGATTCATCTAAAAAAAAATGTAAACGCAAACGCAGATGTGAACAAAGAATCGAGGTCGTAAACCTCAAGCTGAAACTGTTTGTTGTTGGGACATTTTCAGTGAAGATAAACCATAAAGTTGACGAAAAAGACAACAAACTCGGGGTACAAAACGGAACATACGGAGGAATAATTGCTGGAGACAATCCAGATATCTATGCTGCACAAAAGGAGATATACTTGGGAAACAAATGTCAAGTTATGGACAATCCAAATCCATGGCAGTTTTGGATGATTATGCTAAAGAACGGTAATACGGATACTTTAGCAGCGATCTGTCCCGAAAACGGGAAAAAGGCGAAACCTTTTCCTCAGACAGGGAGGTTTCCGTGTTTTGGGAAAGGATGTATGAACATGCCAACGATGCATCATAAGTACACAAGCTTTGTGGATCAAGAGGGGCATATGAGTGGGAGTTTTCATGGGACTTGGGATTTGGATAGTGACGAAGAAGATGAGTCCGTGGTTGGTAATAATTCGTATTACAAGGTGAAATGGGAGAAGAAGGCTGGGGGAAACGAGAGTTGGGTTTTTCATCATTTGTTGAAGACTTCGTCTAAGTATCCATGGTTGATGCTTTATCTTCGAGCTGACGCTTCTCGAGGTTTCTCTGGTGGCTATCACTACGATACTAGAGGAATGATGAAGATGGTAAGTATCTAATCCGGTTTTCTGTTCAAACGCATGGGGAAAAAAAATGTTTTCAACGTTTTGAGAAATACTCTGTTTCATCTTTTTGTGACGCATTAATACGGCTTTGGGTTCGATTTACGGTTTGATATGAATCTGTTTATTTTAGCGGTTTTTGTTTGGTTTATTTACTCTATGGTTCGGTTTTACTCTGTTTCAGATATGAAAAATGAATAAAAAAACTAAAATGTACTCTGTTTTGTGATGTTTCTATGACGCACAAGACGGTGAAATCGCCGAATTTCAAAGTTAGATTTACGCTAGAGATTCTAAAAGGTGGCGGTTCAGGGAGTCAGTTTTACCTAATGGACATGGGAAGCTGCTGGAAAAACGATGGCAGAGACTGCGACGGTGAAGTCACTACCGACGTCACGAGGTACAGCGAGATGATAATCAACCCAGGGACAACCGCCCTTTGCAGCCGCAATCGCCTAAGCGCTTGCCCACCGCAGCACACGTTTCCAAACGGGACTACAGTTCACAGGACGGATAATGAGAGGTTTCCTTACGAAGCGTATCACTATTACTGCGTTCCGGGAAACGCACGTTTCGCAGAATCTCCGTACGATGTTTGCGACCCGTACAGTAATCCACAACCGCAGGAGATTCTGCAGATCTTGCCCCATCCTGTGTGGGAACAGTTTGGGTATCCGACAAAGAAAGGACAAGGTTGGATTGGAGATCCAAGAACTTGGGAGCTTGATGTCGGAAAACTCTCTCAATCACTCTACTTTTACCAGGTATATATTGTAATCTATAAATATATATCTACATTTATATGTATGTATATCACAAAAAAAAATGTTAATTTCGAAAGTAAAATTTGCAGGATCCAGGGACGAAACCGGTGGAGAGACATTGGTCGTCCATAGATTTAGGAACTGAAATATATATGAGCAAGAATCAAATTGCAGAATGGACTGTTACTGATTTCGACATTGTTGTACCAAGGACCGATATTTAAAGTGGACTGCTGGTACAAGACAGATGTCAATGATTTATTCATCAAGAATCTTAATTAATTCATATTTTTAGTGCACATATAAAAGTAGAATTTTTAATGCACATATAAAAGTAGAATTATAATATCAATTAAATTATTTTCTCTCTTTAATATCCGAGCCAAATGTTAAAAACAAAACTATAATGCATCAAATCGAAATACTGTATATCTAAACCAAATTACAAATAATTATTATCCGGTTTCATTTTCTTTTTGTTTTTTTATCATAAATTCTTGAAAACTAAATCTGATTATCCAAAGAAAATGGGGAAAAAATTGGGGAAAAGACGAAAGTCACCGTAAGAAGACCAGTCAGTAGATCGAAGAATTTGATTGGCTATATATAGTTTAGTCCCGTGGTCGCGAGGCACTTGATTAGTCACTGATCTTCCCTGTATAGACAATAGAGTAATAGACGAAAAACCACCGGAAGACGGTACCAACCGTTAATTAACAGCCGTCAAAAGACGAGAGAAAATTTTTCCGAGCCCTTTTCTTTTCAGTTTCCTTTTTAGGCTATCGATTGAGTTTGTTTGGGTAACGAGAAAAGCGAGAGAAACCTTTTGCTTCTTCTTCTGTGTGTGGTTTAGTTTTCTGGGTTTTAAGGGTTTCGATTGCAAACGTCGTGAGCATTTTTGGTAAGGGGTGGTTATAATGGCGGGTGATTGTGCGATTGACACCGAGATTTACTCTCTGTTGGAGGATTTCAGTGTCGATGTTGAAGTGGAAAAGCAAGAGTTTGAGACCTTCTCTCTTTGTTTTTGGGTTTATCTCTTAGATTCCACCACATACCCTTCTGCGATCATCAGACAGGTGAGCTCTCGAGAATCATCAGCTAGATTTCTCCCTCTCCTGTTTCTCTGAAATGTTCATCTGTTGTTGGGCTTTCTCTGATACAATAGATTTCGCATATTCATGTCTTGTGAAAGCTGCAACCTCTCTTGTTGGAAACCGGGGAAAAAAAAATGTTGGATCTTCTGAGTTGCAGGAAATATGAGTACAATTTTGATGTTGATCGTTGTGATTTCAAGGGCTTTTTTTTTTATACTGGAACAACATTTTTCATGAATGGCTTTTCTTCTCAGGTTCACTCCGACATGAGTGTTAGTGCACCTTTCCTTGTCCTTGATGAAAACAAGAAGTTGATGCTTTTGCCATTGACTCTCCTTCACAAGGAAGCTCCTGATCCTGTAAACACTTCTTCTTGGACTGAAGTTCCTAATGTTTCCACAAAAAACGAGTTTCCTCTTCAGAAATGGGTTCATGTGGGTTGTGAGGTACTTAGAACAGCTCTGAAGATACTTTTAAAAGAATCAAATCGATATCTCTCTTCTTGTTGGATCTACTGATTTCTATTGTTTTGCCAGGTTTCTGGAAACTACATGCGCCTTCATATATGTGGAGAGATTGTAGGAGAGCAAGTCTTGACTTCTTTGGTGACCACGAATATAGATTGTGCACGAAAGATTTCGCTATTTAGTGTTGGTGGAGATGGCTACAGCGTTCAGGGCTTCATCCACTGTGCTGAAGTTCTGCCTTTTAGTGTCTCTGCAAAGTATCACTTCACAAAGGTATCTGTTTTTATAAGTCTTTGCCTTGTTCCTTTTCACAAAAAAATCTATGGTTATGTGGTTCTTTATTTCGCTTCATTTCTTTGCCAGGACCCACCTCTTTGGTTACATGTTGAGAAGCCATCCACATCTGGAATCGAATTAGATGAAGATGGTGCTTGGAGTATCGTTGGCGGAATGGTTAGAGTTTTTTTCTGCTACTTCTGTATGCTTTTGGTGTTTATATTGTTCATAAAGTTGAGAGACCCTGCTTCTTTATATTAGGCATCTTGCCGGAAGTTGTTTTCCTTGGATGTTATTTTATCCAATGCTATTGGACAGCCTGTGCATAAGGATGTGAAGGTTCATTCTCTTATGCTTTCGTTATTAAACTTCTGAACTTTTTTTAAAGATATGGTACCATTTCTGATACCGCATCATTGGTTTGATCTTCCAGGTTGTGGCTTCTCTACTGTATGCTGATAGCGGGACGCCTGTTGAGAAGAAGAGGGACTCAGAGGCTCCCCTTTTGGTAAGCTGTCAAGGAGTTGAGTTCTCAGCGGAAGACAAACCGTGCAGCTTATTGAACGGATGTGCTTCCTTCAACCTCAAAATATCTGAGGTAGTGATTGTAAAGTCTAGGCCATTGGAGTGGAATTTCGCATTTTGTAGTATTGTTTTTGATTGTGTTCTTGTTTTGTTAAGCTTTCTTCCAAGAGTGACAAGAGATTGTTCTGCATCAAATTCGAAATACCGAATAAGAATTCTTATCCGTTCCTCGAAGCTGTTACCAACCAAATCCGTTGCATTTCAAGCAACCGTGATTCCGTTGCCCTTAAAAGGTTAAATGAGGGAGTGCCAGAGTTTGCATCGAGTAACGGAGCTTCAGATGTTCTACATAGCTCCTCGTCTGTGAAACGGATCAGATTAGGAGAGGAAAAGATATCTGAGAGTGAGGTAATCCAGTTTCTCTGATTTACGATTTGTTTTGTTTGTTTTTGTTTCATACCGAGCTTACTATTACTCTGCACTGTTGTTTCTCTCGAGTTAGTTAAAGAATGGAAATGGTACGAGTATGGAGTGGAGACCTCAGAACCAAGAAGAAGAAGAAGAAGACGAAGAAGAAGAAGAAGAAAACTCTTCAACTGACTCAGAAAACACCGAAATTAGAGACTCAACGGTTCTGAGAAGATATACAGTCTCAGACTCGACGATTTTCAGATACTGTCTTGGAAACTTAACAGAGAGATCTCTTCTTCTGAAGGAAATCACAAACAATTTATCGGATGAAGAGGTTTCGGAATTTGCAGATCAAGTTTCTCTCTATTCCGGGTGCTCCCATCACAGGTAAATATATTAAATTAAACTCACACCTACCTTAAATACGTAAATCACGAGAATAACTAGAAACATGATTCTTCCAACTTTTCCAGCTATCAAATCAAAATGGCAAGAAAACTGATAGCAGAAGGAACAAACGCGTGGATTCTGATCTCTCGGAACTATCAACATGTTCATTGGGATAATGTGGTAATTGAGATTGAAGAGCATTTTATGAGAATAGCTAAATGCAGCGGTAGATCTCTCACTCACCAGGTCTTCTCTCTCTCTTTCTCTTATCATGTTGCTTGAACTCTTACCAAGATTAAAGTGTCTTGATCTGGTCTTAATGATGGACATTCAGTTCATGATGTGGCTCCGAAATGAAATTGTTGTCAGGATTTTGAGCTTCTAAGGAGGATATGCGGATGCTATGAGTACATAACACAAGAGAATTTTGAGAAAATGTGGTGTTGGTTGTTCCCTGTTGCTTCTGCTATATCGAGGGGATTGATTAACGGAATGTGGCGCTCTTCTTCGCCTAAATGGATCGAAGGGTTTGTGACAAAAGAAGAGGCAGAACAGTCGCTGCAAAGTCAAGAACCGGGCACATTCATTCTCAGGTTCCCTACTTCAAGAAGCTGGCCACACCCTGATTCTGGTTCCTTGGTCGTGACGTATGTCGGTCATGATTTCGTTATACGTCATAGATTACTCACAATCGATCGCATCTGCGAGTAAGAAGATCTCCATATTTCTCTCTCTCCTCTTCTCTATTCTTTCTATCTGTCTTGTGACATTTGTTTTTGTGTGTTTTAGTTCTAGTGAAAGGTATACAGATGCCAAACCGTTGCAAGATATGCTTTTGGCAGAACCTGAGCTATCTCGACTTGGAAGGTGAGAGAGAGAGAGATAAAGAAAAGTTTTAGCTTTTGTTGAGCAAAGATAGATCAAATTATTCATGATCTTGAAAATTGGGTTTTTGGTTTGTTGCATTTGCAGGATCAGAAGAAGCGTTTGAATATCAAGTATTAACACACACATGAACAAGACAGTTATGCCGATAAATAATAGATTTGCTAAGTACTCTTACTGATACTAACTTCTGTAAAGCTCAGTGATTTGTTAAATTAGTGGAAGTCACTTTGTTTTCTTTTCTAAATCGATTTAAGAAATTCAGTTTCCGACAAGAAAGAAAAGAGTTACGAAATTTGCTCTGTAGGCTCGAATTTTTTATATTATGTGGCCCATTTACGCCTACCCCCAACTCTTCTTGCTTTGTCCCTTCTCCCTAGTTGATTACTAGAAGTTAACTTGATTATGGTAAATATCTTCAAAATTTGAAAGCTTTTAATTATTTAATTTCCCTAGGACCTATCTGTACGGTGAGAAAATGTTTTAAAATTGTGAGATCTAGAATAATTGGTACTATATAATGACTGACTAATGAGCCCACCCTATTGTATAATTATCTTGAAATCAGAAAAGGATATTCTCTAATCTCGAAATATTTGATACGAGTTGGATGATGAACCAATAAGTACAAAACACGTGGTGACATCTCAGCTTCTGATTTGATAAAGCAGAGGACGATGTACTACTCTCTTTTTTGGTTTTTTATGTTTTTTTCCCTCTCTCCATTGTACTGAATAAAAAACGGACACAAATCTTAAATTCTCTCTCTCTCTCGTCCTCCAAAGGTCGAGTTTTTGAGACAGAGGTCTCATGTGGTTTTGTCTCGTCCACCCAAAGAAAATAAAGGGCAAAAAGGAAGAAGCTCGATTCATATATATCACCCACTTGAAATTTTTGTATTCTTAATTTTCTTTTTTCGATAATTTTTCCATTCACTCAATCTCTCGTCAGCGTTAAGACTTTCTACACTTGCTCGTGTTCAAAATCTAAGATTCTCAGTTTCCGAAGCTTCATAACCGTCTTTTCTTTTTTTTTGGGTTCGCCTAAAAGTTCTCGTCCCTTTTGGATTTTTTCTGAGAAATGATGATGTCATGTCGGAATATAGACTTGGGTACGAGTGTTCTTGATCTGATGCCATGCGGATGTTCTTGTAGCTATTCTCCGAAAAGTCGTCGAATCTTGTTTGGGAATTGTTCCAAGACTGTTTGTAGGATTGGTACCAGAAGCTATGGTGGTATTGGTGGTGGAAATTTGGTGTTTCTCCGGCGAGATTCGGGGAGTTGCAGAGCGATTCCGGCGAAACCCAAGGAGACTACTCTGGTCAATGGTATGATTTTTCAGCTTTTCTTGAAACAATTTACCTTTGGTAGTGTTTAACTGATTGGGATTCTTGGATTTTGAAGTATAGTTTGTTTTAGTAATTGAATGATTGTTCTGACTTTTTTTCGTTTACATAGTAACTCAATTATTTCACATAAAGAAATTGATTATTTTGGTCATTCCTATAACAGTGAAGTATTGAGCTTTTCATATTGTGTTTGCTTTGTAGAATATACAGTCTTATTTGTAAGCTGAGATACTCAAAACCAGACAATTCATAGAGAAGTCAAAGGCTTACTACACATTCAAAAACTTGCTTCAGTTTGATGCTTTATGGTGAGAATAATGATTGATTGTTGTAGGTCTTGGTCAAGAGAAAACAGTGATGTTCAATCTGAGGCAAGAATCACAAAAGCCGATATCTTTGGAAAACCTGTTTGAGATAGTGGCTGATGATCTGCAGAGGTTGAACGACAATCTTTTATCGGTTAGTATCTCTCGGCAACATTTCCTTGTGGTCTCTTAAAAAGAGGGTTACAGTTCTGATGTAAATGCTCTTCTGTTATATAGATTGTTGGTGCAGAAAATCCGGTTTTGATCTCTGCAGCTGAGCAAATTTTCAGTGCTGGTGGTAAGAGGATGAGACCGGGTTTAGTATTCCTTGTATCACGAGCCACTGCGGAATTAGCTGGCCTCAAGTAATCTATACAATTGCTATTTCTGTTACATCTTATGTCCTTACAAATTGTGTAACCTTTAGCAAATAAGAATGATGATTTATAGTTTATGTTTTGTTGCAGAGAACTTACAGTAGAACATCGGCGTTTAGCTGAGATCATTGAGATGATTCATACCGCAAGTTTGATACACGATGATGTGTTAGACGAGAGTGATATGCGAAGAGGTGAGAGTCAAAGTTCTAATTCTTTTGATCCGAGTTTACATTTTCTCTGCAGAGTATTTAAAAGCTTCTCATGTGTGTGTTTATTAGGAAAGGAAACGGTTCACGAGCTTTTTGGAACAAGAGTAGCTGTATTAGCTGGAGATTTCATGTTTGCTCAAGCATCATGGTACTTGGCAAATCTCGAAAACCTAGAAGTCATTAAGCTCATAAGTCAGGTAAAAAAAATTCTCTTTCTTTTTCTTGAGATTGGAAGAAGCTAGACAAATGCAACAACACTCGGTGTCTGAATCTTGATTTTGTCTTTTTTTTCAGGTGATCAAAGATTTCGCAAGCGGTGAGATAAAGCAAGCATCGAGTTTATTCGACTGTGACGTCAAGCTAGATGACTACTTGCTCAAGAGTTACTACAAGACAGCTTCATTAGTAGCTGCGAGCACCAAAGGAGCTGCCATATTCAGTAAAGTCGAAAGCGATGTAGCGGAGCAAATGTATGAATTTGGGAAGAATCTTGGGTTGTCTTTTCAAGTAGTTGATGACATTTTGGACTTCACTCAATCCTCAGAGCAGCTAGGGAAGCCTGCAGCCAATGACTTGGCCAAAGGTAACATAACCGCGCCAGTGATCTTCGCGCTAGAGAATGAGCCGAGGCTAAGAGAGATCATTGAGTCTGAGTTTTGCGAGCCTGGATCTCTTGAAGAAGCCATTGAAATGGTTAGAATCCGCGGTGGGATCAAGAGAGCTCAAGAGTTGGCTAAGGAGAAAGCTGAACTTGCTTTGAAGAATCTGAATTCTCTTCCTAGAAGTGGTTTCAGATCAGCTCTTGAGGATATGGTGATGTTTAACCTTGAGAGGATTGATTAGCTTTACAGAGTATTTGATTGTAACAGTCTTTATTTGTTCAAACACAGTTTTTTCTTTTTTTCTTTACTGTATGTCATAAAGGAATAATAAAAATAGTTTCTTGTTTGCTATTGAATATTTCTAGATATATAAATTTGTTTGTTATATACAAAAAACACCCAAATAAAGATTTCTTGACCGGATTCAAACTGCATTTACTAAACCTTCGAGGTTCTGTTTTTGTTGATGAACAAAAAAAAAAAGGAAGCACCTTTATATTTTCTCTTTCTCTTAAACTTTTCGGATGATCAAATGAGCTCCATGTTGTGGAAACGTAGTTGCAGCTGGGAAAGGAGCATGTGTATACGACGGAGAGAGCTCTACACTGAACCTTTGAAGAACCGTTGCAACAAAGAGCTTAGCTTGCAACATTGAAAAGTTTTGGCCAATACATGTCCGAGGTCCCGAGCTAAACGGTAAGAAGGAGAGCCTTCCTTTGGTCGCGCTCGCAACGCCATTGACGAATCTCTCGGGCTTAAACAGTTTCACATCGTCTCCCCAAAGATCAGGATCATGGTGCACCAAGAGCATCGGTATTGTGATCACAACTCCTTCGGGTAAAGAGAATCTCTCTAGCTTCACTTCTTGTTTTGTTATCCGACATGTGAAGTAAGCTGGAGAATAGAGTCTTAGAACTTCATGGAGTATCATTGTTACCTGAAAGATAATACCTCACAGTTAGATATATAATGTGGTTTTAATATATCTGTTTTTGGAAGTGTCTACTTACGACTTTCAGGTGGCTTAAGCATTCGAAGTCTGGCTCGTTGTTACCAAACGCCTGAGAAATCTCGTCTCGTGCTTTGTTTTGCCAGTCTTGATGTTGGCTCAATGCAACAAGCGTCCAAACAAACAATGAAGAAGTCACGTTTTGACCAGCAAGATAGAAAGCCTTACAGTCATCAATCAGATCGTCGAGGCTTAGCCCTGAATCAAGTCCTTGCTCTTTGATTTGCTTTGTGTTCGAAGCCAACATCGAGCACAACAAGTCGCTGTTTTTCTCGGTGCCTCTTCCTCTTTCTATCTCCTTCTCTTTTGTCTCAATCATAGCTTTAAACATAGCCCTCATGTCCCTCTCGGTTTCTCTCAGCCTCTTGTTGAACTTTGTTGGCAAAAATCTTCAAATTACGAATTCAAGAAACATGAAAACCATATCAGAAAAATTAGCTTTCCGGTTCCAAACTCGGTAGATAAATTTATTATAAAATCATTTATCTTTACTTTGAGCCAGGAATGTAGACGGATCGAATAGCTTGGAGACCAAGATCGATCTGTTCTTGTTGGATTTCGAAGATTTTGATGCCATCTCTGTAGAAATCACCAAAAGAAGCACGAGCAAGCATGTTTCTGGTTAAGTCATGACAGTAAGTCCAAGAATCAAGTTCCACTGTTCCTTTTGCTGAAGCTAATTTCTCCCATTCTTCTAACATCTCTTTGCAGCTTGAGTTGAATGCTGGTAGTATGCTCTGTCCATTTTTTTAAGAAAAAATATATATTAAATATGATTTCATTTGAAAAATCAAATCAATATCATAATACCAAAAAAATCACATACATGGGTCTTTATATAAAATAAAAGAGCTTATTTATTTGTATGTTTGTTGTTTAAGATAATGATGTGTGGCTTTCTTTACTGGTAATGAAATGATAAATTCTTTTTTTTTGCCGAACAGGAAAGTTGATGTGTAAGAAATTCTTGATCTTGATATAGTTGAAAAAAAGAAATTCTTGATTTGAAATATGATTTCAACTTTTTGTAAATGTGTCTTTTTGGCTTTTTATGTTCTTTCGCTTTTAGACTTTTATAGTTGGGTGTTGGTGTCGTGGCGTGGCTTCTAGTTCTTTGCGGACTTTTTCTCTGTTTCTTCTGTTTTCTTTAAATACCTTTTGTTATTTTTTTGTTTATTTTGGAAACCAAAAACTAAATTAAATCTTTGAAAAATATTTAGCTACTACTATAGGATTTCTATTCTATTTATCTATTGTTGTTATTATTTAAATATCTCAGAGTATATAATACCAAGCGAAACAAGTAAAGACGTTACTCATCTGACTTTCTTTTTGGAAAAAGGGAAAAGAGAATGAGAAACTGATAAAAAAACTAAAGAATGAGACGAAAATGACATCCATAAAGTTCACATTATGTCAGAGTTAAAAATAAATTATAAAAGACAAAAAATAGTTATTAGAGTCAAAATGAGCAGTGTATGTATAATTGTATATTTATTCAATCATGTACCAAAACTTAAAAATAGAAAGAAAAAAATAAAAAAAAAATACCTTCAAATTGTCGATACGAAAAGCAGGATTAAGAATGCTTCGATGTTTGGACCATTTAGGACCTTCGTGATTGAGAAGACCACTGAGGAAAACATGATTATGTGACCCAATCTTTGGCTTTGGAAAGAGTTCGTGTCTTGACATTATCTCTCGCAGTGTCTCTGGATCCATTACTATCACGTTCGGGTACGGTCCGTACCATGTGAAACACTTCTTCCCTGTCAAAAGCAATTATATAAATTAAACTATTCTCATTTGTTCACTAATCTACATATGAAACAAAACGCATGTATAGAAGAATATATTGATATCATCCGGTAAGACTAAGAGTGTTTTTTATTTTATTTTTTGTGAACTAGATTTATATTTATAGCCAGAAATAAAGATATGAGATGTAGATCTTAATTAACTATGAAAATGTCTGTATATAAACATTATATATCATCTATATATAGTATATACACAACTAACTCTTTTAACTCCTTCCTCTGAATCTCTCTGTTCATATATACATGTATATATATATATATATACACTTTGAAAATGATTAAAATTCAAGATGAAGAAGATAACCAACTCCCAAAGTCCTAACCAAATTTATAAAAAAAAGTCTTATGAATCTAACATAAGATCGAGTCTATTATATGGTTCTGATTTAGATTCACGTTTTCTTCAAATGAGTATATAAAGACCTAAAAAACTTGAGAATTGAGTTGAGTTTGATGGATTTACCATGATTTAGAACAGTGTGGTGGAGAAAAGGCATCATGCGAGGGAGAAAATCGCCGGCAAGAGGGAGAGGAAGAGAATGAGCAACTTGATCCATCTGATTACTCTCTCTCATGTCTCCCATCAGAATTCTGTAAGAATTCCCAGAAAATCCTTGTTTCTTCAGATATTTCTCCAGTCTCTTTGGCCTTAACCAAACCCAATTCACAGCTCTCCATACCCAATTCAGTATCAAGATCGAAAACCCGACCAATAACACTTTTCTTACTGTAACTATCTCTATCATCTTGATCTTTTGATCTTTGATAAGAAGAGAGGAAGAGAGAAAGAAAGCAGACACGATTATAAATGATGATGCTTATAATTTCATCAGTTGACTATATATGTTGGAGGCAGCTGTATATCTATATATATATATATATGCGTGGATAGATATAATGTATAATAAAAATGTGATAAAACCTGTTTATATTACACATAGAGAGAAGATATATGTAATAAATCGCTGTATGTGCAACTGGCAATGAATTTATAACAACAAGTTCTTTGGTGTATATTTCCAAAAATTTAATTTTGTCTTCCCTTCCTTACGCTACATGCATGTGGCTTTATTGCATGAGTTTAGTATATACATATTTTTATCTTGTTTTATTTTATTTCATTTTGATATATACTCTATGCTACCTCCATATTTACATTTTCCTCTCTTTGTCTGCGTCTGTTTCTTGTCGTAATTATCTACGTTAGAGAGAGGAGAGTTCTCACGCAATTCTCACCTTGATTTAATTTTTCTCCTTTCAAAATTTCATAATTGATATTTAGGTAGATAAATGAAATTAAATTTAAAATTTATTAAAGTAAAACTTACACAAGCAACTAATCACCAATTATAGTATATTTGTTAGTGTTAAGTGGTGTTATATTAATTCAGTTTTAATATTTTATTTTTCGAAACAAGGGTTTACATGATTGATTTAAATTTAAACTCACATTTATGAAAGAAAAACTTAAATGTGATTTACTGATTTGTTAGTGTTAAGTGGTGTTAATTTAATTTAATCGCAGACAATAAATATGGAACCAGGTGGCGTTGTTCTTTGGAGACGATGAATAGCAATGTCAACTCTCTTACGAAACGCATGTGATATACTATAATAGTATATATAAGATAATGTTCGTCCAACCATATCAATTAATTTTAATTTTAATAATATAATGCAATTACGCGTAGACTAGGGTCATTATCATTTACTAAATTACACGTCGGACAAAATAAACCTAACGGCTACGGGCGTTGTTGGTTAATTAAAATAGTTATAACGTAAGCTTATTTGATTAGCTAGTAATTTATTGTATTGTTCAAGAAATAATAGATAGACTAGGCTTGGAGGGGAAAAAAAAATTCTTGTCACGAAGCTAAAACATATTACTTTACTTGACAGAGGTATCCATAAAAATCCTAAAAATAAATTGATTAAGTAAACTGATAGAAGAAGTCTGCTACCTGAAATGGATTTTCTGTAGACAGAGATGAAAACAAAATTAAAATTGATAAAAGTAGGTAAAGAAGTTTAGTCATGGTTTAGCGAAATAAATTGCAATATTCAACTAATGCGTGCGATTATATGGCCTCATATCAACACGCATATTTCTCTACCGTGGATAAAATTCAAGAAGCATTTTTGAAAAAAACCATCTAAAAGATATATATAGTCATAATAACATCTAAAAAGGTGTTACGTTTCTTTATGTGTTAAAACCAACTAAAAGTCGAGTCATACTCTACAATCCCAAATTCGTGTCGTTTGTACAGAATAAATGGGATTTTGTTGTTTTAGTTCAGACAGAATATAACAACTCTTCTTTAAAGACAACTGGGAATGTGTATCTATTGTTGCAAAAACAAAATTTGGTTAGAGAAAAGAAAGTATTCCTAAAAATTCTTGACTTTATACTAATTACTGTGTGAACCAAATATTTGTTGACTTCTATTTATCAGAAAGTAAGAAATCTTCAATTATATAATATGTAAGAAAAAATGTTTTTAAATAATTATAAATTGTCAATTCAAAAACTTAGAAACGAGGAAACTGTCCTAATAAAAAAAAAGTTTGAGTGATCCATAATCCAGAAAAATATATGGAATGAAGACTCATATATAGAGTCATAGTCTCATACCCATGCACTATAAAGAAAAGAGAACTAAATTTGTTAATATGTTAGATTTATAAAAATACACCACTTTTTAGTTAAAAAAAAACAAATTAATATATCATAAAAATTGTTATGCTATACCAATTAATTTTAATAAATTAAATGGTGGTGCCCCAATGATACTTGTTTAAAAATATGGCTTAAATTCATATTTTTATTTCTAGTTATTTTATCTTTGATTGGTTAGTCAAAATAATAGCATCATTTAAGTTCATTTAGAAATCTAGTGAGTGAGATAATCGCGATTTTATTTAGAGTGCATATAGTTTGTTCAGTTAAATAAATAAAAAATGATAAATATTGACATTCCTATTAGAAAAAGTATCATTTGAATGGAAATTGGAAACTATAAAAGAACTAAACTTTACCAAATTTCGCCTTCTATTATTTTTAAGAGCACAATAAATGGAACAAGATTAATTTTCTATCATCCCTATTCTACCTTTCTTTATTTAATTCGTTTTTGTTCCAACTAATTTCTCAAATGAAAACCATTTGCGATCTTATTAAACCATGTAATTTTTTTTCTTGGAGGTAATATTTATTGGCCAACAATGTTATTTTCTTCTCCTTTACAGGCAAAAACTCAGATTTTGCGTTTTATTACCTTTATTTTTTACTGTTTCGAAAGTCAAAACGACTCAGGGCCCGTTATTTCCACTGAGAGTACTAATGAAATTTACAAATATATGGGCTTTGGTATACAAATTAACGGGCCCTTCTAATTTTAAAGGCCTACTGGCTTTTATCTTTCTCGCCGATAAGGTTCGACGTCGGCGATTTACAGTCGAAATCCGAAAATCTTAAATTGCTCGTTTTTGTTCAATCTCGGATAGGTTAGAAAGTTCGCAGAGTTTCGGTCCTAGTATTCGCCATGGACGAGTATCAAGAGATGGAGAGATTCAGCATGGAAAACGATTACGAAGGAGGTCGATGGGAGAATGGCGAGTTCTTATACGAAAAGAGGAAGGAGAAGCGGAAACAAACGAAAAACGACGCTACTTATGGAGTCTTCATTGAGAGCGATTCGGATTCCGATGGCTCTAGCGGCGGAGGTCGGAGGAAGAGGCGTAAGGATCGGGATTCGGGAAGAAAAGCCGACTTAACCAAGCCTGTCAACTTTGTTTCTACAGGTACGGTTATGCCGAATCAAGAGATTGATAGGGATTCTAGAGAGCATAATGATGAGAGAGATAGTGATAAAATCGAAGACGATAACATGATTCATGAGGATAGTGAAGTTAGAGGTGGATTGGGTCTTGGAAGCGCAGGTTTAGGGTTAGGGTTTAATGCGGCTGTGTTTAACGAGGAGGATAATCTCTTACCGGGTGCTTTGGGGAAGAAGATTGCTGAGGGGGCAAAGATGAGAGGCAAGGCCAAGATGGAGAAGAGAGGTCAAGAGGGTGGTGCAAAGGGAGTGAGGAAGAATACTTTAGGCGGTGATATCGGTCAGTTTGAGAAGTCTACAAAAGGAATTGGTATGAAGCTGCTTGAAAAGATGGGGTACAAAGGAGGTGGGCTTGGGAAGAACCAGCAAGGTATTGTAGCTCCTATTGAAGCACAGTTGAGGCCGAAGAATATGGGTATGGGGTACAATGATTTCAAGGAGGCAAAGTTGCCTGATTTAAAGAAGGTAGAGGAGAAGAAGAGTATTGCGGTCAGTGACAGTGAGAAAGGTCAGAGTCATGGTGACAGAGGAGGGAGAAATCTTTGGAAGAAGAAGAAGGTGAGGAAGGAAGTTTATGTCACTGCAGAGGAGTTGTTGGAGAAGAAGCAGGAGGAGGGTTTTGGTGGTGGGCAGACCATTATTGATATGCGAGGACCACAGGTTCGGGTTGTGACAAATTTGGAAAATTTAGATGCAGAGGAGAAAGCAAGAGGAGCAGATGTTCCAATGCCGGAGTTGCAACACAACTTGCGACTGATTGTTGATCTAGTCGAACATGATATTCAGAAGATTGATAGAGACTTGAGGAACGAGAGAGAATCGGCCTTGAGCTTGCAGCAGGAGAAGGAGATGCTTATAAAGGAGGAAGAGAGACAAAAAACACACTTAGACAACATGGAATATATCGCAGATGAAATAAGTCGAATCGAGGTGGAGAATACGTCTGGGAGTTTGACACTGGATTCACTTGCTAATCGTTTCGAGGACCTGCAAACAAGCTATCCTGATGATTATAAGCTTTGTAACTTGTCTTTCATCGCTTGCTCACTGGCCTTGCCTCTCTTTATCAGGATGTTTCAGGGTTGGGATCCTCTTAGGGACGCAGTCCATGGTTTGAAGACTATATCTTCTTGGAAAAAGCTTTTGGAAGTCGAGGATAATCAGAATATCTGGGAAACCTCAACACCTTATAGCCAACTAGTCTCGGAGGTAGTGTTACCTGCTGTGCGTATAGCAGGCATCAATACCTGGGAACCTAGAGACCCTGAGCCGATGCTTAGATTTTTAGAGACATGGGAAAATTGGCTGCCTTCGTCGGTCTTGCATACGATTTTGGACACTGTAGTGCTGCCGAAACTTTCAAGTGCTGTTGAATATTGGGACCCGCGAAGGGAACTTGTTGCCATTCACGTCTGGGTGCATCCTTGGTTGCCAATACTTGGTCAGAAGTTGGAGTTTATGTATCAGATTATTCAGACGAAGTTGAGTAATGTTCTTGATGCTTGGCATCCTAGTGATCCATCTGCGTACACTATTCTGTCTCCATGGAAGACGGTGTTTGGTGCGACAAGCTGGGACCAACTTATGCGTCGATACATAGTTCCCAAACTTCAGCTGGCTTTGCAAGAGTTTCAGATAAACCCGGCAAACCAGAATTTAGACCGGTTCAACTGGGTCATGAAGTGGGCATCTGCAGTACCGATACACCTAATGGCTGATTTGATGGAGAGGCTCTTCTTCCCCAAATGGCTGGATGTGCTGTACCATTGGCTGCGCGCTAAACCGAGGTTTGACGAGATCCACGAATGGTATTATGGTTGGAAAGGGTTATTCCCGCAAGAGCTTTCAGCAAACGAGAGGATCCGAGTCCAGTTGAAGCGTGGTTTAGATATGTTGATGGAAGCTGTTGACGGAGTCGAAGTGTCTCAGCCAAGGGCAAGGGCACAAGAGCAGAGACACTTCGAGCCGGCTCAGGCTCCGGCTAAGGCTCACATGGATAACACTGAGGTGCTGAGTTTGAAAGAAGTGTTGGAAGTATTTGCACAAGAGAAGGAGTTGCTGTTCAAACCTAAACCGAATAGGATGCACAATGGTCTTCAGATTTATGGGTTTGGGAATGTGAGTGTGATTATAGACTCGGTGAACCAGAAGCTGTTGGCTCAGAAAGATGGAGGCTGGTTTCTTGTCACTCCTGATGACTTATTGAGGATGCATAACAATGCGACTGTTTCTGGAAAACGATGAGATTACATTTTCATTTGATAAGCTTCTTTATCTTCCGATGTATAAACTGTCTTCAACCATATCATTATCACATTTTGTCTCTTTATTAGATCTCATATCTTTTGAACTCCGTTGCAAATAACGAAACTCAAAAACATCTTTTTGTCAAGTTTACACCTTTTTTGAGTAGAAAACACAAAGATAGTAATACAACACGGGATGTTTATCGACACCTATACAAACGTTTTGAGATTAACCACAAGGTAATCACCACTCTTCTGCTCCTTTAGATACACCCAGAATCACAGCGATCGTTACAAGAATAGCCTGAACACACAAACCAATCATTTTGATCCTGAGTCAGATGCAAACCAAGGAAAAACATAAAGGATATGAGAGAGGGTGTTGAATAACTTACAGCGATGGTGCAAGCAATATATCCTGGTTTCTCCCTGTGGTCAACTCTCCTTCCAACTATCATGATGAACATTCCGAGATACCAAGGGATTGCTCCAAAGAAAAATCCAACTATGAACCTTCAAAAAATTAAACACAAACTCTATGAGATACAAAACAAGTAAGATCTTGGCTTGGACTGTGCTGGTAGGACACTGTTACAAAGAGAGTGTAGATAGTACCCAGACATGTGAAGAGAGGGAGAGAGAGATTCAGAAATTTTTTGAGCTTGTGTTTGAATGGAAGTAGAAAAAAAGGGAAACTTACAGGAACCATCCAAGACCAATTCCACAGCAAGGAAGGCGGCGTTGTCTTACAGTCACAGGTCTTCCTTCAGCAATACCATGGACTGACAATAGAAAACAACAAGACATGATAAACATTAAGAACGAACAGATGAGCAGACATCGATTCATGCTCTTGCCTTGGACTTGAACAAGAAAGAAGGAAGAATGAGACATGACACAACTTACCTTACAGTTTATAGCACAAATCGAAACAACCTAACTATTGCTAAAACTCAAAGCTCCCAACATCAAAATCTATGGCGCTCGAAAAAAATAACATCAAATATTGCTCTTTTTACTTCACAGGATTGGGTTATGCTAACTAGCTCCTCAGTATTAAATCAGGTTTTGCAGATACGCGATAGTTATTCAACCTCATATTTTCATTTCAATGTATGAAAAAGAAGTTAGCTTTTCACATACAGATCCCTTCCCTAACAGGCAATGGCAATAACGAAAATGGTTTCCATTCGACAGAAAACTCCTTATTATGTTACTGTAAAGATAATTTGATCTCAAACTCCACTGAAGAACAATCAAAGTCAAATTCATCAGCATACTGTTGATCGACATACCCGTTTCTAAAACACAGAACAAGCTGTAAATTGGTTTCCCTTGCGAAAGAAAACACGATCCTATGATCATATTGAAATCTTACAGAAACAAATTCCCAACGAATATTACTGAGGAAGAGGATTCATGATCGTTACCCATTTTACAAAAACTCAAACCTGAATTCCCAAATCTGTAAAAACTGAATCAGTATATCCAATTCAGGAAGAGAAGCTACCTGGAACGGTTTGATATCCATGGGCGTAATGAGGAGCGGGGGAATCGTAAACTCCAGGCGGCGCTGAAGGTTGAGGAAATCCAGTGACCGGAGGAGAATTCTGCGGCGGCGGGTAATTGGAAACTCCTTGAAAGGTACCGTATTGGTGATGATGCTGGTTACCTGCTTCCTCCGCGAATCCTCTGCTTTTATCTTCTTCTCCGTGACCCATCTTTCTTCAGCTTCTTCCTTTTCGTCTCGATCGCTCTATCTGACTCTATCGAGATGGTAAATTTGCGAAATTTGCAAAGCGTTGAAACAGACGAAGAAGTCTTTTTTATTTTTCTTTTTTAAAAAAATCAGAATTATTATTTGCTTATAGACCCGAGATAATGTGTATTTTTCAATTTAGACCCCTGAGTTATTATTATAATGCATTTACAACCACCGACTGCAATGTTTGACTTAGGGTGGTTGATAAATACGATTAAGTACTATTTATATAGATTAAGAAAAATCAATTAAGATTTAATAAACATGTGGTGGGTTATAAATATTAAATTCATCCATCGAAGCTTCGAGTTCACGGGATGGATTATGGAATTCACAAATGATCTTCTAGTCATTAAAGTTTCACATCTACTCTTCTCCATTCAACAAATCATTATCAACCATCAAAATGATTTATCACCGTCAATTATTTTTCTTATTATATAACTACTGAACATTCAAAAAAAAGAGAAATTTCAGAAATGTGTCACCATAAACAATTCGTTGTCTTTGTTTTTTTTTTCATTAAATAAACTTTGTAATTGGTGTTTTTGTCAACTATCAACTTCGTCGTTATGCTTTATTACTTTCAATGACTGGAATTGTTTTCATTTCTTTTCCCGTCTCAAGTGGAGACTTTAGCTTTTAATTATATCAGCCTCCAAAGAAAAATAGACCTTGAAAAGTAAATTAAAACAAGAACCCTAACCATGGTGATTACAGAGCATGTATGAAAACATGGTGAACAATATGTATATATATAATACATATGTTCAGACTACATTATTATTTCTCTCAAGATACACAAAAGAAGAGGATTCTGAAACATAAGATGTGATACTCTCAACCTATGGATTTAACCATTTACAACTAGGTATGATCAAAGAAAAATTGCGAAACATGAGGAGAAGTGTGTAATGAAATAGAAAAAACCAGCTTTTTCTTCAACAAGCACAAATATCATGAGAGCAATCTTGCCCACAATCATCATCATCATCGTCATCATCATCGATGGAGTCAGAGAATCCTTGGTTACTTGAGATTGCAATGATCATTACCTTCTCATCTGGTTTAGCTTCTTCCGGTTCAATAAGATTCTTCCTGAGGTCACTCAAATCCTGGTTTGTCTCTGTCATGAAGCTATGAAGAATGGAGAAGCAAGTGAAACCACAAAACACTAAATTGACTGCAAACAAGGCGATGCACAGGATCACGACGATACAGTTGTAAGCATCCATTCTTCTTGGGAACTGATCATGATGGTTGGTTTACAATCACCAGAATCAAATACAAAAGGAGAAATAAAAATTATTCACTTTTCAAGAAAAGAGGGAGCCAAATATATATGTATTGGTTTCAAGAAATCAAAAGGATACTCTGGTCCCCTCCACAGATTTAAGAAGAAGCTTGTATCTGAAAATGCTTTGCGTGTTTACATCTCTTTATAAGAAGAAAATTAAAAGGATAAAGAAACCTTTTTTTTAATTTTTGGGTCTCTGCGGTGGAGAGGATTTTTCAACAGATAAAGGTGGCAAGCATGACAAAAGCATTTTGTCTCTTTCTTTTCTTTTCACCAAATCTGTTACTGTTAGTTTCTCACAGAAAAAAATATCAATTAATTGTTTAAAAAATCGTACTTTACTACACATTTCAAAATTCTGAAGAACCTCAAGCACAGATAACAGAGAGATATGAAAGAGGGACATCGACTTCTATCCTGTTTTCAGATTATGTAAGATTGTTTGGTTTGCACATTTTCCATCAGAGTTTGGTAACAACACCTGAAAAAGATCATGACCAGTCTATTTCAGTGACCGGTTCAAGGTAAGCAATTGAATATGAGATCTAGAAAAATAATCTTATGAAAAGATTTCCTGATATGTGGCTTGAGTGTGGATAATATATCCATTAACAAACTGCTTTAAAGTCTGAAAATTTCCAAGTTTGATGTAAACATCAAGAAAAGCATTACTACAGATAAAAAAACTTCATTTTAAAAGAGTAACCTTGTGGCAATCTGAATTAGTAACCTAGACTTGTTCTTCCACTTATCTGATTCATAAAGAGTATATCGCAATAACCCCACAACTCTATCATTGACTCAAAAAAACTTGTAATCTATTATACGTAAGGTTCTGTAAGGACGGCTATGAATGCGAAAGCCATGAACAAACAATTATAGAATATGAAAAGCTTAAAAAGTAGCCGGTTTAATAATCAGTGTCAACTCTTGGGCTGTGGACTTTCTCCTTTCGGAAATCAAAATTTTGCCTAATTCATACAGAAGGAAATTCGAAAATATAGATTGGAAGACATATATCTATGCATCAAAACGTAATTGACATTTTGATCACTAAAGTCAATTCTTTTTAAAACATGGCAAGCTTAAACAAGAACGTGTCAATGACTTGCGTAAGATAGAGAAATCTGCAGAAAAAAAGAGATTCAGATGAGTAAGGCAGACATCATATTTAAAACAGAGAACCACCTGCAGCTAAGAGCTGGGCAGTACATAGTCTCATATTCAGCCATTACATTTTTCATCATAATCCCAAGCACTCAGTGATCATTTATGCTTCGAAAAAGTCGTTATGATTCTTCAAGTTGACGCATAAAGATTAGATTTTTCAGAAAAGAAATTCTTCGTAGAAAACTAAAAATTGAAAAAAATTCAAGACAAAAACGAAAACATTGCTCCCACTCATGACGCATGTATAAAACCGGATGTCAGTACTATTCCAAGAAACCAACTTTCCTTACAGGCATTTCGTCGAACACCTGATGTGCATTTCTAAATATACCCCCAAGGGCGCAGAAGAGATTATGAGAGAACAACGGAGGAGATGACTTTGGCTGGGGCAATTTCGTAAATACGGGTAGAAGATGTGTTTCTGGGCCAAACCGTTTTCGGGTCGGGTCGGTACCTATAGTTTCGTTTTCTCCCTCTCTCTCTGTTCCTTGCTCGACCATCGAACACGTCGCAGCCTTTATCACAGTGTAGTATTTATTACAGATGATCCCTGTAGTTTTGTTTCTTACAGATTCATCCTTGTGCTTTTTATATTACATAAATAAACACCCTATATTTTGGTTAATTACAAAACATGGGTCAAAGTTTTGTTTATCACCAACCTTCCCCTGCTTTTTCTTTGTTACGTAATGTTGCGGATAGTTTTGTTTCTTAAAGAAGTTCCCCATAGTTTTGTTAATTTATAAATGTTTACTAAAGTCTTGCCTTTTTAAAAAATATGCTCCCTGTAGTTTTGGTTACACGTCTCCGGTGGAATTACAAAAATGAGGCAACTTTTTTTGTACACACACAAAACCTATCCGAAGATCAACCACACAATCAGAGACGTAACAAAAATCTATTATAACGCCCCGAACGAAGAAAGAACCAGCTCAGTACCCAGAAACCCGCCATGGCAGCAGACGGTTTAAGCTTCTTCAAGCTCTCTTTCCTCCTCAGCCTCCTCTCCGGCGGGTCAAATGTACTGGATCCGATATTCGGACCTGGCCAAGTCGGGAAGTTCCCGCCGTCGTGTAACCGAATCGAGTGCCCAAAGTACGAACTAATTCACGCCGGAAATGGATACGAGATTCGCCGGTACGATACAACCGTCTGGATTTCCACTAAACCGATTCAAGACATCTCTCTCGTCGACGCTACACGAACCGCTTTCTTCCAGTAAGTGCAAAATGCAATTTTAGTTTTGGAAATTATGGATTTATTCGGAACATTTTTTAAAAAATGTTTTTTTTTTTTGGGACAGGTTGTTCGATTACATTCAGGGGAAGAACAAGTATAACCAGAAGATTGAGATGACTGCTCCGGTGATCAGTCAAGTCTCACCAAGCGACGGTCCTCTCTGTGAATCTTCCTTCACTGTATCCTTCTACGTCCCCAAAAAGAACCAGCCCGATCCAGCTCCGGCAGAGAATCTCCACATCCAGAAATGGAGCCCTAGGTACGTGGCGGTGAGACAATTCAGTGGATTCGTCTCTGATTCTACCGTTGGAGAAGAAGCGGCGGCGCTGTCGGCGAGCCTCGAAGGTACAGCTTGGGCTCATGCGATAGAGAAAAGCAAAGAAGACGGTGGTGTTGGCTCCGATTCAGCTTACACGGTGGCTCAGTATAACTCACCGTTCGAGTTCACGGGTCGGGTCAACGAGATTTGGTTACCGTTTCAAATGGACGATTAAGCTGTGTGTTAGTGAACTCTTTTTAATGTACACAAATAAAATAAAATAAGGTGTTGAATTTTCCGATTAGAATAATTTTGCAGAAACAGATACAGAAACAGGGGATTTGATAAAATGGGATTTGAACATTTGCCCTGAACCAAACACAGATTATAAAGACAAAAAAATTTCGGGAAGGGCACTTGAGTTAAGTATCCCTAATGAAATCTAAAAACATATTTAAAAATCATGGGGAGGTTCAAAGTAGAATCCTCTCTTAGTCTCTTCTTCTACTACCAGTTGTGTTCATAACTGTAAGTTCGATCCTGATCGTTAAATCCTGGGTTAGTCTCATAATTTACATACATACTCTGCTGGTAATAGTCGTGGGATGATGGTGCCGAGTCCATCACGACCGTGCTGTTGTGATTTGCTTCTTCCTCGACGAAATACATGGTTCTGGGTTTGGTACCTGAGAACATTCTGCAGGCCACGGTGTTGTGTGGCGATGGCTCCACGTTGTGGTACAAGTTGTTGAAGATGGAGAAAGGAGAAGAATTGTCCGCGACGTGGCAGACATCTGTGTAGTCTATGGTGCTGAAAGAGTCTCTGGTTGATTCCGTGGTGAAAGAAGCTTCGTCTGAGCTCGTGAAGAGAGACCATTCGCTCGATGATGACTCCGCCTTGCCGTGCTCTGCTCTCGGTTTGAAGCGGTTAATCGGTTTCCTCTGTTCCTTCATCTCGTTTCTTGGTTGCGGATGCCGAAACTGAGCTGCTTTTCCGTTGTGTTCTCCTCTTTGAGGACGTGGATACGATCTGCAACAAAAATGTATTTTCAGGATCCGTAACCCTGGAATGCAGAGAAACCGTTAGTAGTAGCAAACCGGTATTTTTCTTACCTCATGTAGAACAACATATAAGCTCCTTCGGACATAACTTGAGTCATTGGCACTTGATGAATCTACAGAGTTTTTAAAAGAGAATTGCACAAGTTAAGAGAACCGTTTAGCTTTGCTGCATTAAGGAAGAGAAGGATGCAAACAAGGTTTTAACCTCCGAATCATCGATTCTGAACCAATTGCCTCTCATATCTTTGACATAGGAAATGTAATGACCCGAGAAAGATGCGTTGAGAGTATCCAAGTGAACGATGACAGCATAAAGCATATAAAGCGGAGGAACATCTCCGGTTCTTGTCATGAAAGGTATCATGTCCAGCATTTCAGGGAAACTTATACATTTGTTTATCTTCCCGTATCTTCCTTCCTGCAAACACAGAAGTTTTAAAAGTAAATACAAGAACTAAATGTAAAAAACAGAGTAACGCAACAGTAAAATCTATAGTCATCTTTATGTAACTGATACCTGGAATCTCTTAAGAACAATTGTGAGAATGTTTGGTGCTTCATGAATGCTCAATTCTTTCCTCGCTCTAACATATCCAGCGCACCTTTTTTTTCAATGCATTTTTACACAAAATGATGATTTAGTCTCGATACCACAGAAGAAAAATAAGCAATCTGGTGTTTGGATCTAACCTGCTGCATCTATACATGTTTTCTCCATCGAGATCTTCTGGTCTAGTAAATTGAGTCAAGGCATCTTGAAGAGATTCAACCCATCCGTAGATCTCTAATGTTAGATCCATTATATTCTCGTATCTTTCTGATTCATGATCACACCTCAAGCATTTCACCTGGTTTTCCAAAGAAAGACAGTAGCAGAAACAATGAGAATGTGTAACGTCAAAGTAGAGATAGATCATGAGCCAGGAGATTTAAACACCTTTGAGCGGAGACGTCCACCAAACATATGTTGAACTAGAGTTGTTTCTTGCAGTCTTGGATCCACTTTAGTCTCACCTCCTAGTCTCTCCAAACATATGGATTGCATAGAAGCAACCAAAAGCCTAATTCCAAGTCACAATAATGAGGTAATTTCATGAGAAACTGAAATTAAACGGTCAAAAATAATCACATTAAGAAGAAAGGATCCACAGATTCAGATCTGAAAGGTCTACGAAGAAAAACCTTAAGAACTCATGAGCATCTTCTTGACTCCCATCACCAATCTGACAATTTATACTTCGCATGTGTGAGAGAATTCTGCTAGCAGAAAGTGGACCTCCAGGTTCTCTAAGCATCATTACATGTTGCTCAAGTTCACACATAAGGCACCAAACTTTCCCAGAACCTATTGCCGAAGAAAAACATTACCTATGTCAGAAGTGGTAAACTAAAGTTGTCAACAATTTATGCTACAAGATTAATTGGGAAAAGCATTACATGATCTTGAATGTGATCGTCGAAGCAAATAAGCAACGAGTGGTTTTGTACATGTTAAGGACTGCAAGACAGCGTTTGCATAGCAACTGGAGACAGAAGGCGATAGTAAATTAAGAAAGCATATACACAATAGGACATTTATACAAAATGAATCTTTCTATTATAAAAGCAACCCTCGATTTTGCTGTTAAACAGATTGAAAAAGAAGTAACTGAGACAATACCTGTTCCCACAATTTATAAGGCCCCTAGGTGATAAGTCAAACACTTCACACTGAAAGAATTTAACAAATTCCTCGTATGGAAAAAGCATCTGCAAATAAAATATATCGAGTCAGAAAAGTAGGAAACTAAAGATACAAAATTGAATTAGCAAAGAGACAATAATATCACCAGGGAACTAACTTTCAGGTTCTTATGACGATCATCATGCTTTGTAGAATTTCCTAAACCCATCATTTTCATTAAACCCATGGTTGAGGAGATGACATTGCTTTCTTCAGCAATGCATGTATCCTTAGACCTAACAGTCTCTGGATTATAGATATAAACATGAGACACTACAACAAAAGAATTTTTATGTCAAAGCAAAATCTCAAGTCACTCACTTGATACTGGAGCGACTTGTCCCTTTTTACTTGTCTCTGTGCAGGATTGTTCTCCAGATTTGGGCAGTGTACCTGTTCTGGTTCCTGTTTACATTCAATATACATTAGAAGATGCAAATCTCAAACTGCATCAGCTTCAACTAGAGTAACTTTTCTTAGCTTGTGGAATTAGGCCTCACCAGTTATAGGAAACTGTGCGTTTGGACAGCCAAAAGAGCTTCTTGCTCCCAAATTGTTTTCATGTTTGAAACCTTCCTGCGTACCACTTACAAAAGTTGGTCCGTTCATTTGCATACAAGAGTTGTCAACAGAATGCCTTCTGGAATTTGTTTCCACAGCACCGCTATTGCTTCTCGACTGCAAGCAAAATCACCAGGTTTAAATTTCAAGCACCGTGAGTGTTTCGGCTAATTAATACAATGAGATAAATGTTTAAGAATAGCTTACCTTATGTTTAGTGTGGCCCTTCTTGTTATCGCCACCAGCACAAGCAGCTTCACCAACTGCTGATTCTCGGTTGGACCTGGAAGAATTCGGTTTTGGTACGCATTTTCTCCCTTGCGTGTTGACTTGTGGTGTAATATCAAATTCTACAGAGCTTTTTGAAGTCTTCCCCTTTGCTGTCTGCTTAGTATTGTTACTATATATTGTAGAATCCATGCCGTGGTCATGCAAAGCAGAATCATTCTCAAAGGAAACCCTCTCAGAAGAAGGAGAGCAAGCCTCCAACGGGACACATTCATCTTTATGAGCTAACCTCCAGTGAATTATTTGGCACTTCCCAGAGCTGCAAACGTCAAAAGTCAAGAGTTTTATGGGTTATAATGGCTGCAACTTTTATCCACACAAGCATAGATAGAGAGAAAAACCAAGAAAGGTATCCGCGGAGTGAAAATTTACCAGTATCTAACAGATTTGCATCTCGAGCAACGTGTCTTAGCAGGACCAAAACACCTTGCACATACATACACCTCATTATTGCTGAAAGGAACCACAACAGGGACCCCACCTGTAGCAGCCACAGGACCAGATCTCTGCTCACTTACAGTCCCACTCACACCAGACATAAACTCGGCTCTTACAGCACCACTCCCAGGAGTAAAAGTCTTGGCCTTGGCTCTCAAAGCCCTATTCTCAGTAGCCTCGGTCTCAAATCTTACACCCCTATTCGCATTAACTTCGGCCTCAGCTCTCAAAGCTTCTTCAGCTGCCATCTGAGCCAGCAAGTTAGCCCTCCCTCTCTTTTCAGAAGTGTCACTCCATTTTCCTAATAATATGTAAGCTACCACAGGAAGTACAACCAAAACCAGGAACAATATCGGTATGTCCGCTCCCCTTGGTTCGAGCATGTCCCTAGACACTCATTCATGACCCGATTCACAGCTTGCGAGAGTCTCTTTCAATTCAGACTACATGCACTCACATAACCACAAAATCCTAAATTTACTTTTGTGATATGCACCAAGATCTATTTCCACGTTCGGGTTGTGAGGCTACTTAATCACTCGGCAGATGGACAGCACCTGCAATTAAGAAAACACCAATCGAATTCAGTTTCTGCTCTCATCATTACATCATAGAAGAAAAATTCGTCTCAGAACACAAGAATTTTCTAGATTGATTTCCAGGCATAAAATTATAATCAAACCGTTATAAAGTGATTAGCGAGTGACGCATGAATAACCAGTGAAATACCCTTATTCTCGCAATACCTTAGGCTAAAAAAAAACACTTTTCTGATAGCCCATCTGATTCAATAGACCCAGACTGTTTCTTCAAGAAGCCCTTGTAAATCTACTCTCCGTTCATACATATTTACAAGGTCGACAAGGAATTACACTCTATTCTTTCAAATCGAACAAACCCCAAAATAGTATAAAGCATCTCGCTGAAGAACCCAGGTCTTTAAAATCGCCGATTCAAAGCAAAAGTTGGTATCAGTAGTACGAGATGAGTCTGAAAGATCCTAAATTTCACACTTTGCTGAAAAACTTGTGCGAAAAACTCGCGATCCAAGGACATAAACCCCAAATCCGTACAGACCCTAGCACATTGTTCTACGAAGCAGCTCAAAAAATTAACTTCTAAAAACTTCAAACGGAGACGAATCTAACCATGAAATCAGAAGTGTGTGAAAGCCTCCATTGCTCACGAATCTAAGATTCCAGAGCCCATGAACTCGTTACAGTAATTGGAGAAGAAATTGACAAATGACAAAACTGAGACAGAGTCCAAAGCAAAAAAAAGGAAAGAGTCGAGCTTTATAAGAATTTGGGCATACCTTATATAGGAGATGACTGCAAACGAAAGAAAACCCTAATTTCACCCTTATCTTCTGCCTCTCCTCTTCTTTCTGAGCTCGAAAAAAGATGCTTTGATTCCTCGAATGGGTAAGACACAAACAGTCTCTTTGTCTCTCTCTCTCTTTCTAACACACTTTCTCTCTCCTCGTCCCGTGTAGTTTATGCTCTTCGTTTTCACACTCTTCGCATACTCTGTCTCTCTCCGTCCTTCAGGATGCTGTTAAAAAAAAACACTAATAACCAAATTATAAAGCAGACAATAAGTTAATAATTTAATACTCAGGCTAATATGGTTAATAACCCAAAATATAGGTAGACAATTAATGTCGAAATATTTCATTTCTTTATTAAAACCCGTAAATAATGTGTGCATTGATGGAATTGTTATTACGTATGTGAATTCTACTAAAAACCAAAACTAGAAAAAGGAAACTTATTAGTATAAGATAAGATAGTCTTTCATTGTCCTATAACATACTACATGATACATTAGATTTGGTAGTACCTTAATTAATACCTTTGACAGGAATACGTAAATTTTCAAAACTATGAAAATGACTTGCTGACGTATTCAAAACAATATCCAATGGTAAATAATTTAACTCTTTTCATACTAAAGTAGTAAAATGTCACTTAAAACCATTGCAAAACAAAATATATCAGAAAGGTAATATTAATAACCAATCTGTTATTGTCAAAAAATATATATGAATGAATAAAATAGTAAAATGTCACTTGTTGACGTATACAAAACAATATCCAATGGTAATAATCTTACTCTTTTCATAAAGTAGTAAAATGTCACTTAAAGCAATTGCAAAAGAAAATTTATCAGAAAGGTAATAACTAATAACCAATAGTAAAATGTTCACCAAAAAAAAAATCTGTTATTGTCAAAAAAAATTTATGAATGAATAAAATATAATATTATACAAAAGAATTATATAAATATTTTATTTGTGGGTTCCTGTTTTAGTAGTATATAGGTAATTATTTTAAAATTTTAGCCAAAATATATAGCTAATGGAATTTATTTGGTAAATAAATTAGTCAAGCACACCCACGAACGTGGCATGATCTCGTAATAGACATTCGTCACGTGGCGTTTCTCTATTTGATCTAAACTTGTCAGGGAAATGGGTCCCACCTTTCGTACCATTCATCTCAAAAGGTGATATGAGTCTCACATCTCGAATCCAGACCGTTGGATATTCTATAGACGACTTTCAATAAAAACTTAGGTGGACCCCGCGTTTTCTAGGGTTGTACTGTCACCCTCTTTCAGTGAATGCTGCTGGCTGCACGAGTTTAACTACAATTATATCATTATTTACAGTATCAGTCCAAAACTATTTTATAATCAAATTGAAGCTACTGAAAATTGTATATCGTCAATCTTCACTCTTTCGCACGACCTTGCTTCCGATTAGTCAATGGAAGCTCAGCCACAGGACTCGAGATCGGACGAGCTGGTCGACGAGCCAAATCAACAGAGGAGCTACTGGAGATGGAGAAAGCAGGATTTCTTCCCGGAATTCTCGTTCCAGAGCTTCTCTTCCTACAAATCCGCTCTCGCCGCCACTTGTCCCCGCCTCGCTGACCGTCTTCTCTCGCGTTCCTCCGACGCGTACGAGCTCGATGCTGGCCGCCGTGAAAGCGGGAACCCCATGCGTCGCTGTCTCACGTGGTGGGATCTCCTCTGGCTCAGCTTTGGTTCCGTTGTCGGGTCTGGCGTGTTCGTGATCACGGGTCAGGAGGCCCGAATCGGAGCGGGTCCTGCAGTTGTTCTCTCCTACGCTATCTCCGGTATCTCCGCTTTGCTCTCAGTTCTCTGTTATGCCGAATTTGGAGTTGAGATTCCTGTCGCCGGAGGCTCTTTCTCTTATCTTCGGGTTGAATTGGGAGATTTTATCGCGTTTATTGCTGCTGGGAACATTCTGCTCGAGGCTATTGTTGGTGCTGCTGGATTAGGGAGGTCGTGGTCTTCGTATCTAGCTAGTTTGGTCAAGAACGATTCTGATTATTTCCGGATTAGAGTCGATTCGTTTGCTAAAGGGTTTGATCTTCTGGATCCGGTTGCTGTGGCAGTGCTCTTAGTTGCTAATGGCATTGCCATGAGTGGAACGAAGAGGACTTCTTGGTTGAATTCGATTGCTTCCATTGTCACCGTCTTTGTCATTGTGTTTATCATCGTTGTGGGGTTTACTCACTCAAAAAGCTCCAATTTGGTTCCATTTTTCCCTTACGGAGCGAAAGGTGTGGTCCAGTCCGCTGCAGTTGTGTACTGGTCGTACACCGGGTTCGATATGGTGGCAAACATGGCTGAAGAAACCGAGAAACCATCTAGAGACATACCAATTGGTTTGGTTGGTTCGATGTCTATGATCACCGTGGTTTACTGTTTGATGGCCTTGGCGTTGACTATGATGGTGAAGTACACCGAAATCGATGCGAATGCAGCTTATTCGGTTGCTTTTGCTCAGATTGGGATGAAATGGGCTAAGTACTTGGTTGGCATATGCGCTTTAAAGGGAATGACCACAAGCCTGCTTGTTGGATCTCTAGGCCAAGCTCGGTACACCACTCAGATTGCTCGGTCTCATATGATTCCTCCATGGTTTGCTTTGGTTCATCCAAAAACAAGAACTCCTATCAATGCTACTCTCCTTGTGACCATACTCAGCGCAATAATCTCCTTCTTCACCAGCTTAGACGTTCTCTCAAGCGTTTTCTCCTTCGCCACCCTTTTCATTTTCATGCTTGTGGCAGTAGCATTGCTTGTGAGACGTTACTGCGTGAAGGATGTAACTCCTGAGACCGGTTTGTTGAAGTTTCTTGGTTTTCTGTTTTTGATCATTGCTTCTTCCATTGGAGTATCAGCGTTGTGGAACTCAGGGGTTAGAGGCTGGATCGGGTACACAGTGACTGGAGTCATTTGGTTTATAGGGACTTTGGGATTGGCATTGCTTCCGAAATACCGTGTCCCTAAGGTTTGGGGAGTCCCTCTTGTTCCGTGGCTGCCATCGTTTTCAATCGCCATGAATCTTTTCCTTATCGGATCGCTCGGTTATGTAGCATTCTTGAGATTCATTATCTGTACCGTGGTGATGCTTTTGTACTACTTATTCGTTGGCCTTCATGCGACTTATGATGTAGCTCATCAGCCAATGGGGGAAGCAAAGTTTGAAGGAGAGAGATGACAGACAGAGTCGATCAGAACACTTCACTATGGTTGGTAATTGTATAAACTGCTCAAGTGGTTTCACTATTCTTGGAATCCAAATCCATTTTGTATTCCATGTTTTTCTCGTTCTTTTTCTGTTCTAAGTTAAAATGCGTTGTCTATTAGTAGGAATTAGCATTTAAGCAAAATTTAGCTTTACGAGATAAAGAATTATCAACACTTCACTATGGTTGGTAAATCTTGTTATATAAATTTTCCTTGTTTTCTCAAGTAATTTCATTAGTATTGATTTTTTTCCAAATCCACCATATTCCTGTTTTCTCATTCTTTTCATCCTTTAGTGTTGAAAGCTTGTGTTTATATACCTATCTTGAAATCACAGCTTTACTTGGCTCCTTATGTATATTGTTTGTGTGTATATCATTGTATGGTGTGACAGCTGATGAAAATTTGATTATGATTTATTTTAGCAATTGGGAAACTGCATCGTAATAACTGAGAGAATACCTTCTAATAGAGATAATCTTGACACTTTCTATTAGAACAAAAGCATTCTCCCTACAAAATTCGAAAAGGACAAGTAAAGAAGAAAATCGGTTTAACCAAATAAAAAAAGAAAAACATGAACCGGCGGTAATGGTAACCAAATATACAGATATTAAACATTATTTACCCGCGCAAACGCTAACCAAAACGCATGAACCGGTAATTGGGCTCGAACCGCTTAACTTAGCCCAAAATCGAACATACCTCGATAACTCCAGCCCATGACCCGATTTCTAGTGCCGGTGACTGTATATATTAATTTGGAGAGCCGAGAAAGAAACAGAAGCGTAAAATCAAAACGAGAGAGAATTTTCCTGCGATTTTATTTAGAAGAAGAAGAAGGTCTGGGAGGAAGAGGAAAGAGACGACATGGGAGAGCGAAAGGTGCTTAATAAGTATTATCCGCCGGACTTCGATCCGTCGAAGCTTCCACGGCTCCGGCGACCAAAGAACCAGCAGATCAAGGTTCGTATGATGCTTCCCATGAGTGTCCGATGCGGTACCTGCGGAAATTATATCTACAAGGGAACCAAATTCAACTCCCGTAAAGAAGACGTCATTGGCGAGGTAATTGAATTAATTGATTTTGGTTTCATTTCCCTTATGATTGCTTTCTTCGGATGCTTTTTTTATTTGCGTAATCTATGTACCTCGTAGTGTCTAGTGTTGATGCGGATGCTTAGGACTGTCACCTGATTTTTTTTAGGGGTTCAGTGAAAGAAATACGGAATTATTGTCCTCAGTTCCTGAATTTAAACTTATCTCGAGAAGGATTTCAGATTTGGGTTTTTAGGGTTTTGAGAAATTGCGCTGTGATAGAGAAGCTAGTTTCTACTTCCACTATAACTGACCACCATTGTTTGGATGGCTCTTGAGCCCTATATATTGCAGATTTCGTTTTCGACCAAGGAGATACCTTTACCATAATCTAGTTCGAACTGCTTGAGTAGTTATTCTCCGTGTAGTTTGTTTTGATGGACTTTTTTTTTAATCAAATAGATTCTGGTTTTGTTTCGATGTGCAGACATATCTGGGGATTCAGATCTTTAGATTCTACTTCAAGTGCACCAAGTGCTCTGCAGAGCTGACAATGAAGACGGATCCACAGAATTCTGATTATATTGTCGAATCTGGAGCAAGTCGTAATTATGAACCCTGGCGTGCAGAAGACGAGGTAAGAACTTCAGACATGTAGCCTTGAGGATTTTTTTGTTCGTGCATGATATGGATTTACAACTTTCTAGTTTGCTAATTAACTATGCTTTTCTCTGTACAGGAGGTTGATAAGGAACAACAGAAAAGAGATGCCGAGGAGATGGGGGACGCAATGAAGTCTTTGGAGAACAGGACTTTGGATTCTAAAAGAGAAATGGACATTATAGCCGCACTTGATGAAATGAAATCAATGAAGGTATGGGACAGGCGCCTTTTTGTATCTTCTCCTTCCTCTCTCTCTCTCTCTGTTGATCTAAGTGTTTAACTCTGAGATTTGATTCTATTCCATGCTTCCGTTACATGCGGGAATAAGTCTGTTTATGTGCTGATTTTCTTTTATTTTGCTTTTTGCAGTCTAGACACGCCACTGTTAGCGTAGATGCAATGCTGGAGGCTTTGCAAAGAACAGGCGCCGAGAAGGTATGTTCCTGTTACTCTGTTTGCTTGTTCATACATGTAGCGATTTGATATTGTCCGCATTTTTGAGCTATATAAGAAATGGGAATTCTAGGTTTTCTTCGTTCCTGCACACCTTCTATCTAAATATATCTCCCTCTCTGTGATGAAAGTCGTCTGGACTTCTATTAGCTTTACGTAAGGTAAGGTATATCGCTGACTGGCGGTAATGTTTTTTTTTTTTTTGACAGGTAAAACGAATAGAAGAAGAAGATGAAGCAGTTATAAAGTCGATATTTGGTGTAAGTGTTCATATCATTCTTTCGTAAATGTTGGTTCTCCACATGACATTAGCTTTGCTAAACATCTTTTCATATTTCTTTTTTCATATAAATGCAGAAACAGAAAGAAGTTGTTAGGAGAATTGCAGATGAAGACGACGATGAGGATGATGATTATTATGATAGCGATGATTCTCCCAGCCTTCAGAATGAGAAGAAAGGATCATCTTCAGATGTTTCAAAGGTTTGCTCCATCAAAAGATAATTTTTGTAAATGTTTTCAGACATGACTCTTCCTATCACCGTGTGTCTTTTCTTTTGGAACCAGTACTAACTGTTATTTCTTTTAATTTTGATACAGAAGAGAAAGGCATCAGAAGAAAGTCCAAGCAACCCCACAGATATTTTGACTAGTTCTTCTGCAGGTGGGTTTTCAATCTCTCTTTCCAAGTTTATATTGACTTTGATTTCCTTTTTTCAGTTGAATATGCTTAACGAATTTCTCCATTTCGTTCAGAAAATCCGAAGGAGCCCAAGAAACGAGCTACCAGCAAACAACCCTTCAAATCCGTTCAAATAAAAGTCATCAAGAAGCAATCTCAACCAACTCCTGCAAAACCAGAGGAGAAGAAGAGCGATGGTGTGCCTAACACTGGATTATCATCTTTATTCCAGAACTATGGCAGTGACGAAGACGAGGATTGATTTTCTTTTTAATGTTATCATCAGGTTTCGCACTTTCACAGATCTTATGTCACTGTTTTAGAGTTGGAGCCGTCCTTGTACTGTTCGTTCATATATGAAATATTTGAGAATATTTGAGTTGATATCACGATGCGTATTTCCAGAAATTTTTGTTTTGCAGACATGAGCAAAGAGAATCTGAGATTAATTTGGATTGATAGTTAGCCTCTGATGAAGCCGACCAACTTACAAAGGTATCCAGATAAATACAGCAAATTGCATCCCAAATAAAAACCAGAAATGGTGAGCAAACCAATTCTTGAATCACACTCCACACGACCTGTGTCTCACTTCTGCCCTTTCTTCCTCCACAACTCACCAAACATTTTCATCCCGGAGCTCTTCCTCTTCCCACTTCCCAATCCATCATCGGAATCATCAGCCATCCCGGGCGGTTCCATGAACCCAGCCTGTTCAAACAATCCACCTGCAAAACACTTCTCAGCTGACCCAGATCGATCCTGACCGTTCATCTCAAACTCTCCAGAAAGAACCGCAGCTGCAGCATCAGCCGCCTTCCTCCACTGCTCGGTCTGAACCCTAAGCTTCTTCATCTCAGCCTCTAAAGCGTCTTTTGCTTCTTCCATCGACTCGAGCTTCTCCTTCAGGTGAGCTGTCTTTGCTCTGCTTTCTTCCAACTCTTCCCCAATCCGACACACCTTCGATGCCATCTTGTCTTCATTAGCTTTCACATTAGACATTTCTGATGCCGAATCGCTCAACTGATTCTTCAAGCTCTCGTTTTCTTTGCCTAGTGATTCATGTTCTTTCTCCATGTCATACATTCTAGCTTTCAACATCTTGATCTCATCTTCCTTCGCAGCCAATTTCTCGGCTTCTTCATTTCCGCTTTTCGGAACTTCTTCGTCTTCTACTACCGCAATCTTTTCAACGGGAACCTCAAACACATCAGTCTCTTTCTGCGTATCTCCGGGGATCTCGTCTCTGTCGATTTTATCCGCCTCAGTTGCAGATCCCTCCATCAGAGCCGGCGGGTTCGGTTTCTTAGGTTTGTTATTATGAAGCTCATCTTGAGCTTGTTTCTTGACAGCTTCAGCATTAGCCAACTGCTCTTTGAGCAATCGCAGCTCCTCTTGTGCTTGTCCTAACTGCGACTCTAGATCCGATATTCGGCCCCCAAGTTTCTTCTGACCAAGCGGATCACTGTGAGGTCCACCGCTCCTAGGAGATCTATGGTCAAGACCGAGCTTAGAACTCCGGTCAGTAGTGATCAGACGGTTGGGATGACTCGAGACAGAAGCAGATGATGATGTCCTCAGCCTTGGAGCTTGCCTCTGAGACAACTCTGAAACTCTAAAGAAGACAACACCAGAAAAAACCTCTATTAGTCACATCATAACTCATTTATCAGATCAGATCACACACGAAGCGAGATCAAATGTAGTCGAAAGCTTTACCTTGGTCTTGGCATTTTAAATTTCTTGCAGAGTATTTAAACTAAGACAGACGCCGAAGTTGCTGGAAGCTCGAATGTTATGAAGTTCTTATGAAAATCTGAAGCACGAATAAAAAGCAGATGTCATTTATTACTGCAACTACCAAAGCCATGACTCATGTCGGAGAATTCCGAGGAACTTAGATAATGTAATAATAATCTTCAAACTTTCACCAAAAGAGAAAACCTCAGAAAGAAAAAACCAAACCAGAAACTTCATTCTATTTGAAAGATGGTTTTAGCCTTTGTAACGAAATGACAAGAAATTAGGAAACTTTCTTTATATGTTCGTTTTCACTTTTCTAAGCAAAAAAGGATTGAAACTTACCTTAAAGGAGAGGAGGTCTTTGCATTTGAAATTCAGGAGGTGACTAAGAGAATCTAATAGAAATAGTCAGAGGGTGTAAATGAGAGAAAGATAGATTTTCGTTGGCTGATTGTGTGAGCTAATGAGAACAACGCATAAAGCCAGAAGAAGACCCAAAATGAGGAGAGAGAGAGAGAGAGAGTTGTAGTGTAACGCATGCCCCTTTTCAAAACAGACAGCTTTATTTTTAATACACTCTCAAAATCCAAGAAGCCTAGAGAGAGAGAGAGAGAGAGAGAGAAAGAGAAATGTGTTTTTTAAGATTTGAAATAAAGCTGATGAAATTGGGTGGGCGTAGAGTGACATTTAAAATCGAGGGGCCATTGGGGAGAAGAAGGGTATAAGTGTCATTTTCAATATTCGAATAACGTCCACATATACACACACATAACCATCATGTATAATGTATAGTATAAAGCTTCACTCTTTTTTTAATCACAAACCGCTGTTAGATTTTCATGGATAATCGGATATTGTAGACCGAAAACATGACAACAAATAAAAATAAATTCCTATCTCAATTATAGTCATCGTGTGACTATAAATTTTGCAGTTTTTATGAGGATATACTATCTTTTATGCCCTTAATGGTCAACATATATGAAATCATAGTACTGCAAGTAAACAGATATATAAGTGTCAGTGGTGAGAAATTGAAAATGTCATTATGTATAAAAAGTTTGAAAATACATCAATATGGAATAACTGATTTTATGTATATGCATCTCGTTATAAATAAATGTGGATTTATCTCAAATTTCATATAATTTATCATAAATACGCACACATGTATTTACCTAAATATCTATATTTCTGACACTCTTGTTTCTTTTTGTCGGTTTTCTACAAATTTCAACTTACAAACTCTTTTTTTAATAACCCCTTCTCTAATTTCGACGTTTCTTTTTGTGATCTCCAACACGTCGAGAAACTAATTTCTTAAGGGAAATAATCAAAACTACGTTAAAAATTTAGAAGTATAAATTTGTATTGAGCACTGAATTACATTTAAATAATATTTGATGGCATGGACGTCCATATCAATAAAAAATTATTGTTAATGTACTATATATTCGTAGCTAAATATTTTATTTGATATTGTCACTAACTAATTAAGATTTCGCATTTTAGTCAATGTCATTAGTTGTAGTCTGGCTCCATCATTTCTTCAAAAAATGATAGTCACCTCAAAATCCAGTTCCACGTGCTTAAAATCAGAGTAGTCTACTTATACTTAAAGTATAAATAATTGAGATATATAATCAGAGGTTTTTAAAATTTGATAATTTTCCTGTTTGGAACATAAACTCAATAAAATGCTCAAAAAAAAAAAAACATAAACCCAGTAGTATTCAAACTAACAAGGTTGATCAGAAATTTGAAATGCGACTATAATAATAATATTACTCACATCTACAATTAGAGGAAAACAAATTTAGGAGTTAAATTAGCTGAGGGAAATCAAATGAAAATGGAGTGTCTAAAGCGATAAAAAGGTGAAGTGTACTTAACATACAAGAAACAAAGGCAAAGGCATGTGAGGATGAACCACTTAAGTCTTAAGTAAAATCCCTAAAAGGCTAAAACCCTAAAAAAACCAAAAGATGACCATCGCACTTCAATTTTATGTTCTCTTTCACATTTAATATCAAATAGACCAAAGCATGTGAATCTTCATTTTGGTCGTCCTTTTTTTGACATTTCCTCAACTACTAACTAACTATTCTTTTACTCGGTCCCTTAGCAATGATCCTATCCCATCACAAGCTCTTCCAAACTATAGCTCTAATCATAATCCTATTCAATGCTAAACTGCTAATATTAATCATACAAATTAGGCTTCTTTTCACTCAATAATTTTCATTAGTTTCCTTTTGTTATATCAAGTTTATTTGTATTGCCACGAGATATGGGACTGGACCGGCCCAATTAACATGCCAAATTCTAAACAACCCAGACTTTGTCTTTTTCATATATTGGCCCATTGTACGAAGAAGTGATCAACCAACAAACCCTGAAACCTAAAAAGAACATATTCTAGAATCACTAAACTCTCACTAACATATATACAAGCAAAAACTAAAACAAATCTAAGCTTTCCTATTAACCTTTGGGAACACTATTCCCATGCAACTTCCCTGGAAACCTCACTGCCACTATCATCAGTCAAATCAGATCTTGTTGTATAGCTGGTTCCTGCTCCTTGAAGGTAATGATTACTATCTTGTTCCATGGCACTGTAATGACTGTTGTTGCAGTTGCTCGAAACCATGTTGTATGATGAAACATTAACGTTTTGATTGTGGTTGGAGGAAGATTCGCCGACCATTTGTTGGCGTTCAGCAAGAACTGCGATTGCACAAGCTAGCCCACCGGATGGAGATGCTGATGATGAAGAAGAAGACGGCATTGATGGTTCCATATTATGATCTTCTTCTGAATTTTCATCAGGAGATGTGTTTCTCTGAATTCCAGGTTCCTGCTCAGAAAGAAAAAGAGTTATATAGGCTTATCTTATATTCAGCAAATATAATACATACTTGGAAATTTAGTAGCCGAACGAATTACCTGAATCGAGAGCCATATTGCTTCCATGACCATTATATCCTCAAGATCATAGTCAAACTCACCATCCCTGAAGAGTTTTTTAGGTAATTACATAATCAGTCACCTGATATTGACCACTCAGATCCATAGCTCTAAACACGTTTTACCGTGGGGCATATTTTGCTTTAGCTAAAAAGATGATGTCAAAATGTAATAATAAAGAGACAAACGAACAAGAAGCACACTAGTCCTCGCTTCATTCCTAAATCTCTAACTGTTCCCAGAGCAACAAAAACTCCAACATAACAAGTCATTTAGATCCATATACAGAGTCCCTGTGCCAAAGAAAAAGAAAAAAAAAGAAGAAAGACAAACCTGTTGACCCAAGGGTGTGATGTAACACATGAGTCTTGAGATGAAACAATATCCTCATCCTCTGCGCAAAAAAAAATATGTGACTTGAGACTGCTAACCAAGAAAAACAACAGTTACAAGATTGATAAATGCTGCACACAGAGAACTAACCTGCAGCAGAACCATATTCGGTATCATCAGTCACTGTACTTGTGCTACAAGAAGATGATTCCAGACGTTTCTTTTGCATTCTCTCCTCTTCTTCTTCAACTTCCTTCTGCCTAATCCTTATTTTGGCTTCCATAACTTGCTGCTCTTCCTTCACAACATAGAGAGGACAAAGTGGGTAGAATCAGTCACTCCTCCATCATATAAACAAAAGTTACTGTTCTAAGAGTTACTTATGGCTTACGATTTGTTCAATGCTCTTCTCCTCTTTAGTCTTCCCTCCACGATACTCGACAGCATAATTGGATGTTTTGCAAAACGGGCATCTCATATTTGTTAAAGAGGACGCAGAAGAGAAGAGACATTATATTTATAAAGAAAGGATTCGTATGTGGAGATCAAAAGCTTGATGCCTAATATAACAATCCAAGGATACTGAGTAGGCTGAGATGAATTAGGATTCTTCATCCGCAGAAAGCACTCTGTAGAAATAAAAATAAATACAAAACAAAAAATATCTAAAAAGATATAAAATTTCGCTATGGTTGATGAGTAATTGTACCTGTACAAATGCTTTTCATACAACATCTTGACCTATTAAGGCTCGGATAGTACTAGAAAACAAAGAAACAAATCGCTGAGAGTTAGTAAATGGGGCAATGAGGAAGAAAGGAAAGACGTTTTTGTGTAATCCCTTGAAAACAGAAACACAAACCAGATAGCAAATCGGACATTCTTCGAGATCATGGCAAGAGCTTTCTTCGTCACCAGGATAACAAGGAGCAAGCTTAGACTCCAAGATGAGTTTCTTAAGCTTTTTGGTGTCGACATCTTTGCTCATGTATAGACCTTGTTGTGGCTTTGTGTATCTTTCGTCCACAACTTGTCTCTTCCTTCCCAGCTTATTACCCATCAGAAAGTTGTCTCTTCAATGCTTTATGCCTTAAACTAAGAGCAGAGAGAGACATAAGTTACACAAACGCAATTACGAGCTCGTAGCAATCCGAAAATGATTTCTTACTACCAAAGAAGACAGAAGAACCCTAAAACTTCAAATTCCGAACCATTCATAACGGCAAATCTCTTCAATTGGGGGATTAGAGAACAAATTTTCAAACCTTGGATAAAATGGGTAAGAGGGTTAAGAGTCGGAGAAGACACCTTTTTGAATTATAGAATCTCGAGGCAGAGAGAGGATAACTGATAAGAGAGACAAAGATCAGAACTTTCCTCTGTGAGAGAGATAGGAGAAAGGAAGATACAGTAGAGTGTGTCTACGTATGATGTGAATATTCACAATATAAAACAGAATTTCGTATTCCCAATTTCGTGTATCTGCTTGATCTTAAACTTTTTCCGATTCTTTTGACGGCAAAATTGTATTTTTTTTTTTTTTTTTTTTTTGATTAAGAGAGAGATGATGATGAAGAAACGGTGGAACGAGTTGAGAGATACGAAGAAACGAATCGTCATCTCCCCTTGTTTCCACTCTTCCTCCTCATCATCCTCTTCACTCACGCGCCGTTCTTGCGCGTGAACTTTCTCCGCGCTTATTTTGGTTTTGAAAAATTGTTTCATAATTTGAAAATTATAGTTTTTAATGACAACCCATAATATTTTTTGGAAAAAAAGGTGCAAATCATTTCCTTATACACAATTAACACATTAAACAAAACAAAAATACGAATATCAAATTCTTTTGAAAAAGAATCAAAATCTAAGGAGTAGAGGATCGATCACTCGTGGCTTACATGGGCCTCTTAATTTAGTAATTTAGGGCTTTAAGATACTAAGATTAGCCCAATGAGCCTTGACAACCACGAAAAAAAAACGAACTATTGTATAATACTACTCAATTTTCTGACCATAGATTATACAATTCGCCGACCGGAGGCATCTCCCTGAAAAATCTATCAAACTCCGTCGTCTCTACACCTCCTTCCACTTCTCCGCCTACGCCGGAAATCTGCTGTGATGACTCTTTGCCATCGTAGTCTTGGCCAGAGAATTCGAAAGGACCGTCAGCGACGACTGCGTTTTTACCAGTGAGTTCTTGAACAACCGTCTTGAAGCTCCGAGCATCTGTCTGGACGTACTGTGTGTTAATGAAGACAACCTTCATCGGCTCAGATCTCACTCTAGACATACTTTGAAATATTTTGAGTTTTGTAGACAACAAAACTAGAATCTTATTTTTGCTTTTGGTTTTCCTCCCTGAGTATTTTGCCTGTTGATTCTCGAGGTGTTTGTTGTATTTATATGTGCAGATAAATATATGGGGATATAATAAATACACACAGCAAAAAAATACTATTATATATTTGTGGGAAGACTGATCTTTGTCATTTTATAGATTTTTAAGTATAGTTTATCGTGGCAGATTCCTTATGAGCTATATGGATAAGAACAATTTTTTGATTTTTATAAGAGCAATTATTATACAGGTCGAATTAATGAGACATTTCGATTCTAGAAAATGCCTACGTATGGAGTTACGATCATAGGCTTTCATGAATAACGACTTTTAATATAAGAAGTGGCGAAAATATTCTACTTACTAAAGAAATTAACTAATTAATAGAATTGTTTAGAGTTTTGTAAACAGAGGGGGTCAAATGAAACTGGAGACTGTTACTTATTTTAAGAACTTTTGTACACGCGCGTAGATGTGAGAGGTTTATTTTGCTACCTTTCAAGTTTCACCAATAGTTTTCAATCATACTTCATAGATTTTATATTACACAACTTTGATAGTAGATGTTTACCAGTTTATACGATTTATTTTAAAAAACTAGTTATGGTCTTTAGAGATAGAAGATAACTATTTATGATTACTGTATTATGATATATATATGGTCTTTGACGTGATTCTTGGACGGGTGAAACAGGTTTGACCGTTAGCATTCAAGCAGCCTTGACGGACCAAATAGAGAATATGGACTTTTGTTTTTATTATCTGAAAACTATTGATCTAGAATCTAGAAAGAATCATTTCATATACTGTATTTGTTTAATGGGTCAAAGCACGCCTTATTTGATGGAACACGTGAAACCAGCCTAGAACAATTGTATGTTCTTATTTTATTATATACGCACACCACTTTGATCTGTATAGAAATCCTATAATAGATACCCAAAAATAGATAAAACAAATTAGAGGCTACTTAGAGAGTATGAAAATGAATTCTTATATATCTATAAAATGAGAACATAAATATATTTCACATAAAAAAAAAAGGAATTATAAGAAATTGGAATATCTTAAAAACTAAGAATACCTTAATTCTTCAAACTTTATTTAATAGAATATTCAAATGATTTGATGTGGAAACCCGGTCAATATTAATGATCAGAAATATTGCCTCCATCCATGATCCACCGAAAGAAGGTAACTTGCTATACAAGAAAGTTAGCTTCTATTATTTTCATCACACAAACTTTTTTTTTAACTTTGTAGGGAGAGTATATGTTTAAATCTAACACTTGAAGTTAAAGAACATATATACGAAACGTCGAAGAACAAAGTGGTAGTAAGACTGCAAAACTTTCCCTGTACAAATGTTCAGGTACTTTGACAGTAACCTAAAATACAATAACAATGCGACGATGATTCTGCCATTGTAGTGTGCTACAATTTTTGACTGTTCTATTTGTGGTAAGATGGTTTCTCATCATTGTCTAGATTGATTCGACTAGAACAAACGATATCGTTGTATTTGGTATATATTTTTCATATATGTACGCATCTGTTTTTCAATTATGTGCAAGTAAAAGTAAATGTGATCATTTTGTTGATGCAATAAAGTAATTTTATCCACACATATTGTTATATATTATTTTTATTTATTAAACATAGTCTAAATGGATAGTGAATAGTTGTGTTTCTGTAAATCGCTAAATGGTCATTAGTATTCGCTATAACCAAATATATCATAAGATTCAGACCCCCAAAATATTGCCATAAAAATCAGATTATATCTAAATACCGTATATATCAAGTAATACTCTTCTTTTTTTCTCCTACATAACCGGTGAAATACTATAGTAACTAATAAGAATATATCACAAGATACAGATCCCCCCAAAATTACATATATGAATTCTTCTTTAGTAGGATATATTATGATAAAGGAACTAAATCGCCTTTTAGCCAGAATTGGTACGTACCAAGAATGAAAGGTTTCGTTTTACTTAGATTTCTTATCATAGTTACGGTGTTGGCCAAGACTTCTCAGATTTTCTTCAAAAATGTATTTAAGAAACCGAAATGATACATTCTTTATCATTTCAAATATATATAAAAAAAAAAGGCAGAGGCAGGGAGGTTAGCATCTATCTAAAGAAGAACATGGCTTGCCTTAAATTTGCGTTTAAGGCTTTATGTTTGTCTCTCTTGTTCGTTACCGTCACAAGTCGACCGGCAACTAGATTACAAGTTTTCAACGTTCAAAACTATGGTGCAAAAGGCGACGGTACAACAGATAATACAAATGTACGTGACACTTTTTTTTCTTTTAGTTTTTCTCTACATTTTATTTACAATTCAGTTTCCTTCATTTAGTTCAATAGACGATACATAAAATAAACCCAGAAGACAAACCAGCATTTTTCGACAAAAGAAACTTAGGGACTATATTATGTATACTTAATACTGGTTTAAAATCTAGTTTACATTTTTACTATAATGATGATATTGTTAAATGAAGAGCATTGGATTTTGATGCACATTAATTTCATTATGTTAAAAAATATATATGAAATTTACTGTGGTTTCCGGTTAGAAAAATATAGAAAATCAAATACTTTAAATTAACTATGCAGTGACAAAAAATAAATACAATTATTTTTAGTTATTGTGGAAACCGTTTTATTTTTTAACAGTCGGAAAAATTATACACTGGCATTCAGATCTATACTAATCATCAAGAGTTGTATAAAACTATTTTTTATGTTATTAAAACTTACTTATTAGCAAAAAATAATAACAGTAGAATTCTTTTGAAGTTCGATAAAAAAAAAAAACGAATCAATTTGTGATCTACACCCACACAAAAATAGTTGGTTTTAATTTCAGTTACTATAGAGTGTTGTTTAATGTAAAATATTAGGCGTTTACAAATGCGTGGAGAGATGCATGCGCATCGAATGGACTTGGTAGAATGTACATACCGAAAGGAAAGTTCTATGTCGGTGGTGTAACGTTTGAAGGACCATGCAATGGTCAGACTTCGTTTGTCATCGATGGAACCTTATTGGCTCCTACAAACAACAACGACATCAAAAAAGAAACGTGGATCAACTTCCGGTACATCGACTATCTCACCATCTCCGGCGGCGGCACTATCGACGGTCAAGGAAAAGAGTCTTGGCCACTCAATGACTGCGACAAGGACAGTCATTGTCCCAATCTTGCTATGGTAAGCATATTTGTATTATTCATGAATTATTCTCTGTTCTTTAAATTTATGAACCAACTTATATGTTAGTAGTGGAGTCTAGTATACTCATTTTTCAAGAGGAGTATGGGATCTGGTATTTAAACTGAAATTCTGAGAGTCGAATTTTAACGAAAACCGCTATCTTCGATGCGTTTTTTTGGGGTGTTAAACTATTTCACTGATACATTTTGCAGAACATGGGATTTGATTTCGTGAACAAATCAAGTATCGAAGGGATAACATCACTAAACAGTAAAGGGGGGCACTTGAATTTCTACTACGTTGATAATTTCAGCATCGCCGGCGTTAACATAACAGCTCCCGGAGATAGCCCCAACACTGACGGGATCAAAATAGCCTTTTCAAGCAATATTAAAATCTCGAACACTCACATTGGTACAGGGGACGATTGTATCGCCATCCTATCGGGAAATACTAATTTCGATATCAATAAGGTCACTTGCGGTCCCGGACATGGGATTAGTGTCGGAAGCTTGGGAAGGTACAAGGAGGAGAAGAACGTTGAGAACTTAACGGTTAGGGATACGGTCTTTACTGGCACGAGTGACGGTATACGGATCAAGACATGGGAATCTTCGGTTATTGCGATTGTTATATCTAACTTCGTGTTTGAGAATATACACATGATCGATGTTGAAAACCCTATCATCATTGATCAGAAGTATTGCCCTCACCCGCCGTGCCAAAATATGGTAACTTACTACACACGAAACAAGCTTCTCTATTTTTTACCTTTAACTTTTAACGCCTCGAGTTTAATTTAACAGGTTAAATCATGATTTTTTTTTTTGTTCGGTCAGGGAGAATCTCACGTTCAGATCGAAGACGTGACGTTAAAGAACATTTGGGGAACGTCGATGAACAAAATGGCTGTGCAACTTCAATGTAGTAAAAGCGTTCCTTGCAAGAATATTCATTTAGTTGACATCAACTTAACGCACAACGGAACCGACGCAACGGCGTTATGTGAGAACGTTGAAGGTTCTGCTTCTCGTAACATGGTTCCATCCAATTGTCTGAATTGATCGAGGACGTGAAGGTTCCGGCTGAAATAGCGGTCATGTTTGTGTATTTGATATCTACGTGGCGGCTGATTGGTACGGTGTATATGCTCCTCTTTAAACGAAAAATAGATTTTGTTGGATATTACCTAATTCCAGATTAAATACTCCATCAACGTTTTTATCTTTATTATGTTTTACAAATATCTTTCTATTATTTAAAGAATAGTACAATACCAAATGATACTTATATATACAAATATTTAGAAGTAAATCTCAAAATGTACATAAATATTTAGAAGTAAATCTCAAAATATACATTTATAAAATTAACAAATTTTAAATATTAAAAGACACACTATCCACTTTATACATATATACTACACACACAATATCTATCATACTTTTTAGTTAATTAATTTTTGTGTTAAAAATTAAAAAGAGCTTGTATAACCTTTAATACTTTTATTTTATTTTGGGTCAAGTATAGCTTCTAATTAGTTACAAAATAATTAAAATGTTTCTAAAAAGACAAATGTGAGTCATATTTGAATGAAGGCAGTGGAAATGTGGGATTATTTTCAGACTACTAATTCGCCATGATGAGAAAATTGGAAAACCAGATTTAGTTGAACTTATGAGCTTGTCCTAATTGGATTAAAGAGTCAAGATCTTACTTTCTGACCAAAAACTACCAAAATAACATTTTGTTGACCAAGATAGAATACTATATAAGAAATTCTTCCTTATATCTAATATCGCCCACACACACACACAAAAAAAAAGAACATGGCTTGCATTACTGATGTTTAAGATTTTGTGTTTGTATTTTCTGTTTGTCGCGGTCGCATGTCGTCGGGACAGGGGAAAAATCTTCGACGTCCGAACCTATGGTGCCAAAGGCGACAGCAAAACTGATAATGCTGATGTACATGACATTGTCATTTTTCATATTCGTTTAATTTTCGTGATTAATATGATAAGTTTATAGTTAAAAAGAAAAACTCCTTTGCTTCGTACTCAAACGATATGAAACATTTCTGAATTTATATTTTGGTTTGCGCCTACTTTGCGGTTGGGTAGATGTACATAAATTTTGTTTTATCGAACGTTTTGGGTTTCTGATGAGTAAAAAAGTCTTTTTGAAGAGGGTTTAAATTTGATCACGAAAATGTTGAAACGACACACTTTAACTAGATAGGCTATGACAAATATGTACATGACATGCAAAAGTTTTTTTTTTTTTTTTTTTGAACTTGACATGCAAAAGTTCCGCATTTAATATATGGAAAAAAGAATCATAAAACCCAATAGATCGATATTTAAACACAATTCTTTCATTTAGCTAGTATTGAAAATCTATTTATATATTTATTTTTGTCTTGTTGTATAGGCTTTCATGAAAGCGTGGAGAGATGCATGCGCACAAAATGGAAAAAGCACAATATACATATCGAAAAAAACGTTCTATATGAGTGATGTTACATTTAAGGGACCATGCAAAGGTAAAATTGTGTTCTTCGTCACTGGAACCTTACTTGCTCCTGCGGATGCCAAAAAAATCAAACAAGACGCTTGGGTCCATTTCCAGTACGTCGACAATCTCGTAGTCTCCGGCGGTGGAACTATCGACGGCCAAGGAAGTAACTCTTGGTCCTCCAATTCCAATATCCGCGCAATGAATAGTAAATTACTACCTGCGGTAAGATTTTAATTTTCAGTTGTCATATCTGATATAGGACTTTTAAGAGACATAAACAGATAGATTATTCTAAAATGACATTTTTGATAAAATATTACTGCGAATGAGATTTATATACTTGAAAACTTTTTTTTCTTTAATGAAAACATTATTCTAACAATAAAATTCGATGTGTTGGCTATACACTACTAGTTTACTTCCTATGGTGTAATGATTTGCTTTCCTGTCATCTTTTTTTCTTCCATAATGGGTTATGAATTGTTTATTAGTATTTAGAGATCCAGTCAAATGGAATTTAAAATAATTGTCAAATATAACATTCCTTAAAAACAATTGATAAACTTTATAAAGTTCATGAGATAATCTTATTCTTAATATACAAAATTCCAAACACACCAATCTTGTCTAGAGAGGGCTAGGTTCACGAGAGTGTGTTGAGGTAAACTTATTGAAGCCACTGAAAGGAACAATACTGATTAATGGGGATAGATATTTCGTCTCATACGAAGGTTTTACGAGCATATATTCTAATTGCGGGATGTATGGTCATCTAGTTTATTCATGTCCGAAATTAACATCAAAAAAGACGGTAGGCATACGCACGCAAAGGAAATCTGTGAGCCCGACAAGATCTACTCAGGTGGAGGAAGGTTTTACTCAGGTGAGAAGATCGAGAGGTAGAACCACAACACCGTCGTCAGGTTCCGGAGCAGGAGTGTCAGGCATGGCCGGGGGTGATTTGGGAAGGAATCTACAAGAAATCCCGATTCAGCGGGACTTGGAGAATATTACGATATCAAATCGGTTCGCGGATCTTGAGAAAGATATCGAGTTGCCAGATGTGCAAGAGGGGAGAATCTCAGGAAAGAAGAATCGGGAATCAATGAATATCCTTCAGGACAAGGGGAAAGGCAAGAATGGGGATCAATTAAGGATAGGTCTGGTTGGCGGGAAGGAAGGAAACAATCAACTACTATTCCAGGATGGGCCTAAGGATAAAAAAGATGGCAATAATAGGCCCAGTAAGATGACCCGTCAAAAAAAGAAGAATAGCCCTGTCAGGCCCATGAGAGGTCTGGTGTTTGGCCCAAATCAAGGAGATATTGAGCTATCGGAGTCTGGGAAACGGATGAGGGTGGAGAAGGAGCGGATAGGGAGACCTGGAGGGACTTTTACGAGTGATTCGAAAGAGGTTGTCGGGAATCATGATGAACAGACAACACTGGTTATGGAGGGAAACTCCCTAGCGGAGACGAGCGGGGAGCGCGGTAGTCATGAGATAGATATGGGTACGAACACGACAGAGGAGGATGGAACTCCGACGGTCGCGTAACAGGATGCCCCGGTGGTTCTGGTGTCCAATAAGCTTGTAGCTATGATTAATTGCTTGTTATGGAATTGCCGGGGGACAAACAAACCCAATTTTTGGAGATCAATACGATATCTGCTGAAGAGATTCAAAACAGATGTGCTGGCTATTTTTGAGACTCACGCAGGCGGGGATCGAGCGAGAAGGATTTGTCAGGGGCTGGGGTTTGATAGCTCATTCCGAGTAGACGCGGTAGGCCAGTGTGGTGGCCTTTGGTTATTATGGCGGTCTGAAGCAGGGGAGATTACGATTTTGGAGTCTTCAGACCAGTTCATTCATGCAAAAGTGGTTAATGGGGAAGATGTAATGCACCTTGTTGTTGTGTATGCGGCTCCATCAGTAAGCAGGCGAAGTGGCCTTTGGAGTCAATTGACCCGCATTACACAGAGTTTGACAGAACCGGTGATCATGGGAGGCGATTTCAATACGATCGTGAGGCTCGACGAGAGAACGGGTGGAAATGGAAGACTGTCGACATATTTACTAGCATTCGAAGAATGGATGAATGATTTGTCTCTAATAGATATGGGGTTCATAGGGAACAAATATACATGGAAAAAAGGGAGAATGGAGACCACTTTCGTTGCTAAAAGATTGGACAGAGTGCTATGCTGTACGTCTGCTCGATTGAAATGGCAGGAAGCTTCGGTCCAACACTTACCATTCCTTTCATCAGACCATGCACTGCTGTTTATCTAGCTTCAACCGGTGGTGAGAGGGAACCCGAGAAGGAGGCCATTCAGATTTGAGGCGGCTTGGCTGAAACATTCGGGGTTCAAAGAGTTGCTTTTAGCATCTTGGAATAGGGAAGTGACCACGTCGGAGGCGTTACGAGAACTGCAGGTCAAGCTCAGAAAATGGAACAGAGAGGTTTTCGGTGATATTCATCAGAAGAAGGAGAAGCTGATGGCTGAGATTCAGGAGATTCAAAGCTCTTTAGAGACGATCCAAACTGACGATCTTTTAAGGAAGGAGGAGACGCTACTTAAAGAGTTTGAGATTGTCTTAGAACAAGAAGAAGTTCTCTGGTTCAGAAGTCACGAGAAAAGGAAATAGCTCTTGGAGATAGAAACACGAAGTACTTCCATACTTTGAATGTAGTCAGACGAAGGCGAAATAAGATTGAGGCTCTGAAAGGGCAGGACGGAAATTGGCTTACACAGGGTCTGGAGCAGTTAGCAGTCGATTATTACGCAAGACTGTACTCACTAGAGGATGTAGAGGAGAATGTTGTAGTATTACCTACAAAAGGATTTGCTCCACTTACCGCGGAGGAGTTGACAGAGCTGAATAAACCTTTTTCAGCAGTTGAGGTAGAGAGGTCCATACGCAGTATGGGGAAATTCAAGGCTCCTGGACCGGATGGCTTCCAGCCAGTGTTCTATCAGGAGTGTTGGGACGTTGTAGGGGAATCAGTGGTTCGTTTTGTGTTGGACTTCTTTCAGACGGGGACTCTACCAAGCGGGATGAATGATGCAATTGTGGTTTTGATTGCGAAAGTACTAAAACCAGAGACCATCAAGCAGTTTCGTCCTATCAGCTTGTGTAACTTGCTATTTAAAACGATAACAAAGGCAATGGTTATAAGGTTGAAGAGAGTTATACCAAAATTGATAGGTCCGCCACTGTCTAGCTTCATCCCAGGAAGGTTAAGTGCGGATAACATTGTTATTGTTCAAGAGGTGGTTCACTCAATGCACAGGAAAAAGGGACGTAAAGTATGGATGCTGTTAAAACTTGATCTCGAGAAGGTATATGACAGGGTGAGATGGGACTTTCTGGAGGATACAGTACAGGCAGCTAAGTTATCGGATACTTGGGTTACCTGGATTATGAGCTGTGTGGCTGGTCCATCGATGACACTGCTGTGGAATGGAGAGAAAACTGAACCTTTTAAGCCAAAGCGAGGGTTAAGACAGGGTGACCCCTTATCACCGTACCTGTTCGTTATATGTTTGGAGAGGCTCTGTCACTTGATTAATCAGTCGATCGCGGATAAGGAATGGAAACCTATTAGTATATCTCGCGGAGGACCGAAGATATCACACGTGTGTTTTGCTGATGACCTTATCTTATTTGCGGAAGCCTCTGTTGCACAGATCCGGGTTATAAGGAAAGTTCTTGAAAAGTTTTGCTCTGCATCAGGACAAAAGGTGAGCCTGGAGAAATCTAAAATTTTCTTCTCAGCTAATGTGAAGCTGGATTTGGAGACACTCATTATGGCTGCTAGTGGGATACAATCAACACGAGAGCTGGGAAGATACTTAGGAATGCCTATGTTGCAGAAAAGAATCAATAAGAACACGTTTGGGGAAGTGGTGGAGAAGGTCTCCTCGCGTCTGGCAGGCTGGAAGGGGCGCTTTCTGAGCTTCGCGGGACGACTGACTTTAAACAAATCAACCTCTCCTCAATCCCTGTACACACCATGAGTACGATAGCTCTCCCGCAGGCTACTATTAAGACACTAGACCGGATTTCACGTTCCTTTGTTTGGGGAAGTACAGCTAAGAAGAAGAAACAACATCTTCTCGCCTGGAAGAAAGTGTGTTTACCGAAGAAGGAGGGGGGTCTAGGAATCTGGATGTCTCAGAAAATAAATACAGCTCTGCTTGCGAAGCTTGAATGGAGATTATTACATGATCACGCTAGTCTCTGGGCACAAGTATTGAGAAGTAAATACAAAGTGACGGACGTGCATGACATGGAGTAGATGAAGCCTAGTAGTATATGGTCTTCAACCTGGAGGAGTGTGATCATGGGAATGAGTGAGGCTGTGTTACCAGGGCTGAAGTGGATTATTGGTGACGGTCGGAAAGTACTCTTCTAGAGAGATAAGTGGCTACTTGAGAAGCCCTTAGCCGATGACATGGAGGCTACGATCCGGGATGTTTGGTGTAGCGAAAGGGGGTGGTTGATTCCCCAAATCACACCTTTCACATCTGAGGAGACTAGATTGAAGATGAGGTCAGTGGTTCTTGATAGTGTAACAGGGGCGAGAGACAGAATTTCCTGGGGTGAGTCCCAAGATGGGAAGTTCACTGTGAAGTCTGCATATGCGTTTCTAACACTGAATAACACTCCAAGGCCGAATATGCAGCGTATGTTTGAGCGAGTATGGCAAGTCAAGGTTCCGGAGCGAATTCGAGCTTTCCTGTGGTTAGGAGTCCATCAAGTCCTAATGACAGATATAGAACGACAGAGAAAACACTTGAGCTCATCCGGCATATGTCAGGTATGTAAAGGGGGGGAGGAAACGATATTGCACATCACTAGAGACTGCCCCGCGATGTCTGGAATTTGGGAGAGGATTGTTCCAGCTGGGAAGCGGAGAGACTTCTTTGAAATGTCATTGCTCGAGTGGATCTATAGTAACTTGGGAGATCCTAGGCTGGTATGGAATGTCCCCTGGTCTACAATGTTTGCGATAGCTGTATGGTAGGGATGGAAATGGCGGCGTGGGAATATTTTCGGGAGTATACAGAGATGTCGAGACAGAGTTCGGTTCATCAAAGGACTCACACAAGAGGTGATACTAGCACATGATAAGGTGCACGATACTAGAGCAGAGATAATGCGAGAAGAGAGAATGAAAGTGTGGCGCCTCCCAACGATTGGGTGGATAAAACTTAACACAAATGGAGCATCTCGGGGTAATCCAGGTATGGCAACAGTAGGTGGAGCATTGAGAGATGAGAATGGAAACTGGTGTGGAGGCTTTGCTCTGAACATTGGTATATGTTCAGCACCTTTAGCTGAGCTTTGGGGAGTGTACTATAGGCTCTACATTGCCTGGGAACGCCGAGAGACACGAGTGGAGTTGGAGATTGATTCGGAGATAGTAGTGGGTTTTTTGACGTCAGGGGTTAGTGATTGTCATCCCCTGTCTTTCCTAGTACGGCTTTGCTATGGCTTTCTTTCAAAGAACTGAATTGTCCAGATTACGCATGTGTATAGGGAGGCTAACCGCCTTGCGGATGAGTTAGCAAACTATGCTTTTGGTTTACCTTTAGAATTTCATTTTTTCTCTATTGTACCCGAGAGCATTATACTGGTCTTGTCGGAAGATGCTCAGGAAGTTGCACGGTCTAGAAAAGTTCGTGTGTAAGTTTGGTTTACTTGAATAAATAGAAGAGCCTACTCTTACCAAAAAAAAACAATCTCGTCTACTACTTTTACATTTTGATAAATATATATATATATATATGTTAAAGAAAGGTATTTCTCTAGTCTTGTTATAATGTTTTTATCCCCTTTTGGCAGAACATGAAATTCGATTACGTGAGAAACTCAACAATCAGAGGACTAAAATCACTCAACAGCAAAGGGGAACACTTAAGCTTTTTCGCCGTCGATCACTTCAACATCATCCGCGTCAATATAACGGCTCCCGGAAACAGCCCCAACACCGACGGAATCAAGATCGGTTTTTCCAGCAACATGAAGATTTGGGACAGTCACATCGGTACAGGAGACGATTGTATTGCGATCCTCGCCGGTAACACTAATTTCGATATCCATGGCATCACTTGTGGTCCCGGACATGGAATCAGTGTCGGAAGCTTGGGAAAGTTCAAACAAGAGAAGAGCATCCATAGTTTTGTGGTTAGGGACACGGTTTTTACCGGAACAACCGACGGTATAAGGTTCAAGACATGGGATTCGTCGGTTGCGGACCTCACCGTTTCGGATTTCTGGTACGAGAATATCCAGATGGTTGATGTCAAACATCCTATCAACATCGAGCAGAACTATTGTCCCCGTCCGCCCTGCGCCAAATTGGTAAGCTTCTTACGCAAGGAACACAAAAGTCTCTTCCTTTTAATTTTACTAGAGTTTGAATGAGATGATATCATGATCTTATCTGCAGGGGGGCTCTCACGTTCAGATCAGAAACGTGACGTTTAAGAACATTTGGGGAACGTCGGGAACCAAAGAGGCTGTGAATTTTCAGTGTAGCAAAAGCTTTCCTTGCAAAGGTATTCATCTAATTGACATAAATTTAACAAACCGTGGCCCTGGAGGTCCAGCCATCGACTTGTGTGAGAACGTTCAAGGTTCTGCTCGTGGCAAGATGGTTCCTCCGAGCTGCCTGAAGTGATCTTATCGTTTGCTGTTGTATTTGATATATATTCGTGTAAACATGTGTTTAGATCCTAGAAGTCGGTCCCAAAGAGAGATTGGATTAGAGTTTTACCAGTAATTCGTTTTCTTGATGATATATCTCTAATCACATTGTGTGGATAACTATGAGAACGATGAAATTAGCCAACTCATTAGATTCAGAAAACTTCAAAGGAGTTGATGTTCAAAGAGACAGAGACTACATTACACAACCGTTGATGTGGAGTTAGCTAATGCAACCACTGAGTGCTATCGCGAGCTTTCAACCTCTTCCCCCGTGATCTGAAGATCTTCACTTTATTGAATAACAAGAGTGAAAAGAGCGTCACTATTAGATACTAGATTGAAGAAGCTTCAGGACCGATGTTCGATCGGGCATGCTAGGTATTGCACCCTTTACTTGGACACACAGAGAGGCTGCTGCAGCTGTAGGACCCCGAAACAAAAAAAAAAAACAGAACCGAATATGAGACAAAAAAAAACTGATATGAACTATGCGTAAGGAAGCAAAGATTGTTGGAGTCAGTAACTAATATACCAGCAAATCTCAAGCATTCCTCATGGGACTTGCCCTCTACCATGGCCACTGCAAACGCTGCTGTGAACGTATCTCCGGCTCCTGTAGTATCGACTACTTGTGCAGCCGGTATTACTGACTGCTGGATCGGTTTTTCTCCTTCTATGAATAGTGCAGATCCTTTAGACCCGAGTTTCACTAGGACTTGCTTAACTCCCTGAGAGCAAAACAAACATAGCAAAAACCCGCTTTTCACAGAGACCAATTGCAACAACGCCTAAACCAAAAATCAAGTCATAGTGAAAAAGAAAACGGGGGGAGCTTACCAACTTATGGCACTTAGCAACAGCCTCGCTGATCTGTTGAAAAGTTTCAGTGGGCATTCCGGTCAAGCGGCTGAGCTCAGTTTCGTTAGGGCTCAAGATGTCAATAGAATCCAATAGCTCATTTGGGATTGGTGTATCCATTCCTCCCACGTCAAGGATGACCGGAACTCCTGCTTTCTTCACTGCCTGCGAAAACCCACCAAAGCAAAAACGACTCAACCATCATGATGACTCCATGTTTTCAAGTCACCATTGCGTTATCTACACCTAAAGCTGCAATCTTTTCAACAAAATCGAATTCAAGAAATTTCAAAACCGAGACGAGCGATTCATCAATTGATCTGACCTTGGCAACTTGAATATTGATGGAATCTGGGATTTCCCTTTGCAGCAGCACAATACCAGCGTTTCTCACGACCTCGAGGTCATCGTCGCTCATCTTATCCGGCCAGCCTCTCATGTTAGCCCCACCGACGATGATGATCGAGTTCTGACCGTCCGATTGCAGCATCACCACCGCGTGTCCCGTCGGCTCGTCCTTCACCGATTTAACGTGATCCAAGTGGACTCCACACCCATCGGATCCATCGCCCAACGCGTCCGCGATCAGCTTCCCGTGCGCGTCCTCTCCGAAACGACCCACAAAATAGGTCGGGTATAGCAGCTTCGCGCCGCACGCAGCCTGGTTCGCGCCTTTCCCGCCGGCGAGCGTTTGCCCTGTCTTGGCCGAAATCGTTTCCCCTTCCTTGGGCAGTCTATCGATCTCCACATATATGTCGGCGTTCGCAGATCCCACAACCACCAGCGGCGGCGCGTGGGCTTCCGCGGTCAATTTGGCACTCCGATTTACCGATGGGTCGACGGAGAGCGAGAGAACACGGAAGGATCTCCTGGAGGAAACAGGGCGGGAAAATCGAGATGGGGTTGGATTCACAGTGTTGATCGGAAGCTTCGCTCGACTGCATTCGATGTTCGGATGGAAATGATTCGATTGAGAAAGTGAAATCCCTTTCATCATCATCTTCGTACGCTTTTTAGACGGGGTCAACGCTGAAAATCCTACTTCAATGACATAAACTTACTGTTTGATCATGTCAAAAACAAAAAAACTTACTGTTTGATCTTCTGTAAACTACAAAGAGTCGTCGTATCCTACGCGCATTTAGTACGTGAATGTCACGCTCTGAAAATTATTATAATCAAAATGTTCAACTTTTTATACAGATAATTATATGCTTAACTCAAAATCATTTTATATTACTCGATACAAAACATCATTTCACACGAACTAATTTCTACCATACAACAAGACATATTTATCTCTTGTTCAAATAAAAAAAAAACGAAAATTTAGGCTTCTTATATGCATGTGAAAAGAAATACTGCTAGTGGAGTGGATATATTATAATATAAGTTAGCCAGAGAGCCAAAACTTGATTATATTGTGTATCTTAGAAATTAGAATACATTGCAATCTAATAATACTCCAGATTATGTTGCGAAAAAATTCAAGTATCCAACGTCAAAAGTACGATGACGCATGCAATGACCTTAGCAACTATCGAAAATCATTTTAATATAGTAATGACTAATGAGTCATATGGAGATTAGCGTACAGCAATTACATTAAGGTGTGTCCTAAATATCTGGGAAAGTATAAAAAATTACAAAATAAAGCAGTGTTCAAAGGCACATAATTTCCAAAATTTATTCCAAAAAATAAAAACTATTCCGAGTTAATCAAATTATTCACCCGAACATAGAAAAAAACAAATGAATAAGAACTATAAAATTGAAATGTTGACATATAATTTACAAAATTCATAATTAATACCCATATTCAAAACACTAATAAACTATATGATATAATCGATTGTGCCAAAAGGAAAAGAAATACTAAACTAAATTGATGTGACGCAAACAAACAAAAAAAGTTGATTCTTGTATTTTAATGGATTTGAGAATTCAAACTAAATTTAGTGTTATTGATTCTTGTATTTTAAAATTTATATTGAAATACAGTGTTATTAGTTCTATGATTTTAAAATCCATAATGAAATACAGTGTTATTGGTTCTATTATTTTAGAATCTAAATATTATAAGGATTTGAGTTTTAAGTAGCGGTTATTGGTTCTTGTATTTTGGTGGATTTATAAATCTTCTTTGGATTTGATAAATTTATTGATTTCAAAATCAACAAAATGTAAAAAAATCAAATCCACTCAAATACCAAGGTTAGACCTTGTATTTGAGTCTTTGTATTTTAGTCATGAAAATCCTTCCAAATCTATTCAAATTCAATTAAAACTCAAATCCTTATAATATTTAGATTCTAAAATGATAAAACCAATAACACTGTATTTCATTATAGATTTTAAAATCATAGAACCAATAACACTGTATTTCAATATAAATTTTAAAATACAAGAACCAATAACACTGAATTTGGTTTGGATTTTCGAATCCATTAAAATACAAGAACCAATAACACCTCCTAATTGAATTTGAATGGATTTGGAAAGATTTTCATGACTAAAATACAAAGACCCAAATACAAGATCTAACTTTGGTATTTGAGTGGATTTGATTTTTTTCCATTTTGCTGATTTTGAAATCAATAAATTTATCAAATCCAAAGAAGATTTATAAATCCACTAGAATACAAAAACCAATAACCTTTACTAGAGTTGAATAAAAAGTTTATTGGGTTAATTTAATACAATTTCTGACTTAAAGGGCAAGCAATATGCGACTCAAAGTCCCCTTTCACTCATTATAAATTACCGAACAATTTTCTCGCCATTACACATTCAGACATAACACAAGAAGCTAGAGTGGCAAAAGGGTAGTGAACTTGATCAAAACCAACAATGGTGGACGATGTGATTCTTTTGGATTTTTGGGCGAGTATGTTTGGGATGAGGACAAGAATAGCTTTGGAGGAGAAAAAAGTCGAGTACGAGTACAGAGAAGAAGATCTATTGAACAAGAAGAGCTCATTGCTCCTCGAGATGAACCCTATTCATAAGAAAATCCCGGTTCTCATCCATAACGGTAAACCGATCTGTGAATCTCTCAATCAGGTTGAGTACATCGACGAGACTTGGCCCGACAAAAACAGAAACTCTCTCCTTCCATCAGATCCTTACAAGAGATCTCAGGCCAAATTCTGGGGCGATTTCATCGACAAAAAGGTATCTTGAATTGGTTTGGTTTGAATTTTTCTCCACACAATATGTATATATGATTCGTTGTATTTGTAACTTTGATAAGTTTTAACCAAAATGGATCAGGTGAATGTTGCGGGGAGGAGGATTTGGGCAACGAAAGGTGAGGAGGAAGAAGCATGCAAGGAGTTAATCGAGATACTCAAGACGCTAGAGCTCGAGCTTGGAGACAAAATCTACTTTGGAGGCGAGACGTTCGGGTATGTGGATATAGCTCTGATTGGATTCTACAGCTGGTTTGGAGTGTACGAGAAGTATGGGAATGTCAGTATCGAAACAGAGTGTCCAAAACTAATTGCGTGGGCCAAAAGGTGTTTGCAGAGAGAGAGTGTCGCTAAAGCCCTACCTGAACCGGAGAAAGTCACTTCTTTCATTTCCGAGCGTAGGGCGAAACTTGGGTTCGAGTAAACCTCTCTCGTCTGTTATCTTCTATTTCTGTTATTGTGTCTGCATAATAATAAGATTCTGTGAGGTTGATTTTGCAAGTGTTGATCCATGGTCGGCTGTTTTTCATGTATCTTCAGTATCGGAAATAAATTTTAGATTTGTTGAAAAGCCTATAGTAACAGATATATGTTAAATAAAATCATTAAAGCACGAATCTATGTATTCTTCTGACTGGAACTCAAAATCATATAACATTAAGTATTTGACTATAATAATAATAATAATAATAAAAAACTCTAATTTGAAATCAACCACCCCAAAAGTAGGATGATGTAAGCAGTGACATAAGCAAGATCTGGTGCTCATTAAAACTAGTGCAAAAGGAAATGTTCAGTCAGATATTGTAACAAATTTAATCTCTGGCTGTAATGTTTAAAGGCTAATGTAAAGGAAATGTTCAGTCAATTCAAAAATTTGTTTCCTTCTTAGTATTAAAATGCTGTAACGGAAGTTTTAGAAATTTTTGTTCTGGAAATAACTTTAATGGGAAAGTTAATGTCATTTCTGACTTTACCTGCTCCCCAATATAAATTACAGAACCTTGGTTCTCTTCAGTCTCCACCATACACTTAGACAGACACAACACAAAACAAAACAAATAAAATAACTCAGTGAGCTTAAACAAGAGCAAACAATTAATGGCGGACGAGGTGATTCTTCTGAATTACTGGCCGAGTATGTTCGGAACGAGGACAATGATTGCCCTAGCGGAGAAAAACATCAAATTCGATTACAGAGAACAAGATCTGTTTAACAAAAGCTCGATTCTCCTCGAGATGAACCCGGTTCATAAGAAAATCCCGGTTCTCATCCACAATGGCAAACCGATCTGTGAGTCTCTCATCCAGGTCGAGTACATCGACGAGGCTTGGCCGGGCAAAAACCCACTCCTTCCTTCCGATCCTTACCAAAGAGCTCAGGCTAAGTTCTGGGGAGATTTCGTCGACAAAAAGGTAATAGAAAAGCCCTTAAAGATCAAAGCTTTTTTCTTTTTTAATAAAATCGTCATTAGTGTTTGATTAACAATGTGGATGGTTTAGGTGTATGGTCCAACGAGGTTGATCTGGGGACCGAAAGGCGAGGAGCAAGAGGCGGGGGCGAAGGAGTTCATCGAGATGCTCAAGACGCTAGAGTCGGAGCTTGGAGACAAGGTTTACTTTGGAGGCGAAACGTTCGGGTATGTGGATATAGCTCTCATTGGATTCTACAGCTGGTTTGACGTGCTTGAGAAGTTTGGGAATTTCAGCATTGAGCTCGAGTGTCCAAAACTAATTGCGTGGGCTAAAAGGTGTGTCAAGAGGGAGAGTGTGGCTAAGTCTCTTCCTGTTTCGGAGGAGATCACTAAGTTCGTCCCTGAGCTAAGGAAAAAAATTGGGATCGAGTAATTCTGTTTTCACTCTGTCTCTGTTTTCTGCTTTTGTGTGTTTCTTTCAGTTTCCGCTTTGTTGCTGCTCTGTTTCGGCTCTGTTTCAGTGTTAAGTCAATCTTTTAATAATACAAATATTCTGCGATATTGTTTTGGTATTAAAGCATGTGTGATCTGTTTTATTATAAAGTTTGCGATAACACCATATCAAACCAAAACAAATGTCAGTGATTCAAATATTTCATAAACTAGATGAACTAACCCAAATAACAGATCGGATCCTCGAAACCGTTTAGCTGAGAAGAAAATTATACCTCGTTTCTCTTCTTTAGAACACTTTATTGACAATTTCTGGCCCGTATACTTTAGGTCCAATATGAAATGGGCTTTTCGAACTGGCCCTTTTAATCAACTCGGTCTCAGTTTTTGTTTTGTTTTTTTGTATGCTGTGTTTTCTGTTCTACTCTGTTTCTGTTATGCTCTGTTTAATTCCCATTTAGATTTATGTGTGTACCTAATAATACGAACTAACTACTGGCTACTTCCGTATGAGTCAATGGATCTTTGAAACCCGAATTGAAAAACAGTTTGAGTGGCGTATGGAAAAGATGCGTAAAATAAAAGTATAAAAGGCGGAAGTTCAATTTTTTGGTTGTTGATTGTTATTAAACGAAAAAACCAATTCGAATACATGTAACAAATAGTATTAGGTGAGATTCATACACTTTATCATCTAAAGTCATAAAGTTTAAAGTTTCTTAGATGAATTTATAGTATTATACTAGTATATCTATAATTAATTAGTTTAAAAGCACGTGACATTTGGGATTGAAATTGATTTAAAAGTTATTACATATGATGCGTTTTTTCACATTTTTTTCAGCTCTTAAATTATTCCATTACCTCTCTTTGACACAATATAGTGAATATACAAGTATTTTCAAAAAGAATCTCTGATCAAAAAATTGAAATGACTAGGACATATATATATACAGGCATACAGCTTATTGATTTGTGACATTATTTTGGTTTAACCCCGCATATTTGCATGATGTTGATAAATTACTAAAAACTCATTAACAAACACAGAACATTAAAAATTTCCCAACTAAAAAGTAGTACAATAATTTTGACTAAGCATATAATTAAACAACTCATGCAGCTAGAGTAGCATCAAGTAAAGATCCAGATTAGAACACGTTATAGTTTAATACTACCAAATTAATGTTATAATTATCATACTACAAGTCAAACTTGATAGCCTTGCTTTAAGCAAAAAATAATCAATTTCCAAGAATAAAAATATGCTGGTACTATTATTTAAAATTTATCAATAATACAGTGATATCTCCTTCCGAGTCGAGATGTTAGCTGGCATTAAATGATTTACAGAAATCAAATCTCGATGTAATCGGGGTAATATTAAAAAAGAGTTAAATCATGGCGTAGACGTGAACAGCATAATACTAATATAGTCCACAATCCACATTATAAAATAACAAAGCAATATTCAAAAACAAATAATCATTTATGTCATCATGTTACGTGGAGCGCTAAAGTAGGAACCCTTTTATCTCGTGGGAACTCTATAAAAAACCAGAAAAACTAATCTCTTCTCATCATTCACATTTCAAGAACACACAACAAAAGATAAGTAGTTGATAAAATTTATCGATCAATCCGAGCTAAACCGGAGCTATGGCCGATGAAGTGATTCTTCTTGATTACTGGCCAAGCATGTTCGGGATGAGGACGAAGATTGCTCTGGCCGAGAAAGGAGTGGCGTACGAGTACATCGAGACAGACCCATGGGTTAAGACTCCTTTGCTCCTTGAGATGAATCCGATTCACAAGAAGATTCCGGTTCTCATCCACAAAGGTAAACCGATCTGTGAATCTCTTATTCAGCTCGAGTACATCGACGAGGTTTGGTCCGACACATACCCAATGCTCCCCTCTGACCCTTACCAGAAAGCTCAAGCTAGGTTCTGGGCAGATTTCATCGACAAAAAGGTATGAACAACTTCTCTTTTGATTTTTTTTTTTTTATATTCTTAAATATTGATCCGATCGAATAAACAGAATAGAAGCTAATATAAATATCTGATTATATTCGGAATAATTAGGGTTTTAATTTGTTTGTTGGACTTTAATGTGATGATGATTATGACTTTTGTGTGTGTGTGTGTTCAGCTTTACGACCCAGCATGGAAGGTATGGGGAACAAAGGGAGAAGAACAAGTTGCAGCCAAGAAAGAGCTGCTCGAACATTTCAAGACACTTGAAAATGAGCTTGGAGACAAAGCTTACTATGGTGGTGAAGTATTCGGATTCGTAGACATGGCATTTATGGGATACTACAGCTGGTTCAAAGCCATGGAGAAGTTTGGCGAGTTCAGTATCGAAACAGAGTTCCCAAAATTGACTCAGTGGACCAAGAGGTGTTTAGAGAGAGAGAGCGTGGTGAAGGCGTTGGCTGATTCTGATAAGATTATCGAGTATGCTTGTGTCCTCAGGAAGAAATTTGGAGCCGAGTAGATCTCCGATATTGGTCTCTGCACACACAAGCTAAAAAGAAGAAGATGGTTTGGTATCAAGAAGACTCTCTCTTATGTTCTGTTCCTATGTGAGATTTGTACTTTCTTTGTTTTGTGTACTTTATCATTTCTAAAAGCATGATAATCCGTAATAAAAAGATGTTTTTCTTTCTTTAATAAACTACTAATTTAGTTTCCAACTGAACTCAAATAAAAACTTAAAACGTACATGATTTAATAAAAACTAAACAAGAAAAACCAAACTCAAATTATATAAAAAAAAAACAAACTGAAACTGGATTAGACACGTAATGGGAAACCGGTTTATTTAGAGGCTGCGCTTCAGTAACTCTCCGGACTCCGGTTCAATGGTGGCGTCGAACAGTTTTGACTTGTTGTTGTTCTTCCTTTCATGCCTAACACGAGAAGAATTTGTATTTTGATTCTTTTATTTATCAAGTATATCAACATCATCTGACACTGACAGCCCATACTCAATAATTGATCCATTTTCAATTACATAATGAAGTTGAACTTAATCATTCACTCACTAGTTTTTTTTTTTTTTTTTTTTTGAGAACGTATTCACTTACTAGTTCTGTTGTTTATAATGGAATACTTAATCATTTACCAAAAAAAAAACAATAAGTAGTACTCGGAATTCATATATATAATTTCATGATTTATTATTGGTGGAGCTTCTGAAGTAAATTCTAATGAAAGTATACATTTTTATTTAAATTATAAATGACTAATCTTTGAATTAGAGAAGAGACTTAACCTGGTTCAAAGGAATAGATGAAACATGTTTAAGTTTAAACAAAATACATGGTCAATCTCGAAAATTTATTTATATTTTGTAAAGTATGTGCCCACTTGATGAAAATTACTTACTTATTTTGCGTATAAGACACGTTGTTGGTGAGTATGTTGAAAAGTAAGATATGGTTTGGTTGATTCACACGACAAAAAACGTTATTTGTTAAGCTGTATAATTTATTTGAGTGTAAATTAGGAAAAGTCTCCTACTGTTTGGCAAAGGCGATTAAATTCATAATTAACCTCAAGTTTATCCATCACTAATAGAAAGTAACAACCATAAGTTTTGATGATGTTACTATCACGTGGGACTCAGAGGACTTCACATAGATTTTGATATTTTTTTTATAAAAAAGCTTAATTTTGTATGGAAAACATAAAACATTTTCGTTTTGCTTAAAACAGATGGAGTTTTATATATAGTTTAGCTGCTTTTAATAATCAACTAATCAGTTTTTCGAAAAAGAAAAAGATCAATTAATCAACTAACCATACAATACATAATATATGGAGAAACGTAGCCACACTATTTCTTACTCTATACATTTAACCTCTACGAAGAAACAAATATTCATGGATTGAATCTCGATCACGAGATTGAATAAGCTCAAAATTGTTTAATGTGAGTGACGCCGTGACGGGGCTAAAAAGAAGAGCCTCGTATTACAATGAACTAGCCTAGATCGTAGTCGAGTGATGAGATTTCACGTATTTAGCGGAGAGGGTTGTCAATATAGAAGCCTTTTAAATGTTTTATTCTAGGGAAGTGTGAGGAGTGTCTTGAATACCGAAATTAAATGCATTCACCAACCCTATCGATCCAACACTTGCTTTTATTTAATTCCACACATTAAAATCATCTCTACTTGTTTATAACCACATTTTCCCCCAGCAACCATTACAAGAGAGAGAGAAACAAAGAGAAAAATTAAGAAGAAAATGGAGAAGAATAATGATCATCACAAGGCTAGCCACGGTGGTTCCGATGGTGCGGCCACGGAGAAGTGGGAGGAGGTAAGTACCGGAATCCGAACCGCCGAGACAATGCTCCGGTTAGCTCCGGTGGGGCTTTGTGTTGCTGCGCTTGTTATCATGCTTAAAGACTCTGAGGCTAATGAGTTCGGCTCAATTTCTTACTCCAATCTCTCAGCTTTCAGGTATCTTCTCCTGTCATAGTACATCTACTTACGTACTATTTACGATTAGGGTTTGTGACCGAATTTCACTGGGAACACAAAAGTTGTAGTAGTTAATTCCAAGAGAGTGACTGTAATTAGGTGTATAGTACATGTGTATGTTATATTTTGCGAGTTTGTAGTCAGAACCCCGATATTTACAGATAGATTAATTAAACCGTTAACCAAACAAACTGTGCTTTAATCATAAGTAAACCAAACTATGAAGACAGGCATTAGTCAAGGTACATTTGTTGAGTATTTAAATTACCATATGTTTATATGTATTATGATCTGGATGAAAAAGTAATTATCGGTAATTGTAATAATGTAATTGCAATTAGGTACTTGGTGCACGCAAATGGAATATGTGCAGGCTACTCCCTTCTCTCGGCAGCCATTGCAGCCATGCCTGGTTCTTCTTCCACAATGCCTCGTGTTTGGACCTTCTTCTGTCTCGACCAGGTCTAATATTAGTTCTTAAAACATTAGGTTTATTTATCAAATGATCCGCTTAATTAATAATATACTACTAATCAATATCAATATGTGATAAATCTCAGATTCTGACCTACGTGGTTCTTGCTGCTGGAGTTGTGTCAACTGAAGTTCTTTACTTAGCGTACAATGGAGACAACGCCATTACTTGGAGCGATGCGTGCAGTTCCTATGGCAGTTTCTGCCATAAAGCCACTGCTTCTGTTATAATCACATTCGTCGTGGTTTGCTTCTATGTCGTTCTCTCTCTCATCTCTTCTTATAAGCTCTTTACACGCTTTGATCCTCCAGCCATCGTTGACTCTACCAAGAACGTAGAAGTTGCCGTCTTTGGAAGTTGATTCGTTGCATTTTAAGTACATTGTCTCATTTCTCATATTTCTATTGTCGTCTTTTTCAACTTTGATCAAGAGAAAGAACGCTTTTGTGCGTTGTCTTTTTTACTGTGCTTTTATCCGCTTTCTATCTATTACATTAGTGGGCATGGCTTAAATTTAGGGTTTAAACATGAGAATCATACGATATTACCCGGAGAGGTGAGAAATTTTGTTACCACTACACACCGGTTCAAGGAACTCGTTATCTTGTGAACGGGGGGCAAATTCAAGGGAAGAAGAAATACGTTTGATACCATTATGGGATATCATGAGAATTTACAAAATTACCCGAGAAATGAGATGAATTTTTTTGTAGGACTAATTAACTTGGTCACAACGGTTCAATTTTTAAAGCACCCATTATCTAGTAAATCGATATAAACCAAAGTTGATGATGGTTCAGAATTATGATAAACAGGAAAAAGCAGGGATTAACATATTTAGAATTAAGAACTCAATATAAGATTATTGGATTAGATTCAGACATTCGCACTCTCACCTCTGTTTATGTGTCTTTCTTTAACTTTACTTACTAGACAAACTTTTACTTTTGAGTTTAAAGGAAAACACGAAATTTCTAGATACGAGAGATAATGTAAACTTCTTTATTTGTACTGCTAGAGACAAACTCAAGCTTAAAGAACCTAACCAGTATCATACTGGTTATATATATATAGAAGATCGATTTCTGTCTGAAATCAATAAAATTTTGCAATTGTACCTTGTTTTTGTTTGTTTCGCAAGTAAGTTTCCTACTTTTTGCCATGGCTGCTCATAAAAGAGTGGCGTTTCAAGAGCTTCTGAGAAGGAGTTCGGTGATCATCCTACGAGAAAAGAGTCGAAACCAAGTAGCGTCAGTGTCAGGTCAAGATCAATCTTCTGGGAAGAAAATTAAAGAAAAAGCGATGCAAGCTGGTGCAAACCTTGCACAGAGATGCAGCCGATTCTGATTCCATTGGCTGGATTTGAGCATCTTCCAGTGACTGGAACGAATCAAGGGCATCCAGAGTTAGTTGCCATCCACACACGGCCTCAGCGAAACTTGAAGAGCTCGAGCTGTTGCTGCTACATCCAGCAGCAGCCACATTTTCATTTACCCAAGGGCAGTAACAGTTGTGATACTTTATTGGATCAAACTCCACAATTTCATCATTGCTATCTCCGTTCGGAGGCCCTGAACATGAATCAGCATATGCTTATATACTATCTTATTTACATTCTTATAAAGTGATTAAGTTTGCATCAGTAATTCAAAGGAAGAAATTTCTACAGACCTTGTCCATTAGCAGTGTAACTTGATCCGGGGAGTGCAAAGCCAGCGTTGAGCGGAGACTCGTTCCAAGTCTGGGTCACTTCTTCTTTAGATGCTTCATAACCAGAACACACGATCGCATTGCAAGACAGTGATGGGTGAACGCTATCTTCGTTCATCAACACATTTATGTTGCTCATCTTTTCGCCGCTTTCAACAGATTCAGCCTTCAATGAATCAACAATCTTAGAGCCACTGTCAGCCCTTGTAACGGATTGAGACACCCTATCTTGACTATCCCCGAGCCTGCCTTCTCGATCCATTTCTTCAGGAACAAAGTCATCAGTAACGCCTTGGTCTGGTGCAAATTCACCGCTCTGTCCCAGATTCTCTATGACTTCCGCAACTGCTTCCATGTCTCCAACAACGCTATCTCCCCTATGGACCGAAACGTCAGCTCCGTGGATCTCTGCCTCGTGACTTGCACCCATTCCGACACTACCCCCACTGACGCCTAAACTCGGTCCATCTCTTCCCTGAGCTGTGATAGTCTCTGTGTTCAGTACTTCCTCACCGTTATTTATGCTGCTAATGCCTGGTTCAGCATTAGACCGAACAGGAGCTGGTTGGAAGCATGCACTCTGCTGAGCTTGATTGCTGAAATTCAGTTCCGAAGGATCGTTGAAGTCGGCACTTTGAGCTGTCGCCACAGAGGGATAGTTTACGTCATCAAAATCCGCTGGATGGTTTTCCACACTTTCCATAGAATCATCATTGGCACTGTTGCACATTGTATCCATTGCAATGACAGAGGAAACACGTGCGGAGTCTCTGGCACCTGGGAAAGCCATAGCTTGTTCATTTCCTTCACTAAACGGGTCACTTCTATTGACTTCCCTCTCGTTTTCAGCATCCAATGAGTGGCTTGGCCCACCCACTGATAAATCTCGCCCATAGAAGGGAATATAAGTTTCATGCACTTCAGAGCCTCGGGTACGCTTTGAAGGCCCTGCTGAATCGTCATTAACCTCATCCCCATCACGGTCAACAACAGTCCCTTCAACACTGTCTGCACGTTGTATCCGTAGATAAGGCCTATCAGCCGTGCTTCCGCCATCATCCAGGCTCCGTTTACGAGTACTAGGCCCTCGTGATTCGTATGAAGCAGCACGATCACCAACCTCACTTCCTGAAGGCTGCCTTCGCAGAACTTCCTTTCCTCTATCACTAAATTGGTAATTATCACGCGTCACAGACATGTTCAGCTGTGCAGAGGATGATGCACCAGCTGCAGTTTGATAGAAGCTTATACCTGCATTTGATACTAATTTTCTCTTAACCGATGTTTCAGCCTCGTCAACATCTTCATTAGCAAACCATCCATTGATTCCACTTGTTGCACTAGTACCACGTGTCACTCCCATTTTCTTGCTTGTTTCAGGTAGATTAGCATTAATAGGCGCAAACGGAACCGGCCGAGAAGTGGTCATGAAATCCCAAATTCTGACGGTTACACCGCATAAACTACAATCCAGCAAAGGTGACCTGGATTCTGATTTATATTCTGGACCCAAAACTTCACAATTTCCGGAGGCTTTTCGGGATGAAGCCGAGAACTGTTTCCTGCTTGGACCAGGGTCTTGTAGACGACTTTGATTTCTAGCTGGGCCTGAAGGGCACCCATTTCTAGCTGATTGGGCAGAATGTTCTTCACAATCTTGGATGTTTGGAAGCCATCTAGGCTCCCATCCACATAGGCTTATCAGCTTCTGAGCCTGCAAGATAAAAATCAAATTAGAAACAGTAGCAGTTTATGGCTAGTAAGCGAGAATTTTCACGAATATAATAGCACATATCCCTCAGTTCTTACGCGAGAGTAATTACTGAGAGCCTCTTCTTTGGACGTTTCTGCAGCTGAGACATTATCCATTCTGAAACTTGGATCATCATTGGCATAGACTTGAGGCTGTGCCAAAAGGCGGTCAATTTGTGGTCGTCTTGAATCACGCATCTGGTCAATTGCAGATGCCGAAACAATGGGTAGAGAATAGAACTGTAGGAGCCCATCACAACGATCCTTGTAACCTCCAATCAAGGCTGATGGAGGAGTTGGAGGAAACTGAACTAAGCTTTCTGGACAGCAATTTCCTACCCAAGGACAAGAACTCTCATGTGCTTCATCAAGCTGCTTGGAGAATTCCTCTCTGATGCTATCAGCTGTTATCAAAGATGGATAAGGAATATCAAACGGTAGCAGCACATAAAACGAAGCTGAATAATTTATGCCTACTAATCTTTCTTGGATAAGAGAAGAAATGCAGCGCAAAAGACAGAGACTACGACCAAAAAACAAACTCTTTTCATCGCTAGAAGTTTGTTATTGGTCAAAACTCGTGGCTCCAAAGATGCTTTGAAAGACTCCGAAATTACTCTTTTTTTGTTGGTACAATACAAGAGAAAGATGAAGACTAAAACTGCCTACCCTGATGCCAAAAGTTAGAAAGAAAAAGAAGATAAATCTAGTCACAAACACAAGACTTGACCTTCGGGATGATTCAACGAATTTTGTGGAGGAGAGTAATGTAGACTGGATCCACAGTACTCGCATTGAATTTTGTCCAGGTCAACACTTACCCAGCCTTTCTGAGCACAAGCCACAGAACTAGCTGTCTGCAAACAAAAATATACCATGAAAAGACACACCGTTAATCAAACAGCACTTCTTTCAACCAGTTGAAACTTGCAACAGATATCACAGGAGATAGAAAGGGGCAATCGAAAATAGAGAAAGAAGAAAACGTAAATAACCCCACAAATGAAGCAACCTAGCTACTCTTCCTTATTTTTGTTCTATTCCGGTTTAGATCAATTACATGCATCATTTCCATGAATTGGTAGGCTTGACTTCTCTCAACTTAAAGGTTCATAAAAATATACTGTTGGACCAACTATACCAGCCACCAGCATTCAGACCAAAGAAAAATTCTATCACTATCTTTAGGAGAACTGAACCTAAATTTGGTAGGATATGCACCACAAATATGCCAATTTCAAAGAAAATCTGGTTTTGCTTAGTATGGACGTAAGAACTTGCAAATGAAAGTGCATGTAATGGGAAAACAAGACTCATACTTTGGGCTTCCCAAGCCAATTTGAAGGTTTGAAAGTGGCAAGGCGTCTTAGCAAATCTCCTCTATCCCACGGTCTACATGAACGCCCCGATGATCCCAGCCCGTGACCTGTCCAGTCCACACTGCCAGCGTTTACCAGAACAGCAGGAGATGATGCCCCTACAGAGCTGTTTTTGAACTCAAATCAATCCTTCCCGAAAGCAAACTTACAATATTAGAAGCATTGCTAGCAAATTAAGATGCAAATCATTGCGAAGGAACAAATCTCGAACAACGAAACCCTAGATATGCCTCGTTCTAGGCTTCAATTCAACAAACGAATCCAATTAAATCGGAAAAATTCCATAATTCCCCACTTTGAAACTCGATCTGTGGTACTTGGGGACTTTACCTCGCAGCAGCAGTTTGAGGGGGAGAAGGCGATCTAGCTCGTCGTCGGAATCTATCAACTGGAGTAGCCGATGCGGAAGCAGAAGCCGAGGCTACACTGTTCCGATTGCTCCTAGGGTTTACGTTCTGCGAACTCACATCCTCTTCCTTCATCTTCCTTCGTCAACGACACACTCTCTCTCTCTCTCTATATCGGGCTTCACTTTCAACACAGTAGGCAAGAGAGAGAAAATCTCGAGGTCTCAAATGACAAATCTCTCTCTCTCTTGGCGTTATTTATTAATCGAATTTATATTTATTTAATTTTAGTATTGAATGCCTTGTTTTTTATCGATAAGGTATTAATTTATTTAATTTTATCTCCGGCTTCTCCGGTGGACGAAATTGCCCTCATAGGACTTACGGCTAATATGTACCCACGTGTGTAATCACGCAGAACTGACCGCGTGGACATTAGCAGACGGGTTGATTTATCAATGGGCTTTTCTATTGGGCCCAATAGACTAACTTTTTCTTCGGCCATCTCGCTCAGAGAGAAAATTTACAGACTGTAACTGTAGTGTGTGTGCACTCTAGTCTCTAGAGGACCAAAATATTTCCAGACATAAAAAAATGTTTAATTTTTTTTAATTGAGAGTTTTATACGTATATTAGGCTTAGCTTTAAATTTATGGCTTTTAATTTTTTTGTAAATGGCCTTATCGGAAATCCGCGGAAAATTTCAGGCATAGAAGCAGCCACACCCACACAAGCTCAAGTTCAAAGTTATCCCCGCACTTCTTCTTCCTTCACTTATCTTCTTCCTCTCTTCGCTTCTCCGCCTCTCTCTCTTTCTCTCCAAATTTCTCATCGATTATCAAATTAGCTTGTTGATATCGGATTTGATTCGTCGATAACCCCGATTTCTTTTTGAATTTTGTAGTCTTCTGGGTCGAATTTCGTTGTAATTTCTTCCATGCGAAATTGGAACGAGATAAAGCTTCTGATGCTGTGGTGAATTTGTTATTTCTTTGTTTTGTTCGTTTTCTGGGTTGATTGAGATGCCGTCGATGCTGGTTCTCGTGGGCACAATGCCGTCGTTGGCTTCTCTGGTTAGCTTAGGAGGTGCTGGTGCAAGTGTTTCCGGGACGAGCTCGTCGGATGCGTCGTATGCATTGGTTAAGAGGGTTTCTCTGTCAAGGAGAAGCGTTAAGGGAACTAAGAGATGGCTGTGTAGATATTCTGTTTCGTCTTCAACTACTACTAGTACTGCTGACTTCATTGCTGAGCAAAGCAACAACTCAGTTTCTATAGATTCTAACTCGTTTAAAGGAAGTAAAGAAGGGGATGATAGTGAGATCGTGCTGAAGCAGGCTCCTAAACCGGTGTTGAAACCCCCTGTGGCAAGGGTCGAAAGGGGTTTGGGTGTGAATTCTGCTCCTTGGAGTAAGGAAATGTCGAACGGTGGTAAGTTCGACGGAGAAGAAGAGAGGAACAAGGTGATTGAATCTCTTGGCGAAGTGTTGGATAAAGCTGAGAGGTTGGAGATTCCGCAACCGGGTAACAAAGAGGGTGGTGAGGCTGTGAAACCGTCACAGCCCAGTGGCAACAGTAGTAACTCGAGGAATGGTATCTCTGCGAGTGCTGGAGGGACGAGGAAGACGAAAACTATGAAGAGTGTGTGGCGTAAGGGCGATGCTGTTGCAGCTGTGCAAAAAGTTGTTAAGGAATCACCTAAAATTGATAATAGGGGAATGCAGGTTGAGCCTAGAACGAGGGAGGAGGAAGAGGTGAATGCCAAAGCCGGCACACAAATGGCACCACCACAGCCACCTCTAAGACCTCAGGCGCCTGTAAGACCTCAGCCGAAGTTACAAGGGAAGCCTACGGTAGCTCAGACACCTGTGAAGAAACCCATCTTAAAAGATGTTGGTATGGCAACAAGACCTTCAGGTCCCATCTTGAAAGATGTTGGTATGGCATCAAAACCTTTAGTTTCTGACGAGGCTGATTCTAGCATAAAAAGTAAAGAAAGGAAGCCTATTTTGGTTGATAAATTTGCTTCCAAGAAAAAAGGTGTTGATCCTGTGGCCTCTCAGGCTGTGTTAGCTCCTACTAAGCCTGGAAAGGGTCCTGCCTCTAACAAGTTCAGAGTTGAGCACCGTAATAAAAAAAATGCATCAGCTAGTCCAAGACGAAGAATGGTTGCTGAAGACGATGGCGACGAAGATACGTCAGACTTGAATGTCTCCATTCCTGGATCAGGTAGAAAAGGGAGAAAATGGAGTAAAGCTAGTAGGAAGGCTGCAAGACTCCAGGCTGCCAAAGACGCAGCACCTGTTAAAGCTGAAATCTTAGAGGTAGAGGAAGAAGGCATGTCCATCGAGGATCTGGCTTACAACCTAGCCATCGGCGAAGGTGACATCCTTGGGTATCTATATTCAAAAGGGATTAGACCTGATGGTGTGCAGACCTTAGACAGAGAGATGGTGAGGATGATTTGCAGAGATTACGATGTTGAGGTCCTTGATGCTGGTTCAGTTAAAGTTGAAGAAATGGCAAAGAAAAAAGAAATTTTTGATGAGGAAGATTTGGACAAGTTAGAAGACAGACCTCCTGTCATCACGATAATGGGTCATGTCGACCATGGAAAGGTAGGCACAGTTTGCAGTAACAGTTTTTTTTCTCAAGTCTTTGTTGGATATGCAGTGTCCTTTTTTTTAAGCAGCAGGTCTTTTCTAATGCATTTCCTAATTTATCTATTTTGCAGACTACTCTTCTGGACTATATCAGAAAAAGCAAGGTACGAAACTTAATTATCGATGAGATTAGCTATCTGACATATTGATTGGCCTTTCATTTATCACGAAATTTCATTGTGGCCTCTTCAGTTCTATATAATTCTAAAGCATGTCTTATTGGAATTAATGTGTTGAGGATACAACTCACCTCTAGCATCAGACTTTATACTTCTGTTTTATTTTTCGATATATTTTCTTGCGTTTGTTCATTTGCTATTGTCAAGGTTAGTACTAGATAGCGTTTCAGCTAATTTCTCTTCTCTGGATATCTGCCAGGTTGCTGCTTCAGAAGCAGGAGGAATTACACAAGGCATTGGTGCATATAAGGTGTCAGTGCCTGTTGATGGGAAGTTGCAGTCCTGCGTTTTCCTTGATACTCCTGGACATGAGGTAGATCCTTATATATTCTTGCAAATTGAATATCCACATATTCATTTCTGATGTTGAATTTCCATTGATCATACTTCCTTAGCTTTCTTTTTCATGTTGCATGTTTCTTGACTATTTCACATCTATTGTTGGGCATACCATAGTTTTGCTTCTCTGACTTTTAACTGGTCATCTAGGCATTTGGTGCAATGAGAGCTCGTGGAGCACGAGTCACTGACATTGCAATCATTGTGGTTGCTGCTGATGATGGAATCCGACCACAAACAAATGAAGCAATAGCTCATGCAAAGGCTGCTGCTGTCCCTATAGTCATAGCTATAAATAAGGTAAGGTCCATGTTGCACCTGTGTTATTCAATTTAGGAGTTGGAAAAAATGGTTACCCAGAGTACTGCTTGGTTATTATTCTTTACCATGTGCATATGTAATTTCTCTCATTCTGAATCCTTTCCTGTTCCAGATAGATAAAGACGGAGCTAGTCCAGAGAGAGTGATGCAAGAGCTTTCTTCAATAGGTTTGATGCCTGAAGATTGGGGTGGTGATGTTCCAATGGTTCAGGTTGGAATACATACTCTCATCACATATAAGTTTCAGGCTCCATATATTCCACGGGGTCTCATATCATGCTCTATATTTGCCTTTGACAGATCAGTGCGTTGAAAGGGGAGAATATCGATGATCTGTTGGAAACTGTCATGCTTGTTGCAGAGGTTAGTTTTTTTTTCATCCCATGATAACATGTTTACTTGATTCTGTTTTTCTCTTATTGCTAGATGCATAAAAAAACTTAAGTTGGCAGATTGTCCAATTTATGTGATCAGTTTTCTTAAAGTGTATTCCACCTCTTTTTGTTCTCTTCTACATAGTGGCTACGAAATGGCTTACATACTTGCTCCAAAGTGGTCCCAAAATCTTATTTAAAGGAGGGATATAGACTAAAAAAGGCTTACATTTAGGCGTCCATGCATATTATTTTCTCACTTTTTCTGCTTTTGCTTCTCATTAGCTTATGTTTGTGGGCTTACTGTATTTTGGTTGTTTCAGCTGCAAGAGTTGAAAGCCAATCCACACAGAAATGCCAAGGGCATTGTTATTGAGGCTGGACTTGATAAAGCCAAAGGACCATTTGCGACATTCATTGTTCAGAAAGGCACTTTGAAAAAAGGGGATGTTGTTGTTTGTGGAGAAGCTTTCGGAAAGGTCTATCCAAAATTTACTTTTTCTCCTCAAAACACACTGCGCAGCTGGTATAAAATGGCTAGGAGCTTACCTACCTTGGTCTTGCTCTGTTTCTGTGTTTAGGTACGAGCTTTATTTGATCACAGCGGGGAACGAGTTGATGAAGCTGGACCCTCCATACCTGTACAGGTTTGTACTTTCATAATCTTCCCTAAGTTAAAAGTCGTTGCACAAACACCAGTGGAAATACTATGCAGGCCATGCTGATCTTATTCTCATGTATGGATCGATTTAGAATCTAATCTGAGAATTTAAATCGCATTTGCAGGTGATTGGTTTAAATAATGTCCCCATTGCTGGTGACGAATTTGAGATTGTCTCTTCCCTTGATGTGGCGCGTGAGATGGCAGAGGCACGTGCAGTATCACTAAGAGATGAAAGAATATCTGCAAAGGCTGGGGATGGAAAGGTCACGCTTTCCTCCTTAGCTTCTGCTGTATCAGCGAAAAAGATGTCAGGCTTAGATTTGCATCAGCTTAATATCATCTTGAAGGTCGATGTACAGGTAAACAGCTAGTCTGATCAGTAGATTTCATCAGCTCATCGCCTTACACATTTTGGTTTCCTCCGTACCTTTTTATATATGCTGATGCAAATCACCAATGTGACTACTAGGGATCCATTGAAGCTGTCAGACAGGCCCTGCAAGTCCTCCCTCAGGAGAATGTCACCTTGAAATTCTTGCTACAAGCGACAGGGGATGTGAGCAACAGTGATGTTGATCTAGCATCAGCGAGTGAAGCCATCATCTTTGGATTTAATGTCAAAGCATCTGGTTCTGTCAAGAAAGCTGCAGAGAACAAAGGTGTTGAAATCCGACTATATAGAGTTATCTATGAGCTTATTGACGATGTGCGAAACGCAATGGAAGGACTTCTGGAGTC